CCACTCACCCTCCTCTTCCATTCCTCCCCACCACTTCCACGTCATTCACCCCCTCATCCAATTCCTGCTTCAATCCTCTTCCCCCTCTCTCGCCTCACTCGCCCTGCACTCCCCTGGTGCAACCCCTGCCCTCGCTCCACCATGTCCTGCCTGCTGCACTGCCTCCCTTTCATGGCGCCCACGACAACACCGCTCGCCCTCACCAGTCCCCACTCCCTGTGCCCCCTCTCGCCCGCCGTCCACCCAGCCCCACAGCAGGCAACCGCCCCCTTGCCTCCCTACGGCCACCCTCGCCTGCACTGGTTCTTGTCTGCTCCACGCCCAGCCCCACTCTCGTTCCCGCCTCTCCCATCGCCGCTTCTCCTCTTGCCACCACTCGCCCCTCCTCAACTCTCTCCTCCGCCCTGCCCTTTCCGTCCCCTCCCTCTCCTCCTCACCACCTGATCATTGGCTCCCAGCCTCCATTGTTTCGCTGCCCTTTCCCCCCATCACCAACCCCTCCTACCCCGCCCGCCTGCTCCCGCTCCCCTGCTCCCTGCGCCATCTGTTCCCCATCCCCCCAATCCTCATTCTCCTCTCCCTCGCCTATTCCTTCCGCCCCTCTCGTCTCCCTCGCTACCCGCACCTCCCCTTCAATCGGCCTCCCCTCCTCCTCATCAACTTGCCCATCCCTCACCCCCCGTCCTCTCCTTCCCCTCCCACGTCCTCCCTTCGCCTCCACCCATGCACTCCACCCCTCGCCCGCGCGCCTCTCTCTCGCGCCACTCCCTCTCCACAGCCTGCAGCAGCGGCCGCATCCCCCAGGGGCGAACCTTCCAGGATCTTGCGGATGCGCCCCACGCCCTCCTCCTCCCGCACGCGCTCCACCTCCTCCACCAGCGCCGCCACGCCTCTCGCCTGCACGGCCCCCACAAACCGCACTGCGCGCTCGTACGCGCTCTCCCCCTCGCCCTGCTGCTGCCCATCAGGCTGCCCCGGGGAAGGGTGGGAGGGGGAGGCGGAGTGTTGTGGGGGCCCAGGACGGGCGGCGGAGAGGAGGCGCGCAGGAGAGGGTACTTGCGGCGCATGGCGGGTTCCAATAGTTCTTTATGGCGTTGTCCGTGCTGTGGGGGGGAGAGCGTGAGGGGGGAGCGGGGGAAGAGAGGGTTCCATAGGTGTGAGTTAAGGAGGGAGTATATCAGAGGTGTTGTGTGGGGGAAGGGAGGGGATGCATGTGGAGTTGTGGAGAGATGAGGAGGAGAAGCGGAATAGACAGCGCGGGTGGCAGAGTAAACGGTGTTAGGGCAGGAGGCACGCACCGTTCGGGAAGGTTCTTGGCGATGAGGGCCCACTTGTTGCCGTGGATGGATGTGCTGTGATGATGCGCGCATCCTCCTCCACTGTGAACTGGCCCCTCCTCAATGCCGGGTCCAGCTGGTTGCACCACCTGCCAAGGGGGGGACAGGAGGGAGAAGGAGGGAGGGAGAAGGAGGGAAGGGAGAAGGAGGGAAGGGAGAAGGAGGGAGGGAGAAGGAGGGAGGGAGAAGGAAGGAGGGAGAGGAAGGAGGGAGAAGGAGGGAGAGGGAGAAGGAGGAGGGACATGTGCTGTGATGATGCGCGCATCCTCCTCCACCGTGAACTGGCCTCGCCTTAACGCCGGGTCCAGCTGGTTGCATCACCTGGTGTGGGGGACAGGGGAGGGAGGGATGGATAGATGGAGCAGGATGTGCATGCCACATGCAGCATGGGCTCAGAAACAAAGAGAAGAAGCGCACAAACACGGAAAAGTAAAGAGCAACCAGACTGTGACAAAGGTGAAACAAATCAACACAAGACCGCCTCCTTCTTTCCGCTCATCCCAGCGCGTCCCACCGCACCTCACCGCACTACCACCGCACGCACCTGAGTCTACAGCTCTTCCCAGGCCGGCCAGGGATGCCAGCAGCGATGGCGCTCCAGTTCTTCGCCCCGTGCACCGCCACCAGCGCCGCCAGCCGCTCGTCCTCCTCCGCCGTCCACGCCCCCCTGTTTCCCGCCGCTGCTCCCCCCCGCCCTCCGCCACTCCGCCTCCTCTGCTCCTTCTCCCGTCCTCCTCCCCATCCTCGCCCCCCCTGCTCCCCCGATCCTGCTCCCCTATCAGCCCTCCGCTCGCCTCGCTACTGCTGCCGCCTCCCCTCTCCTCTGCCACATTCCCCCTCCTCTCCGCCCCCTCCATCCGCCCCTCCATCGCCCCCTCGCCACCGCCGCTACCGTCACGGCTGTCCGCCTCCCTTCCTTGCCGGCTCCCCCACGACCCCGCGCATTCTCTGCCCCCGTATCCACATCCGCCGCCCTTGCCCGCGCCTTGGTCCCCTGGAAGCCGCGCCATGCGCCCCCAGATTGGCGGAGAGAGCAGCGGGCGCGCGCTGCTGGGGGGGATGCTCCCCTGATTGCATCCTCGCGCGGTTGCTCGCTCTGCCGCTCCCCCTCCTGCTTCTGTGCCCGGCTGGCGCCCGGTGCTCGTCCAATTCCCGCGGGCAGCACCAGCCGCAACGGGCCCCCCTGCGGGCGTGGAGGCGGAGGGGCGCGCGGAGACGGCTGCGAGCCGAAGGAATCGGGGGACAGTGCGCATGGCGCTGGCTCCGCCTCGAGGTTGGCGGCGGAATTGTCCGTATGTGATGCGGCGGGTCGCTGTGCAGGCAGCGCGGTGGCGCGGGTGAGCGGAGCCATGCGGGGTGATGCGCGCAGGTTACAAATAGCGGCAGCTCACAAGCTCTCAAGGGTCTGAGCAGGTCTGAACGCTTCTAAAAAACGTGCGGGCGATGCTGCACCTCGTAGTAGTGTGGGTGGATGCGCGTGACGGGTGGTTAGTTGCTGCTCTCAGGTGCGTGTGCTCGCATTCGGAGGTATCCTCCTACAGAGCTGCGGCGGTTAGCCATCTCCTGCTGGAACCAGCAGAGCCTCGAGTCGTTGCGCGCAACTTGAATTGAGCGCCAAGCGCCCGAGGAGTACAACTGCATCGTGCCTGCTACACCAAGCATCGCTACCGCTACCCGATCATGTGCGGTGGAGCCACGTGAATGGAGCTGTTTCGCTTCACCTCTGGGTGGGGGTTCGCGCAACAAGCCTGACCGCTCGGTTCCGCTGCTGGCTCTGCGCTCGCTCGCTCCCCCAAAAGCTTCTTGCATCCGCTCGTTGAACGCGCGGCCGATGTCGTTGGGGAAAGCGAGAAGACGAAACGTCCCGTTCTGGCTTCTTGTGACCATTCCAGGCGTAACAGATGGCGGTTAGAAGACGAAACGGCACTTCCTCGTTACTAGGTTCGCGGACCCAGAAAGCTGAAAGCAATCTGAGTGCACACTCCGTGTGTAATCGGTGTAAATTGCTAACAAGCGATTTCTCCTATGTGTCAAAAACTCTTGCGCAATAGGCAACGCGTTCGTGGAGTGTAGTTATTGAAGGTATATTCCCTTGGGTCTGGTGTAGCTGGTTTCCAAGGCAGACAGTTCTCAGGGCAAAGCAGTTCCCAGGGCAAACTTGTTCCCAAGGCAGCCCAGTTCCCGAGGCTATTTTGCTTCAAGTGACGGTGCTTCCGAGCCCAAAGCAGCACGGCATCATTCCCACGCAGCACATCTCGAGGCCAGGCCCGAGCGCGTGCGTCTGCCCACCGTCGCTGCCTGACGGACCACCACCACCATCCTCCATACCTCCTCGCTGCTTCACGCCATTCTCAAAGCAGCATTGCGAATTCGCTCGCCTTCGTTCGCGAGCAGCGGCGCGTAGTTGCCGGCGACATTGACCTGACGGACCCACGCGAGACAGAAGTTCGCAGCGGCAGGCATGGCGGGAGGGGCGGAGGCGGCGAGCGATGTGACGGTCCACGTCACCACGCCGCTGTTGCCGCGCGAGGTACGGCGCAGCGCGAAGGGGCATGCGTCGTGATGAGCCAGAAATGTGCGCATTGCAGTTCATGATGAATCTGTCTTCTTGCGCGGCTCTGCTTCCGCATTCCTCCCAATATCCCCTACATTCCCTCCTCTTCACCTCGTTGCATCACCGTCGCCTCTCCTCAGGTTTCTGCTCCCGCAAGACACATGACGCTCAGCGATGGGAGCCCTTCAACGCCGCATTCCCCGGGTGCACGTCGCATCGCTGCAGCTGCAAGGATCGCCGCTGTCGTCGGGTGCGTCGCTCTGCTCGCCGCGCTCTGCCTCCTCGAGCCGCGCCGAGCTGGCCTTGCGACACGCGCTGATGGTGCCGCCGAAAGCAGCAGCAGCAGCAGCAGCAGCAGCAGCAGCGCGGCTGTTAGTTTCTTCGCATTCGGCGACTGGGGTCGCAACGGGACCTTCAACCAATCGCTCATCGCACAGCAGGTGCGACGCACACCCTTTCTCATCGTCCTTGCGCTGTGATCACACCCCATCCACACACACCTCTCTTGCAATGCAATGCACAAATCTGTCCTTGTACGCCTGTGCGGTCCAGATGGGTGCAGTGGGGCAGCAAATGGCGCCGCAGTTCGTGGTGTCGGTGGGGGACAACTTCTACGTACGAGGGGCTGACGGACGTGAACGACGACGAGTTCGCGCGCTCCTTCACCAACATCTACACGCACCGCACCCCTGCAGGTCCCCCCTGGTATGCAGGTAGCCTCTTCCTTTCCCACCCTCGCTCTCTTTATCGCTCCCTTCCCCTCCCGCTTCTCACGCTTTGTCGCACTTGCACGCTCAGACGCACACACAAGGGCCACACTTGCTCACCGCCCTGCCACATCACACCGCTCCTTTCTCCCAACCCCTCCCCGCTTTCCCTGCCCCAATCCCGCACCAGTGCTGGGCAACCACGACTACTACGGCAACGTTTCTCGCTCAGCTGCACCCAGCCCTCGCCAACAGGGACCCGCGTGGGTGTGCCGCCGCAGCATGGCGCTCTCGCTTCCGCCTCTGCCCCTCGCCAGTGTTTGACTGCGTTGACATGGTTGACCTGTTCCTATACGGACACCACGCCCCTCGTGCCCGCGTACCGCCACAAGAAGGGGCGGCGCGTGGTACTGGCGCGGACTCAACTCCGCCAATTGGACGCTGCAGGAGCCGCGCAGCTGCAGGTGATTTGGGGAAGCCACCTGCTGCTATGCTGCCCCCTTCCACATCGCTCACACCACCATAGCTTGCAACTGCCTCCCTTTCCCAAAGCTCTTGATACTAACGCAATCCCCCCCTACCCGTCCCTTTTAGACAGTTCTTCCTGCCACATTCTGGTGCCCACAGCTCGCGGCCTCTGTCTCACCATTCCTGTGCCTCTTCCCTCCCCCAACTCCCTTTCTTCCCCTTCGTCTTCCTCCTCCCCGAACGTGCTGCAGGAGCTGGAGGGGTGGCTGGGCAACTCGCGGGCGCGGTGGAAGGTGGTGGTGGGGCACCACCCGGTGTTCAGCTACGGGCACCACGGCGACCAGCAGGAGATGATCGACCGCGTCAAGCCGCTGCTCGAGGTGAGATGCATAGATGACCCACGTCTGTGTGCCTGTGCATACATTGACCCGCCCTCGCATGTCTATGTGCTGTTCTTTTACTCTACCTGTTTCCCATCTGCTCCCCCCACCACTACACACCAGCGGTACGGAAGTGGACGCATATCTGAACGGCCACGACCACGACATGCAGCATGTGAAGAGGGATGACAGGTACTGATACTAGTGCATGCATTTTTGCACGCTTCTCTGCCTTTCCACCATAGACTTACATATCTGCACCAGAAAATACCTCATTGCGTTTCTTTCCGCCTTGTCCTCACCTTCTCACCGGTCAACCCTCTCCCTCGCATTCCCACCTCATTTCTCTTCTTTTCCCCCCTTCCCCTCCGCCCTCTTCTCCTGCCACTCCAGTCCAGTGCACTATTTCACGGTGGGAGGCGGTTCCAAGGCGTGGCGCAGCGACGCCCCCTCAGAAGCCCCCGGGCTGCGCTTCTACTTCCCAGGCCCGGGCTTCAGTGCCCTGCAAGTGGACAGAGACCGCCTCTCTAGTCCCCTTCTATGGCGTGGACGGCCAGCAAATGTACTCCACCACTCTGGAAAAAATGAGGGCTCTCATCAGGTGTCCCAGGGCTGTGCGTCTACTTCCCAGGCCAGGGCTTCAGCGCACTCGAAGTGGACGGGGACAGACTTCTCCGTCGCCTTCTATGGTGTGGGACGGCCAGCGAATGTACTCCACTACTTTGAGGAAATGAGCGCACCGCCAGGGGTTTAGCGCACTGCATTGTGGACGGGGACCAGACCACCTCTCAATCGCCTACTATGGCGTGGATGCCCCAGCAGATGTTCTCTGTGTTCTCAACACTCTGCAACCCTCTGGTGTGGAGGTTCTTGCAGTTGCAAGGCTGTTCAAACTCATTGTCATGTGTGCCAGCTAAGCTTATATGTTTATTTTGTCGGCCTAAGTTTTCTGCTCAGTGCAATCCGTCTGTGGCCTGTCACCTCGGAGCCCTGGACTCCCACAGGGAAGGGAGTCAATACAAGCTCTTCACAACACATGTGATGTGCAGACCTACTCAATTAATTGGAGAGAAACAACTAGGAATAGGGGTGGCGCGTTGGGAAAAGGATTTGGTAGCTGGGTGACAACAGCTTTCCACTGTTCACGACTTGAGTCGCTTGGCATCAGCATCCGGCACACTCGCATCGTCCTCTCCCGCCTGCATGCAATGAGGGCAGCACCGCACAAGCACCGCATGTGCATCGGTCAAAGGAGCATAAGGAGCAGGTCACAGTGGCAATGGACGCTGCTAGTAGCATTGGATGGTAACTGGAAGTGCGGGTTGGCAGGTGTTGACAGGGCAAGCCACCGCGGAATGCATGCAAGGCAGTCAACTCAAGGGAAGCGTACTGGCAGCACCGCATTCCAAACCCCGCACTCACCATGAGAGACCTGAGTGAGCACTCACCATGAGAGACCTGAGTGAGCACTCACCATGAGAGACCTGAGTGAGCACTCACCATGAGAGACCTGAGTGAGCACTCACCATGAGAGACCTGAGTGAGCACTCACCATGAGAGACCTGGAGCACTCCGAGACCTGAGTGAGCACTCACCATGAGAGACCTGAGTGAGCACTCACCATGAGAGACCTGAGTGAGCACTCACCATGAGAGACCTGAGTGAGCAGTCACCATGAGAGACCTGAGTGAGCAGTCACCATGAGAGACCTGAGTGAGCACTCACCATGAGAGACCTGAGTGAGCACTCACCATGAGAGACCTGAGAGAGCATCTCACCATGAGAGACCTGAGTGAGCAGTCACCATGAGAGACCTGAGTGAGCACTCACCATGAGAGACCTGGAGTGAGCAGTCACCATAAGAGACCTGAGTGAGCACTCACCATGAGAGACCTGAGTGAGCACTCACCATGAGAGACCCTGAGTGAGCACTCACCATGAGAGACCTGAGTGAAGCACTCACCATGAGAGACCTGAGTGAGCACTCACCATGAGAGACCTGAGTGAGCACTCACCATGAGAGACCTGAGTGAGCACTCACCATGAGAGACCTGAGTGAGCACTCACCATGCGAGACCGGAGACCTGAGGCAGTCACCATGAGAGACCTGAGTGAGCAGTCACCATGAGAGACCTGAGTGAGCAGTCACCATGAGAGACCTGAGTGAGCAGTCACCATGAGAGACCTGAGTGAGCAGTCACCATGAGAGACCTGAGAGAGCACTCACACGGGTGTGGTTCAAGTTTCTCCTCTCTTCCCGCAACTCCTTCCACCCTACAGTCCATCCTCTTTCCCCACTCCTCCCCACCCACCTTCTCCCGCGGCACGACAGCGTAGCGCTCGGCAGGAGACACCCACGTGGCAGTCTGCCCCCATCACGTGGTAGACTGTTAATCGACTCAAAAGTCAACCCCCACCCTCTTCCCTCTTCCCTCCATTCACCCTCGCACCTTCTCCCCTGGCACGACGGCATAGCGCTCGGCAGGAGACACCCACGTGGCCGCGGCATCCGGAACCTCCGCATGAGCTGCTGCTGCCACGTCCTTCTTGCCGCCCGGGCCCGCTGATGTGGCGACACCTGTCACCGTCCGCGCTTATCGCCTCACTCGCTTGGGCAGGTTCCTGGAAAGTGGGCCGGCGGGAGAGAGTGCAGACAGGCAAGAGCAGCAGGCCCTATGATGGCATCCCATGAGCCGCCCACCTAGCCTGTGATGGGCATGAGCGGCAGCGCCATGGCACTGAAATCTCAAGCATCTCACCACACTGCATGGGCTGACCTGTCCTGCACACACAGCAGCAGCCCCACCTGTCGGTGGTATCCCCGTGGCCCAGCTGCCCACTGGTGGCTCGACCCCAGGAGAACACGTTGCCGCCCTCACTCAACACCACCGTGTGCCGCCACCACACGCCACCGCCACAACCCGCTGCCGCCACAGGGTTTTGGAAACATAGGGAGAAAGGGAGGTGGGGAGGAGGGTGAGACGGGGCACAGGGTGAGGCAGTGAGGTGGAAGAGCAAAGGTGGGGAGAAGGATGTGGGATGTGGCGAGATGGGGACCAGTGCAGCAACCACAGGGCCACGCTTGCTGTGGCCAGCCCACTCATCTTCCATGCTCGTCCCCTTACCATCCCCCCCATCCCCCTCCGCACCTTTTCCCCCTACCCATCCCAGCACACACACAGCTGACCTCGGAAATGCTCTCTATCCGCTGCGGCGAGCACTGGTCCTCCGAGTGCCCACTCCCACCTGCCCGAAACTGATGGGTGGGAGATGCAAGAGGTGGGCAGGGGACGAGCAGGCAGTGTGGCAGGGAGACGGGAGTGCAGAGAGGACAAGAGAGGGTGAAGAGGGTCTGGTGAGAGTGGTATAAGAAGGATGGGAGAAAGTATAAGGAAAGAGCACTGGGTTATGTTGGAAGGTCAGGGACCAGACCAGCATCAAGCACTCTCTTCTCCCACCACGTTCTCCCTTTCACTCCCTTCTCCCAGCTCACTCGCTATCACTCCCTCACTGCCTCTCACTCCATTCTCCGCTCACTCCCTCTCGCTCACTTTCACCCCCATCTGTGTTCCACTCCACCCACTCACTCTGTTCCACCCCCACGCGTACACCACGCCATCTGCATCCAGAGCAACGGAGTGCCGCCACCCTCCTGACACCTGCTCGCAGTCAAGGTAGGGAGGAGGGGGGACGGGGGAGCGGAGGGCAGTGAGACGGTCAGCAGGTGGCTGATGTGTCAAGTGCACAATTGAAACGGCTTTCGAATGGGGGGGAAAGGGAGGACGAGAGCGTCCTCCCTGCAGCAGCACAACTCACAAATCCTCTCACCTGCACGATGCACGGCTGTGCCCTCACCTGCACAATCCGCTTGTCCTGCATGGCTGGAACGGGCGAGGGCGTGAGGTGGTCCTGGAAGTCGCCATGCCCCAGCTGCCCGTACTTGCTCCACCCAAACGTCAACAGCCGCCCCTCCCCGTTCACTGCTATCGTGTGCCGCCACCCACACGCCACCTGTGCTATGCGCTCTGACTGCCAGCAGGGGAGACGCAGGGACGAGGGGCAGTGGAGAGGGGAGAGGCGATGCATGGGAGGGCAGAGGGGCGAGGATGAGGGAGGGGGGGAATGCAACCGACTCAAAACTCACCTGGATGGAGGTGACCCTACCCTGGTCGCACCCACGTATCCTCCAATCTTGTTGCCTGTCACCCTACATGCTACCACTCCGCTCCATCCCCCCATGCACCTCAATAGCAGTGACCTGCTCGGGCAGCTTCCTGGCCAGCCAGCCGGTCCCCCACCCAGTGGTTGCCGTAGCGCCCCCACCCCCACCCCTTCACACCCCGATGCCTGTGGCCCTAAATGCACCTATTGACCTCTCACCCATGCCCATGACCCTACACGCTACCTCACCATCCCCCCCACGCACCTCAATGGCGGTGACCTGCTCGGGCAGCTTCCTGTCAAGGCGGTCCCCCAGCCCCAGGTTGCCGTAGCGCCCCCACCCCCACCCGTACAGCCGTCCATCCTCCGCTGCCGCTGCTGTGTGCTCTGCGCCCGCTGCCACCATCCTCAGCGGCACCCCCTGCAGCACACAGGGGGGGAAGGTGTGGTGTGGGGGAGAGGGGAAGGAGGTGGGGGGGGTGGAGGATAGAAGGGAGAAGAGGGGAGGGGGGAAAAGGAGGGAGAGGTGATGTATGGGTTGGTGGAAATGGAGAGGGGAAGGGTAGCGGGGAAGGCAGGGGTAGCGCCCCCACCCCCACCCGTACAGCCGTCCATCCTCCGCTGCCGATGCTGTGTGCTCTGCGCCCGCTGCCACCATCCTCAGCGGCACCCCCTGCACGGGGGGAAGGCTGAAGGGGGCAAAATGGGGGAGGCGGGGGAGAAGAAGGTTGGGGGGTTGAGAGAGGGAGAAGGTGGGGAGGGTGGGTATGGGGACGGAAGGAGAGGCGATGGATGGGTTGGTGGTAATGGAAGGGTGGATGGGTAGAGGGGAGGGCAGAGGTAGGGGATGGCAGGGGAAACGCAGGTTGGAAGTGGAGGGCAAGGGAACAATCTGAGTGGAGCGGTAAGAGGCAGGCGGCGTGCGTGATGATAAGGCAGGAGGCGTGAGTGCATCATGAGTGCAGGGATGGGGGGGACTTGGAATGGGAGGGCCTTACAGAGAGCGTGGTGATCTGTCTGTGTGGGCACGAGGGCGTCGCCCAGCATGCCCAGCCCCAACGAGGTGACCTGTCAGTCGACTCAAAGAGGGGCTTACCGCCAGGAGTGGGGGGCCTTACGCGAGGAGTGGGGGGGCTTACAGCGAGGAGTGGGGGGCTTACCGTGAGGAGTGGGGGGGCTTACAGCGAGGAGTGGGGTGGCTTACCGCGAGGAGTGGGGGGGGCTTACAGCGAGGAGGAGTGGGGGGGCTTACCGCGAGGAGTGGGGGGGCTTACAGCGAGCGCGGTGATTCTGCGTGGGCACGAGCGCGTCGTCCAGCGTGCCCAGCCCCAACTGCCCGTTCTGATTGCGCCCCCAACTGGTGCCATGCCAAGGGTGGGTGCACGGGTGGACGGCACGGAGGGGTGGACGGCACGGAGGGGTGGACGGCACGGAGGGGTGGACGGCACGGAGGGGTGGACGGCACGGAGGGGTGGACGGCACGGAGGATGGACGGCACGGAGGGGTGGACGGCACGGCACGGAGGGGTGGACCGCACGGAGGGGTGGGAGGAAGAGGAAGCAGAATGCAGCGATGAAGGGATGGCGCTACTGCGAGCATGACTGTGCCTGTTTGTGATAGACACGCCCGAGACAGCAGGGCCATGCTGGGCAGGGCCATCTGAACTGAAGGCGTTGTGGCGTGGCAGTGCAAGAGGTGGCCTGCAAGGCATGCCACGTCCCATGCACGCGCCACCACCACCTCACCACCCCACCAATTGACCGTCTGCCCACCACCTGACCGCCCCATCACCTGTTGCCTGAAAAATCACCTGAAGGCGGTGCCATTGGCGTCAACAGCAATGCAGTGGCAGTCGCCACACGCAATGTGCTTGATGGATCGCCCGCACAGCGACGCCACGGCGTGCGGCAGAAACACGTCGCTCGAATGCCCGTGCCCCAGCCGCCCAAAGTCGCCCCCTGGGGGGGTGGCGGGGGGAGAAGACCGGAAGGGGGGAATGGGGAGACGAGGGGGAGGGAGCATGGGGGGTAGGGAGGAAGGATGGGAGATGGGTGGGAAGAGGAATGGAGAGATGGGTCGCCCACACAGCGACGCCACGGCATGCGGCAGAAACACGTCGCTCGCATGCCCATTGCCCCAGCCGCCCGAAGTCGCCCCTGGGGGGTTGGCGGGGGACGCGGGGGGGGGAAATGCGTGGAAGGGGGCGCGGGGAGATGTGCGGAATGGGGCAGGGGGAGATGCGTGTTAAGTCAAAACCTCGCCTATTACCTCACTATCCTGCTTCTTCACCCGCCACCCAACGGTATACAAATCCCACCATCCCCTTTGATTAACACACCCCCCCCCCTCACACACACCTATTAACTCATCCACCCCCACCGATTAACTCACCACCCCCAGGACCAGAGCGTCTGCGAGTCCTCCGAGTACGCCGTCGTGTGATCCGCGCCGCACGCCAGCGCCGACACGCGCTTCCCCGCCAGCGCCGCGACCTCCGTGGGCTCCAGCTGCTCCTCCGCGCTGCCCAACCCTAGCTGCCCGTCCTCCCCGCGCCCCCACGCGCACACGCGGTCGTCCGCTGCACGCGCGCACGATGAAGGGGGAACGCGCGCGATTATGGGCGCGAATGGCAGACGGCTTTGCAGTCGAGAATAAAAGTCGACACGGACAGATGGAATCTAGGGTTGCTGGGTTACAGCGATGCGGAAAGGCTCGGAACGCAACCGGAAAGCGGAAATGAGCGCTGCAGCATATAAACATGTAGAGGTGAAGATTTCAAAACTAGTCTATCCAACATACCAACGCATCGGATAAAACGCACTACTCGTGTGAAAAAAATAACGACTACGGTATGCCAAGAAACACGCACAGAGAAGGGCGACGGTGTGACTGGCGCCTGCTGATATCGCCACGACACGACACTCGGAATCTTGAGACGCCATGTCTTGAACTGTGAGGGAGGCGCTAGTCGCGTTGAGTAGAATCTAGGGTAAATGGAAAAAGCATAGGCATTCAAAGAAGCATACCCCTCGTTCCTCCAGTCGACCGCGATAATGAGACGCGATATCTGAATTTGAGAGCACAGACGCTTTCTTTCCTGCTGTATTACTGATACATAATTGATATATCTTTCTTGTCAAGTATCAAATTGCCTCCATTTCATGAGGAACTGGTGGATAAAATTCAGGGAAGAACATAAAATAAGGGTTTTTCTTAAGGGTAACAATTTATTTATTCCTGTGGAAGGTGGATGTGGCCCCAGACACTCTCTTGATTTTGATCTTGAAGGTAGCTTGCTCAGCCTATGTATGCTCGCATTTTTTGTAGGTGAGCAATTGTTCTGGTACCGGGACATGCAACGATCGAGTCTATCCAGAATGACTGTTAGAGCGTAGACTGTTCTGATACATCAGCGGTCAGCAGTTACTCAGTTGACCTGACCACCCTCTGGTCGTTCGTTCCCGCAGGTCCGTAAGATTTACGGGCAGATTCGCCGTGTGAAAAGCAAACCCAGGCAACACCTTCGCTGAACAGTCCTTGAACTGGAAGTTATTTCCGAGCGAGACTCGCAGCCTCGTGCACGATTGACCAATGATAGCATAGAAGACCTTGTCATCACGTTCGGGAATTAGCGAGACTGCTGGATAATCTGTGTCAGAAAGCTGTTGAGGTTGAGGTGCAGCAAAAATGAACTGTACAGCACGCAGCAGGATTGGCAAATCAGGAGATTTCACTGTAAGCTTTGCCAGCCCAGATCGACGCAGCCCAGATCAATTCCACAAACTACCACACCCAGTTATGTGCGTCGCCCGCAACGACCCCACTCGCCTCGTGGCATTGCGCCTACCTCAACCGCGACTCGCATCGCGATTTCTCGATCCTCGAAGTCCATCCATCCTGCCACCTCCATCTCCGCTTGCGACGAACTCAAACGAAATTGGCCTCGTCCGCACGCACATTTGCGGCCCCCGTTACTCCGTACACTTCACTCGCCCCCTCCCCCCATCCAGCTAGCCAAGCCACCCTTCTTCCCCCTCCCTCCCTCTTCCCCCCCCCCCCCCCCCCCCCCCCCCCCCCCCCCTCCCCCCCCCCTTCTCCACCCTCCCGTTGTGCACCAAATTTATCCCCTTTCATGGCGGCTGTCTAGAACTGACAACCCTGCTTGAACCGGCAGTCTAACCACCACAAGCGCAATAAGACGTCGTAGTAAAACCCCGAAATTTACACGCTGTGAAACACAGTAAGCTCACCCAAACACTTCCAATCGAACCTCTCTCGTGAAAACGCTGGAGCAGCAGTGAGGACATCAGAATTGCTGCGCGAGACTTCACAGCCACACGCACCAGTACCTCCATTCTAAGCCCGTCATTGTCGCAGTACTTCCCGGTGCTGCTTCGCGAATCAGTCCAGACCGTCACGTCGCGTATCACTACTTCCGCGCGTGGCTCGCTCCGCGCGTACCTCCCCGTTCCGCTCCCCCCTTTCCCCCACTCCCCCGCCATGGGCGCAGCGGGGTCGCGCGAGGTGTGGGTGGTAATGCCGGACGGCCGCGCGGAGAGCTTCCGCGAGCCAATCACCGTCGCGCAGCTGCTGGCGCAGCACCCGGGGTATCTCGTGTCGCAACCTGACCTGCCCGGGAACCCCGTCGAGAATCACGGTGCGAATCGCGGGCGGCGGTGGAATTTGCCAGCGGAAGAGGTGCTGCGGCTCGGGGAGATGTACGTGCTGCACTCCGCGGAGCTAGCGAGCGTCGAAGACGTGTTTGCTGACGTGGCGAATCGCGTGCAGACTAGGGTAAGAGAGGAAATGCTGGGAGCGAGCCTCGACGAACAATGTAGGCGAAATGAGCGAAAGGTCTTCGCCTTTGCGACTTTCCCCCACGCCGGCTTGCAGCGTTTGCGTCTTCATCGTGTTCCCCTGGCGAATTCACATCCGCCCTTCCCCTCCTTCCCCCCTCCCCGCCTCCGCGCATCTGTCTGTGCGCAGGGCCAGGCACCGCGGCAGCCGCGCAAGGCTCGCGGAGGCCATTCGCGCTCCAAGTCCGCCTCTCTCGTCGATGGCGGTACGCGCGGGGGAACCGAACACCCGGAGTGGCATGATGCCGTGATTACCGCCGCGACTCACGGCGCTGGCGCTGGCGGAAAGCACAAGGGCAACCGACCGCGGAGGACGCGCGCAGCGGCGGGAGAAGGGGCGCGCGCGGAGTCTCAGAGCCCGGAAAACGACACGCGACAGGACGGAGCTGTCTACGCCAACGCAATCGTTGCGGGTGTAGCCGCGGAAAGCGGCCTCGAGAGCTCCGCGGGCTGCGGCGCCAGAAGCCTTCCCCACAGCCCCTCGTCCTCCTCCTCCCCCCCGCTCTCCCCTTGCCTTTCCCCTCCCCGCGCCCGTCCCGGCCATCGTCACGCGCGCGGCCTTCCCCCCCGCGTTACGTCGCGTCTGGCGCAAGCGCACGGGCACGGCAGGCGCGCGTCCATAAGCGCGCTCCCCGTGGAGGGGGGGAGGGGAGGGAAGTCGGGCGGAGATACGAACAGGCATTGGGGAGCAGCGAAGGGCGGGTTACCAGGTAACGAGCGGAATGTTGTTCGGAATCCCGGATGGTGATAGCAGCGACGGGTCAATGGTGCTGACGTCACCAAAGATTGACATCTCGGATGTGATTGGCTACGACGTGTTCCCTGTGTCGTCATCTGAGGGCGAAGGGGAAGGTAAGGGCGGCAGCCAAGCGTGGGACGAGGAAGGGGAGCGTGGGCGCGGAAAGCATGGGCGGGGGGGAAACGGAAGAAGAGAGCAGACGCGTGGGCGCGCTCAGGCGCAAGCACATGCGCGCGACTCCCGCGAGATTGCTGGTGCCGCCTGCAGGAGCGGCGGGTTCAGCGCGGATAAGGAACTCCCTCACTCTGCTCCCCTCCTGGCGGGCGGCACTGGCGCGGGTGGCACGGGGAGAGAGGCGGGGCAACGAGGGCGGGCGCGGGCAGGAGAGAGGGGGGTGGCGGGGCAGGTGAGGGGGCGGGGGAGGTTTCAGCTGCGCTGCTGGCGCATCTTCACTGGGAGAACGTGGCGGAGAGTGGGGGGAGGAGGGCGGTGAGGGGAGGGAGGCCAGTGGGGCGCAGTGTATCCGCGGAGGAGGAGGGGGGACCGATCGTGAGAGCCAGAAGGGAGGGTTGGAGTGTGGGAGAGGTGTGGGAAGAGAGAAGGGAGGAGGAGGAGGAGGAGGAGGAGGAGGAGGAGGAGGAGGAGGAGGAGGAGGAGGAGGAGGAGGAGGAGGAGGAGGAGGAGGAGGAGGAGGAGGAGGAGGAGGGGGGGGAGGAGGGACGAGGAGGAGGAAGAGGAGGAGGGAGGGATGAAAGAAGAAGAGGGGGGGGAGCAGCTACAGGCGGAAAGGGATGGGCGGTTGGGGGTGGCGAACGGAGAGGGGGAAGGCGGAGGGGCAGGTGAGGGGGGGGAGAGCAGGGAAGGGGCTGGCGAGGGGGAGTGTGGAAGGCAGGCGCAAGGGTAGGCGGGGGAAAGCAGAGGCGCAGGCGAGAGGAGAGGCTGGGGGAAAGGGAGATGGAGATGCGGGCATGGCTGCTGGTGACATGCAGCACGGTAGTAGGGCGGGCGGGGGCAAGGGAGGAAAGGGGAGAAGAGAGGGGAGTGGGGGACGAGGGGGGAGGGGCGAAGCAGGTGGAGAAGATAAGGCAGGAGAGAGTGTGGGCGAGTATGTGCGATCAGCGTCGATGCGATCGGAGGTGTTGCTGCGCTCACCCGACATGCTGGCAGACATGTCCCAGCTGCGCGCGGATAGGGGACCCGGGCGCGCAGCAGTAGCAGGAGGGCCGCTGGGAACAGCAGGAAAAAGGGCAGGAGGCGCAGCAGGGGGAGCAGCAGCAGGGGGAGGAGGTCCGGGAGGGGCTGGGGAGAAGAGCAAGGGGGCGCCGCGGCGGCGCAAGAATTCATTTGTGGATGAGGAGTTTGGGACGATTCTAGAGGAGTTCATGCCGGTGGTGAGCGGTGGGGGGCGTGTGGGAGGGGGTGCATGCCACAGCAAGGCACTGGTGACTGCCCTGGCTGCTGCTGCTGCTACCCCTACACTGCTGCACACACCTAGCGGGAGACTGCTGCCTTCCCCCAGTGGCAGGCTGCTGCACACCCCTAGTGGCCGCCTCGTGCCCAACCCTGCTGCTCCCAGCGACACTGGCAACAGCAGATGAGTGTACAACACAAGACAAGGCGCGATCTGTTATTGAATGGCCAGAGCAAGGCGCTGGTGAATGCCATGTCTGCTGTGCCCGCACTGCTGCACTGCACACTCGCCTGCGGTAGACTGGCTAACACGCCCTCCCAGTGGGAGAATGATGCCTGCCTCGGCTGCTCCTGGCGCCACTGGCAGCGGCACACTGCAGTGAAGGCATGCCTGGGAGGTGGCGAGTGAGAAGGTGGCGAGGTACTGGTTTTTAACTTGAGTTGTCCAGTTACGGTACCATAGCAACCAGGCCCTACGAAGTCAGACTTTTTTCTCTGATTTTCACAAAACTCTGATATTCCATATTTTTTTTCCAGTGTACTCTGTTAAAATCAGACTTTTTTGGGCCCAAACTCTGTAATTTTCAGACTTCTTTTAAGGCTAACTCTGAGAGTTCAGAGTTTTCTGAGAGTGTACTCTGATCATACAGAGTACAAATGCGTCCTTGACTGGTGATTCAGACTTACGGGTCACAACAGATCCACAATGTCAACGCAAAATCGCCTTGACACAGCAAATCCGAGCCTTACAGCACAAGATTTTCGCCCAATCATAGCAAAATCGCTCTGACACAACAGATTTGCGCTGTCAGAGCACAACAATTTTCGACCAATCACAGAAAACTCGCCCTGACATTGCAGATTCGCTCTTTCGCACCACAAGATTCACCCTGACACATATATTCGCCCTGTCAGAGCATGTTTTATCGGAAATCCCCTTAGTGTTGTGTGTTTCGGTAGCAGATGAATGAAACATTGATTACATTCCGATGAAACATTGAATACATTGTTTTTGAATGATCAGACTTGTTTTTTAGGACACTCTGAAATTTCTGCCTTTTTTTTATACCAACTCTGAGATTTTCAGACTAAAATTGTGTACTAGTCTGACGAATCAGACAGGACAAAAACGAATCTGAGGGCCTGATAGCAACATTCTTTTACCATGTTGTGCCTTGTTAATCTACTAATGTCCACAACGGGTACAGGCAGTCACATGATATGCCAAGTGGCATGATACTGTATCAGACAGGCACTTGCATTTGTATGCCGTTTTTTGCTAACTTATAGCGGTATGTCCAGTAACATTTTGTGCCGCACTTGTTAGCCAGGACCATAAGGTGCACTAGAAAACACAGGGGCCTGCATTCACTCCAGGCTTGGCATGGCATGTCCGAGACCTGCACTTGGTTTGTTGGGCTGATTGTATGGAAGGAATCAAGCAATAAACACTGGTAGCATCACAAGAGTCAGTTTGCACGCATGCATTAGAGGTAAACTTGACAGCACCCATGTTTGCTTTACACATCCTCTGCACCTAGCACCTACACTCATAAGGTCCTGACCCATCCTATGGTAAAAATAAAAAAAGCCTATGATCAAAGCAAGCGCTGCACTTGCCTTCTGGTTAGCATCATCCGCTGGAGACCTAAAGAGGGAGAGAGAGAGAGAGAGAGAGAGAGAGAGAGAGAGAGAGAGGAGAGAGAGAGAGAGAGAGAGAGAGAGAGAGAGAGAGAGAGAGAGAGAGAGAGAGAGAGAGAGAGAGAGAGAGAGAGAGAGAGAGAGAGAGAGAGTCTCCTCTCCTTCGCAGACCATCCCCCCTCCCCTTCCGCCTCACACGGCCGTTTTGAACACGATGCATCGCCTCGACTCCGGGAACTCCTTGTTCCCATCTGCAGGATTCAGATTAATCACATTCGTCTCATTATAAGCCAGCTGCAGCGACTGCAGCTTCACGCGCACGCATGCCCCGTCATAGAACCCCAACATGCTCTCCCCATCCGTGGCCCGCCGGTGCAGCCGCCCGATCTGCCCCGTCACGTAAAACATCTCCCTGTAGCTCGCCGGCGCCGACGTGTAATCCACACAGGACAAAATCTGCAGCCGGTTGTGGTCCACCGAATCCACCTCAACAAACTTCCCGGGCGGCAGCTTGTTTGTCTTAAGCGCAGGGCTGATGGCGGAGTCGGGAACAGTGCCGTTGAGGTGGAAGAGGGGCACGGCGGTCTGATGCTGCTCGAAGTAGAAGTCGCAGAGAGACAGGGGGTTGGCCGGACACATCATCTTGCACGGCCCTGTCGGCTTGGGGAACTCCGCGGGGGGAATGGGCGCGGGGGGAGCCTCGGGGGAATCCTCGGGGGGAGACTCGGGGGGAGATTCGGGGGGAGTGTCGTCGGGGGTGTTGGGGGTGGACTGGGGGGTGACTGGCCCGGAGGGGGAGTCGGGGGAAGGTGTGGGCGGGGGCGGGGTGGACGTGCGGGGCGGGGGTGACTGGGTCTTGGTGGTTGCCAGGGGGGGAATGAGTACCTGCGCGTGCGGGGGCGTGGGCGGGAGGTCGGTGGAAGGCACGCCAGGGGAAGAACCGGGAGCACGCGGGGAAGGGGAGGGCTTGGGCGGGGAAGGCGGATGCAAGGTCTGAATCTTCGTCAAGGGGGGACGGTCGGGGATCCCGGGGGAGGAGGGGGAGTCGGGGGAAGGAGGGGAAGAGGGGGAGAGGGAGGGCGGGCTGTCGGCACTCGTCTTGGTAGAGGGCGGGGAGGAGGGCGGAGAGTCTTCCCCTGGCGGGCTGTCGGGGGAAGAAGGCGGAGAACCCGGCGCGCGGGGCGCACCCGGCGCGGAAGGCGGGGATGGCGCCGACGGGCGCACAACGAGATCCCCGGGCGGGGAGCCGACGGCTTGCGCGAAGACGGGCTGGCGGCCGCACGACACGGACTGCGGCGCGACGGGGCCGGTTTTAAAGACGACGCAGCGGCGCGCGTCGGGGTAGTCCTTTTGCAGCGCGTCGCCCGGCGCCGTGTTGACCACCGAGCCGTTGGGCGCCGGAATCTGCGCGTTCACGATCCACAGCTTCACGCACCGCGACTCGAACTTGTCGCGCGGCGAGGACAGCTGCGGGAGGTTGGGGAAAGGAAGACGGGGACGTAGGGGGGTGAGCAACGATAGCAACACTGAGGTCTGGTGCTTGCTCGTTAACGTTTTCGCCTTCTCGGCACGCTGAGAGCACCCGCATGACTCACCGCTCCGAAACGAGCCTACATTTCGTAAGAATGCCGTAAGAACTCTCGGAAATTGCCTGTAACGAGGGAGCAAACGGATTACGTGGGCTTACCGTTTGGAAGGTGCGGACGTGCAGCGTGGATTGCTGCTTGGTGAGGTAGAACTGGTTGTCATCGCCGCGCACGCCGTCCATGGCGCACAAAAACTGCGCCGCGCCGCTGCGATCCACCTCAATTATCTGCTGAATGCGGCTTGACACGAGCGGCGGGCTTATAGCGGTATCGGGTGTGACGTTATCGAGGCGGAACACGGGGACGTCCTCGGGGTGCCCCTCGAAGTAGAAGTCGCACTGGTCCAGCGGCGCCGCGGGGCAGCTCTCCTCCTCGTACGCGCTACTGTCGACCTCTGTTTTGGTGTCACCCATTGCAGTCTTGACGTACTTACTGCCCGATGAGGCGCCACCGCTGCCAGCGGCGTCAGGGTAATCGGCGTCAGCCGCGCCGGCATCAGCATCAGGATCAGCACTGGTATCAGCATCGGCAGCGTCGGCAGCATCGGCATCAGCGTCGGCAGCACCGGTATCAGCGTCGGCATCAGCGTCGGCGTCAGCATCGGCATCAGCGTCGGCATCAGCATCGATATCATCATCGGCAACAGCATCAGCATCACCGCTGGTCATCGATTTCACGCCCGCCAGTTTCAACGCCCCGCTCTCATCGGCGCCATTCGCGGCCTTCGCATCTGTAGCCTTGATACCATCGTCCGCAGCTGTAGCCTTGGCCTCGCCCTTCGTCTCACAATTCGCGTCGGTAGCGTTCCCGTCGGCCTTAGCCTTCGCATCTGTCGCCTTTGCGTCGGTAGCCTTAGCGTCGCCCTTCGCAACTGTCGCCTTTGCGTCGGTAGCCTTCGCGTCGCCCTTCGCAACTGTCGCCTTCGCATCGGTCTCCTTCGCATCGGTCGCCTCGATGTCGCCCGCTTCATCCGCAGCCGCCACGACGCCCTTGGGACTGAGATCCGCTTCGGAGCTCGGAATCTTGACGGATGCTGTTATAGCGGGTACACCTATCTCCTTGCCGGTGACTCTCACGTCGTCAGTAACGAGGATGTCGTTCTCAATATCGCGGACGTCCTGGCCCTCAATCCCAGCGGCTTTAATCACCGTGTTGGGGGTCTCCACGCTCCGCGCCCCGGCATTCTTCTCGCCCGCAGTTTCCGCGGCGCCGTCAGCCTTCTTCTCCGCCGTCTTCGCGACTGGCGGAACCGCTTGCGCCGGGGCCTGCGCTTGGTTGTGCGCGTCCATGCTCTGCAGCTGCGCGAGGTGCGCCATGTGCGCCAGATGCGCCATGTGCGCCACGTGGTGAAAGTGGAAGTACTTATCTCCGTCTTCCTCCGTCAGACTTGACGGATCCGTCTCCGTCAGCATCTGGACATTCTCCTCCGTTAACACCTCCGCTCCTTCCTCGCGCAGCGTCTTCAGGTTCTCGGCCGTCAGCTTCCATCCCTCCGCCTCCAGCTTCGCCTCGTCCGCCGCGCTCAGCCGTGCGGTCGCCTTCTCCGCAGGCGAGGGGGCGGTCTTGGGGGACGACGCGGGGGCGGTCTTGGGGGAAAGCGCGGCGGTGGTTGGGGAGGGCGCGTGCTTTGGCGCGAGTGACGGCTTGGGGGGAAGAGCAGGCTCAGGTGAGCCAGCTGATTTGCCGGAGGCAGAGGGCTTAGGAGCGAGCGCAGGTTTGGGAGCGAGAGCAGGTTTGGGAGCGAGAGCAGGTTTTGGAGCGAGAGCAGGCTCGGGAGCGAGCGCAGGCTTGGGAGCGAGCGCAGGCTTGGGAGCGAGAGCCGGTTTGGGAGCGAGAGAAGGTTTGGGAGCGAGAGCAGGTTTGGGAGCGAGAGCAGGTTTGGGAGCGAGAGCAGGTTTGGGAGCGAGAGCAGGTTTGGGAGCATTAGCCGACTTGGGAGAAGGGGCTGGTCTGGAAGAATAAGCCGATTCATGGGTGGAAGGCGGCTCGGACGAGGGAGCCTTTGCGGACGCGTGGGATAGGAGCAGCAGTAGACACGCGCAGGCCGCGACGACCTGATAACACGTTTCCCCCATGGCGCCTACCTGCTCGGCGCTACGAGGTATCGATCGGTGCGGATGGGTTTGTGAAGCACGCGGTAGCTCTCAGTGCTTGCGGGCAGAGCTCGAGGACCCGCCACTAGGAAGAAGCGCTACTGTATCTCTAGGACGATATCGATGACGTAGCCTCGCAAAGAAACTGAATTTTAGAATATCGTGCTTGGTGACAATGGGGTGAGTCCTGTCTGCTTCACATGGATTGGGTTTGTCTGAGAGGGTGAGGACGCGACGAGAGATGGAAAGGATACTCGGCGAAGAGGTCCCAGCAGGAATTCAAGGACAGAATACTCGGCGACGCGCCGAAATTGAATGAGATCGCAGAGCGAACGCAAAGGGCTTGTGCGGAGCGAGTTACGCCCGCCTGACTCGCCACCTGGTCCATTTGCCCGCCACTGTCTGGTAGCCATGGCGGAGCGACCACCGTTGTTGACTGGGCGCACCTGCAACTGGCAATTGGTTAATACTGGTGTCATCTGGGCGCGCCAGGCAGTCGATGTGAAGGGGTGGGCAGAGGATGGGCTGCCGAGGCGCTGGAAATCAAATTCAAATTACCCGCCACTTTCACAGCGAGCCGCTGAGCGCTTTTGCATGCGATTGGACAGGCCCAATCCCTTCGAAGAGTGTCAGGGGCGTGGGAAGAGATTTCAGTGATACTCGTTGTAAGTTATGTGTACGGTTATTTGTCTTGATTCAAGTTGAGATTACGTCTAGTACTACCATACAAGGATTATTATCAATGGTGATATGTCACACTGTTTCTCAATAATTAGCTTTCAGAGATCACTCGACGGAAAAACAAACATTAATAATTGATGATGTCGAGAATTTTCCATTTTGTAATGACACCAGAGTAAGTAGTGATGGGATACAACATGTTGTGTAGGGGAAAGATTAGAAAAGCTGCATAGTAGCATGCCAATATCCTGCTACAACCCGCAAACAGAGAGGCACCTTACTGAACCAGAAAAGCAGTAAAACTGAACCTGGAACCTTGTTCATGCGACACGGAACAGTTTATTGTCTGTATCACTGCTCTGCTCAGGCTTTCAGTATCACTTTTCCTGCGCACTTTTCCGACGACCATGGTGTTCTTGACATGTTGAAGCGCCTTCAGCTTATTCCATGCAGCCTTAATTCCTTTAGCAGAAGCAATGAGGTCTAACGGGCCTCATGACGGGGCTTTAACTCCGCGATTGAAGTCGTCTCCTCGCGGCTCGTCGCGACCGCGAGATACGGTGACCGGTGCCTCTGTCGTCAGCAGCAGGACTTCCACTAACAGCAGCGCAGTCGTTATTGACGAAAGAGGCGGCTCGAGTGATAGTAGCTTGATAAATGTCGGGGACAGCGGCGACAGCTCCGTTAGCGTCAGCGTCAGGCCGTCAGCAGGTTTAGCCGGTGTGACACGTCATGCCGGCGAAGCATTGGTGGAATTGCAGGTGCGGGAAGGAGGAGATGCCGTCAAACCTGAAATTGACGGCGTCAGTTGCAGTGCCCACGACGATAGTTTGCGCGAGCGAGGGGGAGGAGAGGGGGAAGTGGGGGGTGAGGAGGACGTGCGGCCTTTGATTGAATTACCCGAGAGACACGGGTTAGGGTTTGGTGAGAGACACGTGGTGGGATTGAGTGAGAGGCATGGCAGTAGCGCGTACAGTAGCGCCAGAGAGACGGACTCAGAGATAGACGAGGCGAGCGATGGGGGACGGGGAAGGGCGGGGGAGCGGCGGGCAGGGAGGGTGCGGGAGAGACGGGTGGAGCGGAGCAGGTCGGGGGAGGAAATGGGGGCGAGAAACTGGCTGGCTGCCGCCGTTGGTGCTGCTAGTGGCGCTACTGCTGCTGGTTCAGTCACCGGTGGGGCTATGACTGGTGCGGGTGGCGGCGGCAGCGTGAAGGCGAGCGTGGGGTGGGGAGGGGTGCGCGTGCGCGTGTGGTGCGATCCTCGTAGCCTGTGGCCCGTTGCACGCGTGTTGGCGCTGCTGCTGCTCTGGTACACCTTCAGCACCGCACTCAGCCTGTAAGCACCGCTCTCAGCCTGTAAGGCCCTCTGACTTCATTCTTCTTCCCCTCTTCGTAGTCGCTGCAAAACCCCGTGGCACACGTGCTGGCGCTGCTGCTGCTTTGGTACACCTTCAGCACCGCCCTCAGCCTGTAAGCCTCTGCCATACCAGACCTCATTCCATTCTTTCTTCACTGCTTCTCCTCCTCTTCATCTGTGAGTCGACCCGAAGGTCACCTCTCCTCCCTCCTTCCTCCCCCGCCCACCCCAATCAGGTACAACAAGATGCTCATAGGGCAGCAGCACTGCTGAGTTGACTCTAAAAGGTCACCTCTGCCCTCTTTCCCTTCCCCCCACGCCCACCCCGCCCACCCCAATCAGGAACAACAAAATGCTCATAGGGCAGCAGCACGTTTGCCCTGACATCACCTCGCCCCCTTTATCCCCCCCACACCCGCCCACCCCAAAACACGCGCAGGTACAACAAGATGCTGATAGGGCAGCAGCACGGCCGCTTCCCCGCGCCACTGCTGCTGACGGCGTTCCACTTCGCCCAGCAGGCGCTCATGGCCTCCGCGCTGCTCCACTCCGCCTTCCCCTCCGCCCTGCCGCCCCTCCCCCTCTCCTCCCGCGACTACTGCCTCCGAGGTACGCCCCTGCCCTCATCCTACTTCCCCCACCCCGGGCCCCCTGCTCTCACGCCCTCCTTTGTACTGTTGGGCCGTCTGCTTGTTGTGTCTGTGTACTGGACGTGGTTTTTGCCTGAGGGGAAGACCTGTGCAAACCATCTCATGCATGCATTGCCCGCTGTTCTCGTCTCACCTCCACTTCCCATCCGCTCCACCCATGCTCTGTGTGTGTGCATGATGCATCTGCATCGCGAGCCGTGCCATACCATATGTGACATTGGGTTGGCTGGCATAGGAATGCATGGCATGGCATGGCATGGCATGGCATGGCATGGCATCTGGTGCATTTCTATGCGTGATGCTACATGGCATGCTGTTTTGTGTCCATGCATGTCCCTACACAAATCTACATGTCCTTGCATGATGCCATTCGTGACATGCATTGGAGTGCCAACCAACAGTCATTCCCACAGCGGTGGCAACAGCAGTGGACATCGCTCTCTCCAATCAGTCCCTCGCTTATATCACACTCACCTTCTACACCATGGTACGGTATGGTATGATTGACTCATCATCGTTCATCACTACTCATCATTACTCATCATTACTCATCATCAGTACTCATTATCACTCATTGCTACTCACTATCGCTCTTCGTTAATTATCAGTCATGCATGCACCACACTTTCTGCCCTTACCACTCCCTCCCCGTTTTCCCCACCAACCGCCACAGACACACGCACCCGCTTGCATTCCCATCCCCTTGCGTTGCTCCCACTCACTCCCCTCCCCATTCCCCTGTGCACGCTCCTGTTTGTCCCCACCACACCACACCACACCACACCACACCACACCACACCACACCACACCACACCACACGGCAGTGCAAGTCCAGTGCGCCCATGTTCCTGCTGCTCTTTGCCTTCATCTTCAGGTGCGCTCTCATCTCATCTCATCTCATCTCATCCCAGTCAAATTAATACCACTCAAACCGTGTTTCAATTCAATGTCTTCCCTGTCTCCCCCCGCCCACGTCTCTGCACCGCAACTCCAGAGCCTGCTTGTCCCTCCCTGCTTGTCCCTCCCTGCTGCGCGTAGCCTTATCTTCCGAGGCGTTTCGTTTCGATGCGTTTTACAGTTTTCTCAAGGAAGTCCAGAGCTGTCAAATGGCATCTCTCTACTGCAAAGGCCGCGCCCGTGTGTTCCTGCTGCTCTGCCTCTGCTTCCGATCCACTCACAATGTCCTCCACGTGTCGCCTTGCTGCACTGCACTGCCCATGCCATGCCCCCATGCCACCCTATGTCACGCCCACGCCACGGGCGGCAGGCTGGAGCCTATCAGCTTTCGTCTCATCGGCGTCATGATGGTCATCTCTGTGGGCGTGCTCTTCACAGGTCAGCCAATCAGTCTGTCGCTGTCACTACTCCGATACTCATCTCGTTATAAACACCCTCCTTCCCTTTCATTTTCGCATGCCACTAGCCCCTCCGTAACCATCTCACCCGACATCTCCTCTTCCTCCTGCAAAGCACTCATCATCACTCACTATCCTCCTGTATTTCTATACATGTGCATGTGTGCATGTGTGCATGTGTGCATGTGTGCATGTGTGCATGTGTGCATGTGTGCATGTGTGCATGTGTGCATGTGTGCATGTGTGCATGTGTGCATGTGTGCATGTGTGCATGTGTGCATGTGTGCATGTGTGCATGTGTGCATGCCTGTGGGCCTCTGCCAGTGGCGGGCGAGGCATCGTTCCACCTGTGGGGATTCGTACTCGTCATGCTCTCCGCCATGGCATCTGGCCTGCGATGGGTGCTCATTCAAGTGCTGCTGCAGGTGAGGTGCTGATGCATGGTTGCCGCACGTGCCTTTGCATGGGTGTACTGTGGTACAATATGGTACCAAGTCATTAATTGCCATGGGATTGAACCATAGTTTGTCGTGTCCCGTCCCATGGCATGCTAAAGAAGCATCCATAAGCCACTATGCATATTCCTTTTACGCTGACTCCGTTTTCATTGTGCCTCTGCTGCCCTCCCCATTGCCCTCCCCATTGCCCTTCCCATTGCCCTCCCCATCACCCACGCCATGGCTTGTGCCAAGCCCACCCTCTCGTCTCCCAGAAAGATCGCCTTGGTATGCTCTCTATCCCCAAACCCCGCCCGCCCTTTATCTCCGCTACGCTTCCTTTCCCTATTTTTCTACTGCACTTCCCTCGTATTTCCCTGCTTCCGTTTCTCCTGTTCATGGCCCCGTGTGTTGTGTGCTGCACGGTCCTCCTACTCGCCTCTTGTACTCCCATCATGCCCTGCATCTCACCCTCCCCACTCCCTCGCCCTCTTTTGCAGGTCTGAGCAGCCCGCTGGTATCTCTGGCTTACATCACGCCCCCCATGGCCGTCACCTGCGGTCTCTTCTCCCTCGCCCTCGAGCCACTCGCCTCGCTGCCCTCCTCGTCTTACTTCTCCCCGCCCTCGCACCTTGCACCCACCATGCTGCTTCTGCTGCTGGGAGGGGTGCTCGCGTTTCTCATGGTAAATCTTAGGCAATTCGCTGCCGCTGCTCGTTTGCGGCCATTGTGCTCGCTCATTCCTGCTGCTGCTGCTCTTCATGCTCTTCAGGTTCCCCATCAGGTTCCCCATCAGGTTCCCCATCAGGTTCCCCATCAGGTTCCCCATCAGGTTCCCCATCAGGTTCCCCATCAGGTTCCGCATCAGGTTCCCCATCAGGTTCCGCATCAGGTTCCCCATCAGGTTCCTCATCAGGTTCCCCATCAGGTTCCCCATCAGGTTCCCCATCAGGTTCCCCATCAGGTTCCCCATCAGGTTCCCCATCAGGTTCCGCATCAGGTTCCGCATCAGGTTCCCCATCAGGTTCCCCATCAGGTTCCGCATCAGGTTCCGCATCAGGTTCCGCATCAGGTTCCGCATCAGGTTCCCCATCAGGTTCCCCATCAGGTTTCCCATCACCTTTCAACCCACTGCCCCCCCTGTTTTTCAGATCTGTCAAATTATGTTCCCCATCAGGTTCCCCCTGTTCCCCATCAGGTTCCCCATCAGATTTCCATTACCATTACCATTACTATTACCATTACCACTACAAGTATTATTACCAGTATCATTACCATTACCACTATCATTACCATTACCATTACCATTACCATCACCACTACCACTTTTATCACTATTACCATTACCACTACCACTATCATTACCATTACCATTACCACTACCATTACCGTTACCATTACCACTACCACTATCATTACCATTACCATTACCATTACCATTACCATCACCATTACCATAACCATTACCATTACCATTATGATTACCATTACCACTACCACTATCATTACTATTACCATTACCATCACCATTACCATTACCATTACCACTACCACTATCATTACCAATACCATTACCACTACCATTATTTCTCATCATCCTGCACACCGACGCAGTCACCTTCTCTCAGTCAACTTTATATTCCTCCCCTTTCGCCCCCCTTACCTTCCCTTCCTCTCCCCTCCACCACCCCATCAGATCATGTCGGAGTTTCTGCTCATCCTGCACACCAGCGCCGTCACCTTCTCTGTGGCTGGCACTGTCAAGGAAGGCGCCACCATCCTGGTAGGTGCCGCGTTGCTTCTCTGCATTGCTAACATCCCTCCTCCACCAAGCCTTGCCATGCACCACCTGCTCTATGCTTCACCTCCCTGAATTTGAGAACGCCCCATGACACACCCCCCCCCCTGTGTCCCACCTTGTGTTTGTGCATCAGTTGTCTCACCAGGCGCCTGCGCTCCTACATGCCTACTTTCAACTGCGCCCCTCCCCACTCCACCACCAGGTGTCCCATCTGGTGTTCTCTGATCGCTTCACGCGTGTCAACCTGGTGAGCGTGCTCATCATCATGGTCGGCGTCTCACTCTCCCGTCCAACCACTTGCAACCCTCCACGCTCCCCTCCCTCTCCCTCCTACGCCCAGGTGTCCCATTTGGTGTTCTCCGATCGCTTCACGCGTGTGAACCTGGTGGGCGTGCTCATCATCATGGTCGGCGTCTCACTCTTCAACCTGCACAGGTAACAGCCTGCACTAGTAACCACCCACATGTACCCACCTGCAGGCACAATAGCTGTTGCTGCAGGCACAATAGCTGTTGCTGCAGGCACCTCAAGCGACTTCCCCTTGTGCTTTCTTACCAGCCCGCATCGCTGTCTTACCGATCTGCAACCCAACGCTGCTCCTTTCTCCCCGCATCCTGCTCTATACACCCTTCTCCCTACTTCCCCTCCCCCACCACCCCCCCCATCCTCCCCCCTTTTCCCTTAGGCTGTCTCGTCCCCCCGGATACAGCGCGGTGCAGCCCCCCTCACACCCACCACGCCTAACGCTGCTCCTGTCTCCCGGCATCCTGCTCTATACACCCCTCTCTCCCCTTTCCCTCTTCCTCCCCCCTTTCCTCCCAGGCTGTCTCGTCCCCCCAGGATACAGCGCGGTGCAGCCCCCCTCACACCCACCATGCCCAGCGCTGCTATCACTCCCACGTCCGTACCCACCACCCCTAACGCCTCACCCCTACACCAACCCCAATCTCACCACCAGCCCCACCTTCATCCCCCTCCGCCCTGGCCCTCCTCCTCATCTACCTCCCGCCTTCCCACCCGCTCCCCTCGCTCCCACCCTCCCTCCCTGTACCTATCCTCCCCTCCCCCTGCTGCTTCCCCTGCCTCTTGTCCGTCTGCTGCTGCTGCCGCCGGCGTTAGCACTAGTAGCAGCGCTATCAGCAGCCCTGGAAGCAACACCACTAGCAGCAATTATAGCAGCACCATCAGCAGCACTAACAGCCATTCTAACAATAACCGTAGCAGCAGCAGTAGCAGCAACAGTGGTGGTGGCAGTGATGTGAGCAGAGCAAGGGTCAGTGGCAGTAGCAACAGGGGCGAGAGCTCTGCTGTAGGGGTGAACTCTCCAGTGTTGAGAGTGGTGTGCGAGGAGGAGGGGGAGGAAGAGGAGGGGCAGGAATCACAGCCGCTATTGCTTGATGGCAGCAGTGTCCACATACGTTCGTTGCTTTATATTGATTCTCCATGTCAGGTGTAACGTTTTAAGTACAACTATTATTTACCACACCATGATGCTCAAAGCACCAATTCTTGCAGGCTCCTTGCAGCTGCAGGTGCAGCCAAGCACCAATAATTTGCTCATGTACACATGTACCAGAGCGCATGCACACAAGTACCATAGCGCATGGACACATGTATCAGAGCATGTACACATGCCAAAAGGGCTGGCTTGGCTTCTCAGTAGAGCTAGTGGGATTTGTGTGCAATGGTATTGATACGATGAGCGCTGCTACACACCATGTGTTGGCTGTGCCGTGTGATGACGTGCATTCTGCTCGAAAAAGCCATGTTCATATGACACGACTCATAGGAGCATGCCAGCAAGCTCTGCCTGCAGGAGATGGTTGCATGCATGGTGTTCAGGATGGCAGACATGCCTCTGGTTTTGCTGATTCACGGCTGATCTCTCACCAGCCATTTCTTTGGAATAACAGTGATCTTTCTCTGATTTTACTCTTGTGGTACTCAGAATTAGCAGATGATTCAAAATCATGAGAATAAGGCATTTCCAGCTGGCTAGAGAACCAACCAAAGGGCCTGACGCCCCTGCAACCATGCCCTGGCAACCATGCCCTCCCCTGGCATGTGAGGGCGGTCACATGAAGTAGGAGAGAGGGGTGATCTTGCGCGAGGCGCCCTCCCCGAACTGCTCGTTCCACTGCATGAGCTCCATCATTGCTGCTGCATCGCTGCTCACACTCGCCCGCACCTGCCAGGCACAAAGAGAAGGAGACACATTATTGCATGCGTGTTTGAGTGCGTGTATGTGGGTGCGCATGTGCTGCTCGTTCCACTGCATCAACTCCATCATTGCTGCTGCATCGCTGCTCACACTCGCACGCACCTACCAGGCACAGCGAGTAGAAGAACACCGGAGCGTGTGTGTGGTCGCATGTGACAATGGTCATATGGCATGAAGAACCACTATATCATGCCACCATCATGACACGGCAACACGGCAGCACGGCAACACGGCAGCACGGCAGCACGGCAGCATGGCAGCACGGCAACACGGCAACACAGCAGCACGGCAACATGACTCACCTTCTCCATGGCCTTCCGCATGTCCTCCATGCTGATTGGCCGCAGGCATGGAGCAGCGGCAGGGGAAGCCGAGCCTTGAGAGGCACCAGCCTCGCCCTCCCGGCTGCCACTTGCTGCTGCGCTGCTGCTTCCACTGCTGCCCTCCGCACCTCCCTCGCTCCTCTCTGCCTCCTCCTTCTCCTGCACGCACACCCCCAAAATAATTGGTGCAAGTTCGGGAGGTGGGACGTGAGAGGCGCTCGCTGCGATGCATAGCATAATGGAGCGAGCGCTGGGTGGCATTCTAGTGACCACATGGCAGGTAGCAAGGCTACGGAATGGCATACAAAGACCTTGGCCCTTGCCAGCAGTGCACACGTACCGTTTTATGTCCCAAGCACCCCTCACCTTCTCCTCGCCCTTCACCATCTCCCCACCCCTCATCATCTCCCCACCCCTCACCATCTCCCCACCCCTCACCTTCTCCCCACCCCTCACCTTCTTCTCCTTATCCAGAAACTCCTTTATTCTCAGGAACGCTGCTGTCACACACAGGTTCTGCGCACACACGGTAAGAGGACAAGGGAAGGGGAGGGTAAGGGATGTTGGAAGGGGTGGCGCATCCCTCCCTGCTGCTTGTGATGATGCAGGAGAGGACGATTTCGAGCTTGTGAGAAGCGGAACATACGGCAGTAAGAGCAGAGAACTAGTTACATGTTACAAGTGTTTCTTGCAGGGCCTAGCTTGCCTGCTTGAGATTTCCGAAACGGATCAGTGCTTGCCAGCCTGCCTGCCTGCGAGCAGCATCCTGTTTTGAGGCGCCTCACCTTGAGGTCGCTGCCCGAGTAGCCATCGGTGGCAGCAGCGAGCTCATCGGTGCTGAAGCCCGGCTCCACGTCCTCATCCTTGAGAATGACTTTCAGAATTTTGGCTCGGTTGGTGCAGTCAGGCAGATCCACGAACAGCCTGTGGGCACACGGAGCGGGCAGGGAGGAGAAGAGGGAGGGGAGGGTTGTTGAAGCGAGAGAAGTGATTGTTTGTGCAGTCAGGCAAGTCCACGAACAGCCTGGCGGTACACAGACGGGGACGCACGAGAACGAGAGGTAAGGAAGCCCTGCAGGGGCAGACGGTGGATGGGGTGTGGCAGAGAGAGAGAGAGGGAGGCTTGGCGTCGAAAATTGCTGGATTCAGCCCAACTGGCATCGTCCAGCGAAGCACACACCTTTTAGGAAACCGCCTGGTGACGGCATCATCGAGGTCGTGGGGACGGTTGGTGGCGCCAAGCACGAGAATGATTAGAGGCGGCCAACAGGTATGCATGGCAAGCGAGTGGTTCAAGGGACCTCAGCCCACCACGCACCGTCTGGGGAAGCGTCTAATGACGGCATCATCCAGGTCGTGCGGGCGGTTGGTGGCGCCGGGCACGAGAATACGCTCGGCTTTCTTGGATGCTGGGAGGCAGCCAACAGGTATGGGGAAACGCTTGATGACCTCAGTGCCGCACCCACCTTCTAGGGAACCGTCTGATGACGGCATCATCCAAGTCATGCGGGCGGTTGGTGGCGCCGAGCACGAGGATGCGCTCGGCTTGCTTGGATCGCAGCCCGTCCCATGCGGCCATGAACTCGTTCTTGAGCTTCCTCATTGCACTGTGCTCCGAGTCGCCGCCTCTCCGCCCCAACATGCTGTCCACCTGATGATGCGGGAATAGCAGGGTAACAGCAGGCACGCAGCAATGGAGTGGTGACAAGGGGTGAAGTGCGCTCCGCCTGCTTGGATCGCAGCCCGTCCCATGCGGCCATAAACCCGTTCTTGAGCTTCCTCATTGCACTGTGCTCTGAATCCCCGCCTCGCCGCCCCAACATGCTGTCCACCTGGTGATGGGGGCACAGGGGGGACACAGCAGGCACACAGCAGCCATGCAGTACGGAGCGGTGACAAGGGGTGAAGTGCAGTGCTGAACTGGGAACACGGAAATAGTGGGCCGGCTTGGCGCGCAGTTCGTCCCATGCCGTAATGAACTCAGTCCTGAGCTTCCTCATCTTGCCCACTCACTCACCAGACAATCCACTCACTCACTCACTCACCCTATCACCCACTCACTCACTCGACCACCCACTCACTCACTCACCCAACCACCCACTCACTCACTCACTCAACCACCCACTCACTCACTCACCCAACCACCCACTCACTCATTCACCCAACCACCCACTCACTCACTCACTCACTCACTCACTCACCCAACCACCCACTCACCCACTCAATCACTCACTCACTCAACCAACCACCCACTCACTCTCTCAACCACTCACTCACCTCGTCCACGAAGATGACACATGGCGCAATTTTACTGGCCAGCGTGAACACGGCCTTCACATACTTCTCTGCCTCTCCGAACCACTGGTGGTGTGAGAGGGGGAAGAGGGGAGAAAAAGGGGGAAGGGGGAGAAAAAGGGGGAAGGGGGAAAGGGAGAAGGGTGAAAGTTCAGAGAACAGAGGTGCGACGGAGACGTGGCATTCAAAGGAAGACAGAAGCAAGGCAAGGGAATGTGGCACAATTAGCAGGTCGGGCGAATGTATCAGATTAGCAGCTATACTAACACGTTCACGAGGAGATGAACAGAGAGAAGGAAAGGAAGAGAGCCCATGGAGGATAGGGGAGGTACGAACCTTTGATGCAACAGAGGCCATGGAAAGACTGATGAAGTTGGCCCCTGACTCCGTAGCAACTGCCTTGCCCAGCATCGTCTTGCCCGTGCCCGGTGGGCCAAACAGCAGCAGCCCCCGTACCGGCTGTGGGGGGTTGGTGGGGGGCGGGGTTGTTGGGGGCGGTTTGGAGGGGAGGAGGGTGATTGGGGAGGTGGGCGAATGGGAGTGGGGCACAGTGAGTGACGCGTCGCGTCGAAGCGAGGGGGTAACCTGTATGATAGTGGCAGTGGGGTATGGGAATGCGAGATGGGCGGCGTGAGCGACTAGAATGGGCAAATGGGGGTTGGGGCAATGGGAGGCAGGGAAGGGAGGCAGGGAAGGGAGGCAGGGAAGGGAGGCAGGGAAGGGAGGCAGGGAAGGGAGGCAGGGAAGGGAGGCAGGGAAGGGAGGCAGGGAAGGGAGGCAGGGAAGGGAGGCAGGGAAGGGAGGCAGGGAAGGGAGGAGTGAGCCGGGAGGTTGGGTTGGGAGGGAGGGGATGCGCGTCAAGGAACATGCGGGAAAAAGGGGGAACGAAAGTGCAGCACAGCCTTATGAAGAATACCTTGGTGAGTTGCCCCGTTTGGAAGAGCTCAGCACGTTGCAGCGGCAGCATGACCACCTCACTTAAAGCCTCCTTCACGCCCTCCAGCGCACCGACTGCGTGATCAACATATGGCAAAATCTGAAGAAAAACTCCACCAGTGTACAGAAATACCTTAGTGAGCTGGCCAGTTTGAAACAGCTCTGGTCGCTGAAGTGGCAGCATGACGACCTCTCTTAGAGCCTCCTTCACGCCCTCCAATGCGCCGATGTGCTCAAAGCGCACGCCCAGCTCCTCCGCAGGTATCACCTCCCCCAGTAGCAGCCGCTCAAAGTCATTGTCGCACGTCACATCCTGAGATAAAGTGGAAGGGGTTGTGCGAGGGAAGGGATACGGTGGGAGAGTGGGCAGCATGAGACCAGTGCATATCATGAGAGATGGATAGGAGAGGAATGGCTAGTGGGTTGGGCAGCACTGTGATGAGCTGAATGCTCAGTTCAGAGCGCTTGAGCTTGACAGCTTGAGCGCTTGAGCTGAGCATGCACCGCTTGAGTTCAGAACTTGAGGGCTGAAACAATGACGTCCGTCCGTGTCAAACACCGCCGCCCTAGAGCCCGCCTTAAAGCCCACCTTGAGCGCCTTAAAGCCCACCTTGAGCGCCTTAAAGCCCACCTTGAGCGCCTTAAAGCCCACCTTGAGCGCCTTAAAGCCCACCTTGAGCGCCTTGCGCTGTGTGGCTGGCTGCTGCTGAGATGCTCCCTCCACCACCTCCACTCCGTGCCGAATACTGCCGCCCGGGGGTGATTGCAAAAGAGAGTCAGCGTATGCATAGCAGCAACAAAGGAGCAGGTCGGGTGAATGTGACAACAGCAAGAGTTGCCACCATCGGTACGACACATGCGCACAGCTTAACTCAATGGAAGATGCATGCATGCAAGTGCTATCGGGCAGAGTAACAGAGTAACAAGGTGACAGGGGAGGGGAAGGGGACAGGGGACAGGGGGACAGACAGGGTGACAGGGTGAACGGCGAGTGGGTGACAGGGTGAACGGCGAGTGGGTGACAGGGTGAACGGCGAGTGGGTGACAGGGTGAACGCGGTGGGTGACAGGGTGAACGGCGAGTGGGTGACAGGGTGAACGGCGAGTGGGTGACAGGGTGAACGGCGAGTGGGTGACAGGGTGAACGGCGAGTGGGTGACAGGGTGAACGGCGAGTGGGTGACAGGGTGAACGGCGAGTGGGTGACAGGGTGAACGGCGAGTGGGTGACAGGGTGAACGGCGAGTGGGTGACAGGGTGAACGGCGAGTGGGTGACAGGGTGAACGGCGAGTGGGTGACAGGGTGAACGGCGAGTGGGTGACAGGGTGAACGGCGAGTGGGTGACAGGGTGAACGGCGAGTGGGTGACAGGGTAACAACAGGTGCAGCAGACCTGGAGAGCGAGAGGGGGAGGCGGGCAGCCGGCATGTCGACTTGCGGGCTGTGCTGCAGCTGGTGACTTATGGCCCACCCCACCATGCGCTCCGCACCTGATCATGGGTTAACACACACACACGGGCATGGGCACAGTAGGTGTGCAGACATGGACTGGACTGGCAACATGCATGCACATGCACAAACATGCATGATTTATTGCAGCTGGTGGCTTACGGCCCGTCCACCATGCGCTCCGCTCCTGATGACGGGATAACGCATGCACAAGCAGATTGGGTGTGTAGACATGGAATAAAGGCAAGCATGTATATGCATGATCCATTATAGCTGGTGGCTCATGGCCCACCCCACCATGCGCTCCGCACCTGATGATGGGAGCATACATTCAAAGGGAATTGAGCAGACTTATGCTTTGAAACCAAAGCAGAATTTTGCGTTGAAAACCAAGATGTGAAGTACACGTTTTTCCAGTATATGGATAGGAAGGAAAGGTGTGCGGCGATAGTTGTCTTACCCTCCTGGGGAAGAGAGTGGGAGGCGATGGAGAGTCTGTCAATGTCTGCACACTCCACTCCTGCTGTGCACATCACCTGCTCACATGTACAAAATGTGCATTCATACAGCAGGGTCAAATGCATGTGAATGAATCAGGTGTTTCGGATCCGGTTGCTCTGGATGGAGGGGACTTTTGGGTCGACTCAAAAGTCAAATGCATGCGATTGGATCAGGTATTTCGGATCGGGTAGCAGTGGACGGAGGAGACGGAGGTAAGCCGGCCATATGGTTAGCTGGCCACACACCATTGACCACACCCGACCACCCATCACCACACCCCACCACCCATCACCACCCGCGCCACACCCCACCATTCACCACCGCACTCCACCCACCGATCTAAGCAGGCGGCGGTTGCTCTCAGCGCGCATCAGCTCCACGTCACCCTCCAGCTGCCTCGCCCAATCACGCTGCGCCACGTCATCATCTTGTGCGGGCGGCAGCACCGGGATGGACGTGGGGAAGATGCGAGTCACCGCCCTGCCGCCCGCCTTGGCCCCTCCACCCTCCCCGCGCCCATCCTCTAGCCGCGATGAAAGCTGGTCCTGAGGTGAGGAATGGGAAGAGGAAAGAATATGAGGTAGAGGCATGAGGTGTTAGAATTAGGCTGTCAACACTTTGTGTACTATATTCTATATCGCGTAGGTTATTTGCGGGTTGGGTGTAGTTTGTGATCCCAACCCTATCTGGTTGGGATTCCCTCGTAATCCTGCAAATCTGCCAACTCACCAATTGGAGATTTGCTAGGATTCCCATCCCATCCTTTCCCTAGCCTTGCCCATCCCAACCTCGTTTGTACTTAAGGCCTAGTGCCTTCTTTCCTAATCAATCAGTTGAGCTCCATTATTATCATGAGGGCCCTGCTGCCCACCTTGGCCCGCCCCCCCGCCCTCCCCGCGCCCGTCCTCTAGCCGTGAGGAGAGCTGGTCCTGAGGTACGGGAGGAGTAAGAGGGGGCCTTTTCAAAGATGAACCAGGGAGGGCGCATAAGGGTGGGTCGAAATCGAAGCTGCGCCACATGACGGGCCTTTGCAGCTCCGCCCGTGGGCAGTGGATGTGGGGGCGGGCTGGTATGTGGCATGGGCGTACCAGGAAGGAGAGGTCGAGGAGAGCAGAGAGCTTGTCTGTGGTCTTGGGGGCTGCTGCCGCTGCTGGCGCCTGGTAGGGGTGGACGGGCACAGCACCGCGAGGGCAGGTGGTGGGATGGGAAGAAAGATTGCAGGGAGGAGAGTAGGTCAAGCAGAGTCGCTTTGAGTGAGTTTGAAACGCTTGGAGGGAGCTGTGGTGATAGAGCATAACGAAAAGAAGCTTTGGGAGAGAGAGCGAGTGGAGGTTGAGTGAGGCGAGGGGCAAGCAGGGTGGAGTACGCAGGTAGGGATGGGGCTGAGGCGACGGGTGAAGGAACAAGAGGTGCTGGTCTGGTGGAAAGATGCGGATGTTGCACACACACCACATGCCCTTGCCATTCGCCATGTCAGGCCGCGTAATGCATGCCTGCCATGACATTCCATGCGCCATGTCATGCCACATCATCATGGATGGCTGCTGTGTCATGCCACATCATCATGGATGGCTGCTGTGTCATGCCATGCACGGCTGCCACCCACTTTGTCTTTCTTGGGTGGCACTGTGTGAGAGCCAATCACCACCAACCGCAGCGGTTCACTGTTCTCCTTCACCTCCTTTCCCTCCTTCCCTTTCTCCCCCTTCTCCCCTTTCTCTCCTTTCTCCGCGCTTCTCTCCCCCACCACTCCCAACCGCTCCATGCGCTCCAGTCTAACAAGCCTCTCATAGTGTGCCGCTGCGATTCTATCCGCGCCTGGGATGAAAACGATGAGAGGCGATGTTGCTGCTACGGTGGCTGCCACCTGCCACACAAGGCATGGGAGAAAATGGGATGAAGATGGGAGGGGTTCTTCAATTAGCCTCTTATACGAGCCACCGCCATGCGTAGATGCTTGTGGGATGAAGATGGGAGGGGTTTTCAACTAGAATACAGATCTGCTTTTGAGTCGACTCAAAACTAGAATACAGATCATTCGCAGCAACCTCAGGAATGCTGACCCCCACTGACCGCCATGCAATGGTCCACCAGCTGCTTCTCCACTTTGTCTGCTTATGGAATCCACTGAACATCACCCACACTGCCATCACGCCAACATGCCCCCACCCACCCACTGACCCCCACCCCACCCACCCACTCACCGCCATGCAGTGATCCACCAGCTGCTTCTCCACATTGCCTGTTCTGCTTGTGAGGCGCCTCCGTAACGGACACCTCTGGCCATCAAACACTGCCATTCCGCCAACATGCTCCCACTCATCCCCTCACTGACAGTCACCCACTCACCGCCATGCAGTGATCCACCAGCTGCTTCTCCATTTCGTCTGCTCTGCTTGTGAGGTGGGTCAACAATGGACTCCTGTCACCATCACTCACTGCCATCACACCATTATTCCCCCACTCACCCCCATGCTCCCACTCACCCCCATGCTCCCACTCACCCCCATGCTCCCACTCACCGCCATGCTCCCACTCACCGCCATGCTCCCACTCACCGCCATGCTCCCACTCACCCCCATGCTCCCACTCACCCCCATGCTCCCACTCACCGCCATGCTCCCACTCACCGCCATGCTCCCACTCACCGCCATGCCCTGACCCCATGCTCCCACTCACCGCCATGCCCTGACTGACTGACCCCACTCACCGCCATGCAGTGGTCCACCAGCTGCTTCTCCGCGTCGTCTGCTGCTGCTCCCTCCAGCCGCAGCTCTGACACTGCCACGTGGCACAGGTGGTGGGAGGGGATGAGGAAGTGGGGGTTGGCGTGCAGAGAGAGGGTTTGACTCGCCCCAATCCCGCCCCCTCTTGCCGCAGCTCCCGCGACTCAAGAATGGGAAATGGGCTTGGCAGATCTATTCCCACACTGAGAACCACGCACATGTGCGCCTCAATATCTAACCGTCAAGAGCCGGCCTACCTACCATGGCACCATGCCCCATGCCCCTCGTCACACACGTCCACCAGACTGTTGCCGCCCTGGATGGGCTTGTCAGATCTCCTCTCACAGCAAGAACCACGCACTTGTATGCATCAATATCTACCGCTCACAGGTCAAGCAACCTACCGTGGCACCACGCGCCGTGCCCATCGTCGCATACATCCACCAGGCTGTTGCCGCCCGGGATGGGCTTGTCGAAACGCACACCCACACGGTGGGGGTTCTCCTCCAGCACCACCACCACGCGCCCCTTGAGCCCCACTGGTGGGCCGCGCCTGCAGTGAGGAAAGCGAAGGGACGGGGTGCATGCAGGGGAGGGAAGAGAGCGGAGGCAGAGGGATGGGCTTGTCACACGCCCACTCGGTGCAGGTTTTCCTCCAACACCACCACCACGCGGCCCGTGAGCCCCACTGGGAAGCCACGCCTGGAATGATCAGCACAACAAGACAAGGGACTGAACTGAGTGGGGAAAGGGGTTGAAGGAGGTAGGCCGTAGAAGGATGGGCTTGTCAAAGCGCACGCCCACTCGGTGCAGGTTTTCCAACAGCACCACCACGCGCCCCTTCAACCCCACTGGTGGGCCGCGCCTGCAGAGAGGAGGCACAGCAGGGGCAGGTGTAGGAAGCAAGGGACGGGGTGCATGCAGGGGAGGGAAGAGAGCGGAGGCAGAGAGGTGGGCTTGTCACAGCGCACTCCCACAAGGTGGGGGTTTTCCTCCAACAGCACCACCACGCGCCCCTTCAACCCCACTGGCGGGCCGCGCCTACAGTGAGGGAAGCGAAGGGACGGGGTGCGTGCAGGGGAGGGAAGAGAGCGGAGGGGCAGGAATAGGCTTGTCAAAGCGCACACCCACACGATGGGGGTTTTCTTCCAACACCACCACCACCATACCATACGGACCTTCAACCCCACCGGAGGGCCCGGCCTGGACATTCAACCATCGCCCCCATTCAACCATCGCCCCAATTCAACCATCGCCCCAATTCAACCATCGCCCCAATTCAACCATCGCCCCAATTCAACCATCGCCCCCACTCAACCATCGCCCCCACTCAACCATCGCCCCCATTCAACCATCGCCCCCATTCAACCATCGCCCCCACTCAACCATCGCCCCCACTCAACCATCGCCCCCATTCAACCATCGCCCCCATTCAACCATCGCCCCCATTCAACCATCGCCCCCATTCAACCATCGTCCCCATTCAACCATCGCCCCCATTCAACCATCGCCCCCATTCAACCATCGCCCCCATTCAACCATTCGACGCGGTGTGGATTCTCCTCCAGCACCACCACAACACCACCCGCCCCTTGAGACCCACTGGCGGGCCGCGCCTGCAGTGAGTTACGGGAACGCATTGTATGGGGACGAGGGTTGCTGGGAGGGAGGCAGAGGGGTGGGCTTGTCAAAGCGCACTCCCACTCGGAGGGGGTTTTCCTCCAACAGCACCACCACGCGCCCCTTCAACCCCACTGGCGGGCCGCGCCTGCAGTGGGGGCGCACGGCAAGGGAAGGAGATGCATTGAGTGGGGAAGGGCGATTGCAGGGAGGCAGGCACAGGGATGGGCTTGCCAAAGCGCACGCCCACGCGGTGGGGGTTCTCCTCCAGCACCACCACCACGCGCCCCTTCAACCCCACTGGTGGGCCGCGCCTGCAATGAGGGAATCGAAGGGACGGGGTGCATGCAGGGGAGGGAAAAGAGCGGAGGGGCAGGAATGGGCTTGTCAAGCCGCATACCCGCTCGGTGGGGTTTTGTTCCAACACCACCACCACCGCACGGCCCTTCAACCCCACTAGTGGACCGCGCCTGTGCAGTGAGGAGGATGCACAACGAGGAAAAGGAATGCATTGAGTGGGGACGGGGGTAGCAGGCAGGCAGAGGAATGGGCTTGTCAAAGCGCACGCCCATGCGGTGGGGGTTCCCCTCCAGCACCATCACCACACGGCCCTTCAACCCCACTGGGGGGCTGCACCTGAAATGAGTTAAGGGCAGGGAGTGTATTGCGAGGGGGCTTGGAGAGACGCACAGGGATGATGGACTTGCCAAAGCGCTCGGCTGCTCGGTGTGGAGGAGAGGAGCATAGGGGCAGCGGTGGGCGAACAGGAGAGGACGGGTTGGCTGAATGGCGCGGCGGTGGGCAAACAGGAGGGGTTGGCCGAATGGCGCCGCGCAAACAGAAGAGCAAGCACGTGAGCATGAGCGTGGGAGTCAGATGTGCGAGAGGGAGGAGGAATTGGTGACTGATGAAGCAGAGGGAGCGGGAGGAGCAAGGGGGAGAGCGAGGGACAGTGTGTCTGAGGCCCGAATAGTGACATGGAGGGTGGCAGAAGCGAGGCAGAGGACTGTGGGGGTGCAGAAGTGGAGAGTGTGGTGGGAGAGACAGGGGAGAGGAGGGACGAGCGAGAGGGAAGTGGAACGAGTGGGAAGTGGAAGAGGCTCGAATACTGACATGGAGGGTGGCAGAAGTGAGGCCGATGGCGGTGGGGGTGCAGCAGAGGAGAGCGAGGGCGGGCCCATGTAGCGCACTCTGTCGCCTGGGGGCGGGGATGGTGGGGGCGAATCAAGATATTGGGGCGGGGAAGAGGAGGGAGAGAGGGGCAGGGGTGGGGGCGGGAGGGTGGAGCAGGCAGATGATAGGACCATGGTTCAGAAAGGTAATTCACACTTCAATCCCTGGGTGAGGGGCGAAAGAGGGCAATTGTTTTATCAAATAAGCAGGGCAGAAAATGCAATGAAGCATTTAAATTTCTTAGCACAAGAGATCCAAAAAAGACAAGCACACAAGGAGACTACTGCCTTGACCATACATAGGGCGCTCATTCAGTGTACCTTTCTTAAAGCCCTTCTTTGACCCCTCCGCACTCTCGCTGCTCTTCTTCCCCTCGCTTCCAGCACCCTCCTTCTCCTTCTCCCCCTTGCTCTTCGCCTTGTGCCCTGTACCTGCCACCGCTGCCCCACTCCCCGCCTCCTCTTTGCTCCCGCCCTTCCCAACACTGTCCCCCTCACCCCCTCCATCCCTCGTTGAGCCCTTAGAACCCTTGCTGCTGCCCTTCTTCTTATGGGAGGACGAGGAGGATAAAGAGGACTTGGAGTGGTGGGAGCGGGGGATGAGCGAGGAGGAGAGATCCTTCAGCTTCACTGCTCGCAGATCCACACCGCCTTTCCCTCCTCCCGCACCCCCACTGCTGCGTTTACTCGCGGTGCTGCTGCCCTGCTGCCCCTCCTGCTCCTCCTTATCCGGTTTAGTGTGCTTGCCATCGTCACCAGTAGCACTGCTGGTGTGGGTGGTACCAGTGTGTGCAGTGGTGGGGGGCAGTATGCTGTCCGGCTGCGTGCTGGGAGAAGGACCAGCAGCAGCGCCGCTCTGCTCCGCCTCCTCGCACGTGCTGCTAGCAGCAGTAGACGCAGAAAGAGCAGACGAGGGGGCAGCAGGTGGAGTGGCGCTAGGAGCAGCCGGATCAGGAGGATGGGAAACTGTGCTGCACGCAGCAATGACAGCACTGGCAGCGATGTTGCTGCTGCTGCAACCATAGGCAGGCAGATCAGTGCAAACACCACCTGCCCCGTGCACACACGGCACACTCTGCAGCCCTCCTGCCTCCCCCCCAGCTCCCCCGCCCTCCCTCTCAGCTTCTTCCCTCTCCGCGCCTTCCCCTTCTCTCTCCACCCTCTCCCCCTCCCCCTGCGCCTCCGCCCTCTCTCCCCCCTGTCCCTCATCCATTCCATCTGCCAGCTCCAGCTCCCCTGACGCCACGTCAGCAGGCCCATCGCTCTCCACATCAGCAGCCAGGGCGGATTCCCCCTCTCCCCCATCACCCCCTTCCCCGTCACCACCTCCCTCATCCCCCCCCCCGGATACTTGTTCCCCCCCTGCAGCCTCACTCGTGGGACCAGCGACTTGTGCCTCCCCTGACGCCCCTGTCTCTCCCGCCCCCTCTTCCCTCACTGCACCGCCCTCTCCTTGCCTCCCCTCCTCGCCCTCGGCCTCCTCTTCCTCCTCCGCCTCCTCTCCCTGACTTGCCTCTGCTGCATCCCCAGCACCCCTCTCCCCCGCACCTCCCTCTGTGCCCTCTCCTCCACCTTCCCCCTCCTCCCCTACTCCCGCTCCTGTTGCGGCCCCAGTCTCAGCACTCACACAGGACCCTGTCACCGTATCAGCTGACTCCTGCGCCACTGCTGCTGTTGCCGCCACTCCTGCTGCTGATGTGGATGCTGATGCCGATTCTGATGCCAGCGCTGGTTCTGATGCCAATGCCAATGTTGCTCCACTGGTGAGAGCTTGAGGCAAAGCACCGCCTGACTTGGTTGCCAGAGCCACCTGTGTTGCACGGAGCATGAGATACAAGCCAATTCGTTAGGCACCTGTAAAAGCTGTAACTGCACCAACCATACGTAGACCAGCCATACCTGAACCAGCCATACCTGCACCAGCCGCACCATATTTCGACCAGATATACCTGGACCAGACATACCTGGACCAGCCATACCTGCACTAGCCATTCCTGGACCAGCCATACCTGGACCAGCCATACCTGCACCAGCAGCAGCATGCATTTCATACCTGCAGCAGCATGTTGGGAAGATCAAAGATCAGAAGCTTTGCATCCAGGTGCCGAGCCAGCGCCCGAACCAGCTGCTCCTGGTACCGCTCCGAGCCTGCAACAGGTTCGGTAGTGCGCGGGAACAAACAAGGCAGGGTCAGCGTTGTGAGTGATGGGCAGTCATGCGGTTTGCCTCGCACACAGGCGCAGACACGGAAGCAAAACAGCTGGATGGACCAACTCGTTATGTATGATACACAATAACCAGACCAGGCAGGAAAGTGATAGTGGTCACTTTTGAGTTGACTCGAAAGTCACCCAGACCAGGCACGAGAGTGATAGATCACACCCACATAAGCTCATACAATTGTCCTCGCTGAACGCATTACAGACAGGGAAACTACGAGTGTGAGAGCTGGGGGCGGACAAAGGAATCTAGGGGGAGAGGAAGGACCTGGGGGGCCGGAGAGGAGGATGCGCGCGGAGAGTGATGGGAGGTCAGCGGTGAAGCGCAGGAACTCGGGGCGGCGCAGGCGGATGAAACACGCGTCCACCAGCGCGTTGCGCGTGGCATCGCTGCCACGAGGGGGGAGAGGCGAGGGGGGAGGGAGGGGGGGGAGAACGGGGGGAACGGGGGAGATCGGCAGGGGAGGGCGGATGAAGCACGTTGCCAACACGGAACAGCGCGCATGGGCAAACTGACAGAATTCTGCCAGTCGAAGACCTCCGTATGCGATAGGCCAGTCCTACTACTGGCAGTCTGACCTCACTGCAACGGCCAGGAACGATCCGCGATGGTCAGGGAGAAATGACCCTTGCAGCAACGGTCAGAACCACATGTCGCACGGCAGGGGGGTAATAACCCTGAATTCCCTCCCTTCCCTCGCTTGCGCGGGTCTGCGAGCAGACCTGAGATAGTACGGAAACGAGTCGAAGGAGACTTGTAACGCGGATGATTCGATAACAGCGCTCATGACCACATCTCGATGCAGCTGCCCTTCCTTCGTCAGCGGCCCCACGCCGTACCCGCCGCTCGCGGTGATATTTCCGCCGCCGCTGATGATACTACTACAGCTCGTGCCGGCCTTTTTAGTCGTCTTCTCTTTAGTCTTAGTGGTCTTAGCTTCTTTCTTTCCGTCATTGGTGCGGAGCATGCCGATCAGTAGCCCCAGCGAGTACGGAAACACCGTCGCCGTCACCGCTGCCGTCGCGCCGGCAGCGACGCCGGCGGAGACGGCGGCGACGAAGAGGAGGATCGAACGGCGATCGATCCATGCGACGTAGGACGAATCCTGATTCATGCTGGCTGTGAGTGAAGGAGCATCAGTAAGCTTAACTGATAGTCTGGATCATGAGCACCATCGGTCCGTTCCTACACGCGCGAGCGACGAGCAGTTCGGTCTAATTCAATTCTCTACGCAACGTTACTGTGAGAATCCAAATTCAGTAGTCCCCGTGAAGGTGCTCGCGCGGTGAACGAAGCTGTGCAATTGCCATTCCACGGCTCTGCTCTGCTACTTGTCTGGGCTGCAGTGTTGCTTGTTTGACACAGCACAAGTTGCTTGCGGCTTGCTTTGAGTCAGAATATCCGATACAAACGCTGTCCGTTACGGTTCGACGAATCAAAACTGGTTCTTCAAAGGGCAATGATTTCAAAAACAGGTGACCTGATATGTAATAGAAACTGCTGAATTGCACCCAACATTCTAACCCCCAAAACGCTGAAGGGACATCTACATCTGTTTTATAGCATATACTACATTGCAGAATACAGCTTATATGCGGTAAGAAACAGTCTCAGCTCTTCCCTTCCAAGGTAATTGTGATTGTAACTTCGTTGTCTCCTCTCAACACTCGTGCCTCCACCTACAACCACAGCAAAAGCGACAAACATTAGAAACAATATTTGTTATACAATGTACGTATAAAAACTAGAATTGCAACAAGTTTGAACTCAGTGCTGGAGTTTCCGGGCAGCTCACCTTCTGGCCAACCTTGCAGCGGTCTAGGATGCGGTAGAGGTCCGAGCCGTTGCGAACGATGTTGCCATCAATGCCCGTGATGATGTCCCCCAACACCAGCCGCCCGTAGCTGTCCCGAGTCGTTGGCCGGATGCCCTGCACACACCACCGCACACACACACACACACACACACACACACACACACACACACACACACACACACACACACACACACACACACACACACACACCAGAAGGCCCTCCATCAGTTGAGCTTAGGACACTTCCGCAATGCTGCCAGTACCGGCCACAACCACTCTGGCGTTGTGTATTTTCTTGAAGCACGAGGCCCTCAGGGGCGACGGAGATGCACAGCACTCGCCGCGTGTCTCAGGTGCCTGGAGAAACTCAATGTGCGCTGATTGGTGTAATGCACTCACCGCTTTCCCTGCAGGGCCGGAGGGGGGAGCATCGAGCACAAGCACCCCAGCCACGCCCAGCTGCTCCAAGGACTGCTCGGGGGCGAAGGAGATGCCCAGCACTGGCCGCGTGACCTGCCCGTACTTAATTATCTGCTCCACTATGCCCGCCACCTGCCGAGCGTGGAAGCAAGGGGAGGGGCGAAGGGTGAAAAGGAGGGAATTTTGAGTCGACTCAAGAGATGCCCAGCACTGGGCGCGTGACCTGCCCATACTTGATTATCTGCTCCACTATGCTATCTGGGCCGCACATAGCACACAAGGCACTCAAGGCACTGCAGTGACTAACCGTATCAGCGGGAATGGAGAAGCCGACGCCAGAGGAGGCGCCAGAGGGCGAGTAGATGGCAGTGTTGATGCCGATGAGGTTGCCGTTGGAGTCCAGCAGCGGCCCCCCGCTGTTGCCCGGGTTGATGGCCGCATCTGTCTGTATCACGTCCTGGATGGGCCGCCCCGTTGCTGCACTGCTGATCTCCCTCCTCAGCCCACTGTGGAATGGGGAATGGGAGGAGTGGGAATGGGAATGCATCAACAACAAGCACATGGTTGTTGCGACGGGCAGAGCAGCTGTTGCATAAGTAGATAGCTGCGTCTGTCTGTATCACGTCCTGGATGGGCCGGCCTGTTGCTGCACTGCTTATCTCCCTCCTCAGCCCGCTGTGAGGACGGGAGGAGATGTTTGGGTATGTGAGGAAAGAGAGGAGCTGGAATGGTTGCTGCATTTGTCAGAGTCGCATCGTTGTTTCGCACTGAACATGAACACACCAAGAAGCAATGAAACGGGGAAACAAACAGACAAACAGACAGGCAGGCAGACAAAGGACCGAGTTCATGGCTGCAGCAGGGGGGACGGTTGTGATGCATTCCATGCCATATGTGTTAAACGTACCTGATCACGCCTGTGGTGAGGGTATGGTCCAAACCGAACTGCACAAGCGAGCACGCGTTGGGAGGGAAGGGGGCAAGGGGAGGAAGCATAGTGGAGCGGTGATGATGAATACATGATGACATGCATGATGCCTCCATCGTGCCATGCCATGTGGCACAGGATGCGTTTTGAGTCAAATCAAAGCTAGCTTCATAAGCACAAGCGCTTAAACAAGACGTCCCCATCATGGCATGGCAGGCGGTAAGGCCACACAGGAAGGGGGAAGGGTGCGGCACACATGCACATCCGACAAGGCACAGTACCATATCAACCTGGACATTGCATAACTATTTACCATTCTCACCTGGTTACCACACAGCACACTCAGGTTACTCGTTGCACTCTTCACCTGGTTACCTGGTAACCGCACACAGCACACTCACGGGGTTCCCGATGGCGTAGACGCGCTGCCCCACTTGCAGGTCAAACGAGCTGCCCACTCGCAGCGGCCTGAGCTTGCTCTTAGGCGCGTCGATGTGCAGCACTGCCACGTCCTTGTCACGGTCGTACCCCACCACGTCAGCCGCGTACACTGATTGGTCCGCCAGTGTTACACTGTTGGGAGCACAATAAGAAGGAGGAGAGAGCGGCGAAGGTGAAGGACACAATGTGCCACCGCTGGGCATGGCATGCATCGCATGATGGCATGCTGGCGCTGTGCCTGGGAGGGGACGTTACACTAGCAGTTGACGTTCGAGGTCACACAAGTGGTTGTATGTTCAAGATCTCTCGAGTCCAAGTCACACTAGTGAATGACGTTCATGGTCGCATTAGTGGTTGACGTTCAAGTTCACACTAGTCGTACTTCAGACTTTCCTCTTCTGTGCAGCGTTCCAAGAACCAGTGTAGACACACAAACGGGCCCTCCCTCACCTGACTTCTTCAACTTAACTTGACTTAAATTGACTTGACTTGACTTGACTCACCGCAGGTCGCTGGAGTTGCGAATCACGTGGTAGTTCGTCACCACGTGGCCTTCGCGGTCCCAAATAAACCCCGATCCGGACCCCTGCGGCACCTCCATCACGTCAAGTGTAAACACGTCCCTCCGAACGGCCAGATTCGTGATATAAACGACACTCGGTGTCGTTTCGTTGAATAGTTGCACCGTCGCCTGCTCGTCCGGCATCAGCTTGCGCGGCGGTGCCTGCACGATGGCCGTCGCCGGCGCGCTGACGGACGTCAGCAGCACGGCGCTGACGGCCAGCGACACGAACAGCCGGCCGGCTTCCCTGAGGATGTCGGATGGTTCCGGGAGGTGGAATTGATGGCTCAGATGCGACCGCCAGAAGGCGAGGCGGTGGATCAGGGTTGTCCATGGGGCTTCTGATGGTGACATTGATGAGAGATTCCGGTCAAGCTGATCGAGTGACTCGCAGCACGGGTTCCGCGGAACGATCGCCTCGTCGTGCGCTTTGGTCTCGTCGTCCGACCTCCGACCATTAACGAGTCCATCCTCGTTAGAAGCTACGCTGCTGCTGACACTGGGACGCGGGGAGCTGGTCGCATAGACCGTGGCTAGGCGACGCGGGGACGAAGTGCCGCGGACACCGCGGACGCCTACGCCTCTAAATGCCGCTAAGCTCTTTGTACGCAATGCGTTCTTGCCAGAAGGCAGGACGCGGAGGTTGGCTGAGCTGCCATGGTGCGACGTGGATGAGCGTTGAATAAGGGAAGCACACGAGGAAACTGGAGAGCTGAGCTTGGGTTGTCGTGAAAAAGGCGAATGCTGAACGCACGACCCCGGGGGAGCAGCGCGGAACGCGACTTGGGATAGGCCAAGTTCCATTGTGCTCACTGACACCAGATACTCGACCTAGCGGGAGAGCTGTCTGTGAGTAAGTGCTGGGTGCTGCCTAGAGCGTTCCACAGACGGTGCGAGTCTTATGCAAACCTTGGGAATTCCGATGTCAGTGAAAATGTGATCTCGGAAGTACCTTTTTGAAGCAGCTGCATGGTGGTGCAGGAAAATGACGAACTCAGTGCGCATCTGTGGATCTGTCTGTGTACAGATCAGTTCTGTATGGTTATCTCTGGTGCGCAATGATCCAAAACGGTGCATAGAGCTCCAGAATGGTGAACTTCAAGGATCGTTCCCAGAGGCGAGAGCACCAAGCATCCAGCCAAAATTCGGGAAATTTCAGGATGCGTGAGTTACAAGAAATTGTGGGGAGATTTCGTCCATGTCAGAGGAAGCGTGTATACGTGGATTGTACACGTGTAGACTTCTGGTTATGACATGCTGTACAGCTGGTCTGACTGGAGGTCTCCAGAAGGCATCAGATTTTTAGTTCACTGCGGTTTAAGTGAGATGCGCTACTCGGCAAACCGTCTCACTTACTTTCCAGCACAATTTTCGAGCTAAGTGGAATCTTGTGACAGGTCACGATACGGGAAAATCTACTACCGCAAGTTTTGGTAAGACATGTTATTTAATCCTGCTTACGGGATGTCTGACAAAGTAAGATCTGGTAATGACAGCCGAAGGAACTTCAGGGCAAGCTACCCAAATGGAAGACAGGAGCAACCAGCTGAAGTAGCTAGTTCTGAATTACGAGATAAATTCAACAATAAATCGGTACAATATATTGTATATATGTACATGTTAGGATCCAGGTCTACGCAGCAAATGATTTGCCACATCCACAGGTAGAGGAAGCATTAGGGTTGCTGAATGAGAAGCCACCCCCAATGAGAGCATCGCTGTAGTCTAGCCGCATGCCGAACAGGAAGAGAAGGCTCTTGGGATCGCACACTGCCAGGGCGAATGCAAACACGAGAAGAATGTGAAGTAGCTGGCACAGAAAATCACAGATCACTAGGAAAAAAAAGGAAGCGGGTAAGATATAGCGAGTCGCGACAGCAACAGAGGTCCGAAACAGATACAGAAATACGCACCCATAGAGAAGCCTTGGTAGTCCACGATAGAGTCGCCTTCCTGGATGTTGGCTCGCTCCTCGAAATCCATCACGTATGAGAAGCCAGAGCAGCCACCTTGTCTCACGCCAATGCGCAGCAGCAGATCCTTGTTCAGCTCGGCGCGCATCTTGGTCAGATGCGCCAGAGCCTTCTCAGATAGCGTAATTGCCGGAACTACGGACGGAGCCGCCGGAGTTGCGGTCGCTCCTGCAACGGAACAATTCAGGAACAATATGTCAGCAACTGTACGAGGACGCTATAAGCGCGATGACGAGAAGCTTGAGAATGTGGCGGGAGATGGGTTTGTGTGATTGTCAGGATAGAAACAGGGAGTAGCCTACCTCCAGCGCTGCATCGAACGGCGGAGAGGCGTTTCTGAAATCGGAAGGCTACGGACTTGCTGATGCTCTTCGTACTAGCAGACCGGGCGTTCAAGGCTGTGTGCTGCCGTGGAGCACTGAACAGCGATGCGCTTACAAGGGTGGTGATTGCAAGAGCAGCCATGGCCAGGGTAGGAATTTGAACGAGTTACACAGGTATGAATAGACTGGAAGCAGGCAGAATCCTTACGGCGATTGTTATTAGTACGAAGGTTAGGGCACTGCTCGGTGGAATCAACGACTGACTAAATTGCAGGATGAAGGTGAGACGGTAGTACAAATGAGGCAAAGGCGAGAAGCAGTGGTTTGTTCAGTTGTCCTTGAAGCAATGAAGGTCCGGCTGTTCGGTGCATGTGCGAGTGCCAGCAAATGGGAGAGCAATGAGTGGATTCCGTTCATGAATGAGGCTTGACGACAGGGCAAGGTGAAACGTGCCTGCGAAATGGATCCCTCGCGAACAAAAATATCTGCCCTGTGAGGGTAACCGATATGGCAGTTGGCGAAATCGGAGTCCCGCAACGCAATACAAAATGGTCGGTGAGGAACCACTCTCGTGATATCTAACTTTGCCCCGAAAAGGCATCAACGATTCACTTTTGTCCACGTGGACTCCTTTTCGTACGCGGTTTTGGGATACCTCCTTCTCGTCATGTAATCCAGCCGCAGATTGGAAGGTCTGAACATATGTGCCTACAATAAGTGTAATCACAATTAGTGTAACTCAAAGATGCAATGACAAATCAATTTCTTGCATGGCAATGGCCTTGCATGAGGATTTGACTCGGTGATCCTTTATCTGTATGGCTGGCAGGCTATGCACTCGCTCAAGTGAAACACGCGTAGCAACCAGCGAGGTTTGTTTCACAAGAGCAACCTTTGTTGACCCAAATTGTGTGGAAACAAGCTGGGGCAACACTGACGGGATACACAGCACTCGTGCACGCCGCTTACACCCCTCTTTGGCTGCTTCCTCGCTCTCCTCCATCTGCTTATTCACATCAACCCATTGCATCGCATCGGAATAAGTCCTCTTCCGCTGCGCTGCCTGCACTTGGCTCAGCATAGCACTCACTATCCGCTGAGGTTGCTGTGGCAGCTGCTGCTGCTGTTGCTGATTGTGGTGCTGCAGATTCTGCTGCTGCCCCTGCTCACATGCCACGTCAGCACGAGTTAACGAGTAGCCCCTAGCCAGCACAAGGGAAGGCCTGCGGGAAAGTGAGAATGAACGCACGGAACCAGAACCCATCACCCGAGGCACCGTGCCCGTGCCATCCACACCTGCTCTCCGAGGTGCCTCTGAAATCTCCTGAGCCATCATGGCGATTCGTTCAGCATCGGCACTGCGGTGCTGCAGCAGAAGCCGATTGTTGCGAGGCACCGCATTTGCACCTGAAGCTTCTCCCACCCTGCCACCCCACTCGCACCCCACCTGCACCTGCTGCTCCTCCCTCCCACCCAGACTAGACCTCCCTCCTGCCCGTCCCTCCCCTCGCGCCCTTTCTGCTCCAGCATATGGATGATTGTCCCAGCCCCCTGGCTCATCCACCCATCTTCCCCTGTCCGCCTTCCCCCCTGCCTCGAATCCCCCACTCAGGTGCCTCCTCATATGCCCTCCCAGGGCAGGCCCCGAGGCAAACAGAGCTCCGCACACACGGCAGGGGTAGCCAGAGGGAGGGGGTAGCGGGGAGAGCGGGGCGAGAGGAATGGCATGAGGGGAGAGGCGAGCAGGGGGAGGGGAGAGAGGAGCAGGAGGGGGAGACTGGAAAGCGGGGCCAGGCAGGGAGAGAGGGGAGACGGGAGAGTGGTTGGGAGAGGGCGAGGGAAGAGGAGAGATGGTGGGAGCGGCGGGGGGAAGAGAGGAACGCATGGGAGGCAGGAGGGGAGCAGAGGGAACGGTGGAAGCAGGAGCAGGACGAGCAGAGCGCGAAAAGGAATGAATGACGTCCTTCGATGCTGCGTTAGGACGGGCAGGACGAGCAGGGCAGGGTGGAGAGGCGTTGCTGCCTCTGTGAGTCCTGATGCATGCATCCGCTCTCCCACCGCCATTGTCGCTGCCTCTGCCTGTGCTGATCCGCAGAGGTGATGACTGTCTGGGTGTTGAGGCTGGTGGGGAGGGCATTGGAAGCAGAGCCAGGCCGATCTCTGTGCACACTGCTGGGGCAGCTGGGGCAGGAGGAGACGTAACAGCAGCTGTAGGAGTGGCTTCAGCAGGAGATGTGGCAGGTGACGTAGCAGGAACTGTAGCAGGAGCAAGTGCTGCAGCTGCAGCCAATTCAGGGTTGCGATTGACTGCACATGACCGTTTCAACTCGTTACCAAAACCCTTAGCAGCACAGGGTTCCAAAGCTGAGTACGAGCACTTCAAGGCCGAGTGATGCAGCTGGGGCAGGTGCTTCAGAGGCAAGATTTTTGTGGGAGAGCAATTCACTGCCAAGGGTTGCAGCGTCGAGTGCATCGCTGCCGAGCGCGCCTCAGCTGAGTGTTCATTCACGATCGACGTGCCACCACGCGGACGAGCATCCTTCCCATCCTCCAACCCATAGCAGCAGCCCTCATCACTTGCACACAGCGCTTGCACTGCATCGCCTCCCCACTGGCCTCGTCGGCCGTGTGCTGGCCCCAGCAGCCACAGCACTGCTGTCTTCTCACTCTCGCCACAAGGGCCGCAATGTGTGTCATGGGCGCCACGGGCACCATGGTTACGGCACGGGACAGGGGAGCTGCTCTCCCGGCCTCCCCCCGTGCAGCTGCGGCTGCAGCGGTGGTGCTGCTGGGAGTGGTGCTGCTGGTGATCTCGCTGCTGATTTTGCGTCTGCTGGGTCTGGCGCTCCAGGGGGCTGTGACTGTGGTGGCGCTCAAGCACGATTCTGGGACGGCAAGCACTCTGCAGCGCAGGGACGATCGCCACAGCCATGCCATGGCAGCTCTTGCCCTTGCCGCTCTGCTGCTGTCGCTGCTGCTGCAGGGAGTGGTGCTGCTGGGAGCAGAGCTGCTGGGAGGGGCGGCTGTGGTACTCGTGCTGGGTTGCCCGGCCGCGTTGACTCTCTTGACTCTGTTGACCGAGCCGAGTTCCAAAGACTAGCATGTTGGCAGCCTTGCTGGCAGGGGAAGTTCAGCTGTTTGTTGCGTGATTTGGTGCAGTTGCTGAAGGCCTTGCTGGCAAAGAGAAAGAAGAACGCTCTAAGTAACAGGCTAACGAGGTGGGAGGGTTGGCGACTGCTGCTGCTGCTGCGCAAGGAGCAAGGTAAGCACTGAAAATGGGAAAATCCCGTGCAGCTGGTGCTTATTGCTGAAACAACGAGTTGAGTAGATGCGCTAATGAGTAACTCGCCCTTCGGCTCGTCGCCTCCCACCTTTATCCTTCCAGACCTCGTTCCTCCCTGTCCTCAAACTCGTCCCTTTGCCCCCTCGCTCCCCTTGCTTCCTTTCTCCCACCTCGCCTGTCCCTCCCGGCCCCTGCTCAAGACCCCGACTCGATCCACAATACCTGCTGTCGTGCCTTGTGGACCACAACTTTCAACCGGCTGTAGTAACGGCTAGCAGCTAGTGGCTGGAGGTTCGCGGCTAGCGGACTGGTGCCCGTGAATCCCTAGGGACGGGCGTTTCTGGTAGAACGTTCCACTCCTGTTTAGTAAAAACGGGCAGATTCAAAATAGGAGGTCAGATTCTGGAAGCACGGGATGCTCTTTCCACGAGCCTGCAAACGTCAGTTTTTCTTCCGACGCCTCAAAGGTAGACCGAAGGAATTCGCACCTGTCAACCACGCTGCTGCTGCTACTCCCTTTCGTCTTCTGTCTGCTGTCGCCTGCTTCGCCCGTCTTGTCCCACACGCAATATTCCTTCTCCCCCTGTCTCTTCCCCCGCGCTTGCAACCCGTACTGGCGTCGACAACTCGACAAGGGCGTGTGCGTGTGACGCGAGTCGCGGGAACGGGAGACAAAGCTGACACGCGCAAGGCGAACGCAGCGGAAACTGCAATGATGGAATGCAACGCAGCACGGAGTGTTGGAATATCTCTACAAGTCGCGAGGGATAACAGAGCTCGTAACTTGCAACCGCGACGGGGGCTTCTGAGACGCGTCGGACGGACTCGACTTTGAGACTTTGAAGTGCTTCAGGAATTAGACGGGCTCGGCGATCCCGAGAGTCGCAACGTCTGACTACAACGCGACGAAACGACGGACAGCGCGTCTACCAGCAGCCAATCAGACGCGAGTCAGTTGACGGGCGACGGTCGACCGGCTTGATTGTTTGATATGTAAGACTGTTGGGCCGACCTTGGGATTTACGAGCCAAGCGTCGCGAGCCAGAAAAGAGTTCGCGAACCAGCGAGAGTTCGCGAGGAGCGACGTTCAGGCAACGGGGAGAAAATCCGGACAGTCTAACAGGACATTGAGACAGTACGGACAAGATGTCGCCACGCCAGCATAGGTAGTACTGACAGCACAGCGGCCGTTGACAGATGGACTGCCGTGCAACTAATGCAGACAGCAGATACTTATGCCAGCACAACAACACTGGATTGCTTCTCCGCAAAATATCAGTACCAGCTAGGCAGAGACCGGCACAGCCCGGCACAGCTCGGTCCAGCTCAGAACCGTACGGACCGCTGGTGGTCCACGTGGACGGGTCGGTACATCCTCCTCTCGAACCGACGACCTTGGGATCTACTTTCGACGCGCATCGACATCGGGACTGGTAGCTATTGAAAGCTTAGGCCGGATTTGCGGTTCGGGTGGATGCCTCTTTTGGTATACCTTTCTCCCTGAAGCCGTTTCGCGACTGTCATATCTGAGGTCATTTGCTACGAGCCGTGCGATCTGTGCGATCTGCGTCCGACGCGGTGACTGACACATCGCTAAGCGACTCTTAGTCGCCACTGAGCTCATGATACGGCGACAGGACGAGCGACAGCATGCGACAGCTCGACGACGGCCAACAGACAGTTGGAAGACCAAGCGGTATGTTGTGCGATCCTTCAAAAGACACCAGCGATCGCAGACGGACTGCTCTGCGACGCACGTGGACGTCTGCGAGACATTATGCGAAAAGCGTGCTGCCAGAAGAAGCGCGTGCGACAGGCACGAGTGTGCGACCTGGCTGACAGCCATGATCTAGCTGACAGATAAGAGACTGATGAGAAGAAAGCCGGAATGACAATGACAGGCTTGAATACATATTGCAGGCCAAAGGGGTGCGAGACTGTTCCAAGTGGTGAGTGGATCTCTGTTTCCGATAAGAGCTCAAGGTTAGCGGATAGTGGCGGGGATAAATAAGCTGAATCTGCTGAAGGATTACCTACACTAGATGAGTGGACATTAAGGTTAGAATTCTTCCTGGATTCCCTTCCATTCCCATGTCATGGTTGGAGCAATAGTTTACCTTCACAGTTTAACAAATTTTTTTGCACCTATCCATTATTTCCCAAGACTAATAGTACAACACATTATCCTTCCTACCACTAACTACGGTATCCTTTCTAACAACTCATGAAAAAACGCATAGACAAAGAAAATGATTTATGCCAGCAAACACAGAACATTTTCAATCCCTTGCCGTGCCTTCGTGCCCGCGAGCACTATCAGCATCGAGCATCTCGAGGCATTTCTCCGTTGTCGATAGGCTAGGCATTCCGGTTGTCAGCAAGGGCGACGCCATGCATTGCAGAGGCTGCTGGTGTAATCCTGTACGCACAACGAGAATAATAATGAGTCGGGACATAGCAGGCACGACTTGGATAGTATGAGAACATAGATTTCAGTCAGACAAGCACCCATCCAAGCTCAGCTCAAAACCAGGATCTTCTCACCCAAAGCCGCCTCTGTCTCTGCATCTTCCATAAGGGCATCTAGATGATTCCCCATGTGTGCAGGCCGGTCTGCTTCCGTCTCACCCAATCCAGCACCCATCGCCGCAAACCCCTCCTCTTCCATCGCCCTCCCTCCTCTCTCCATTCCCTTCTCGTCGCCCCTCACCATTCCTCCCACCAAATCACCGTAATACTGCAACTGGCCAACGATACAATTCTCCTGATCCTGCACAATACGGCCGCTCGGCACATGATAACTGCAGCTAGGGTCTTCAAAGCCACTGCTTGGCTGCCCAAAACCGCGAGTTGGCTCCTCATAACCCTGATCGCCAGGGAGCAGGGCCATGGCAGCAGCAGTCTGCCAGCTCCCTTCGAAACCCTCCTTCAAGTCTAACTTCGCAGCACCACTCACACTTGCCTCTGCTGCTCCTGCCTCTGCTGCCTTCTTTGCCTGCCCCTGTGCCCCACTCACACCTCCTCCTGCTTCACCCACACATTTCTGCGCCGAATCAGGCCTGGAACCTTCCTGCACACCTCCATTCCCACCAGCACCAGCACCAGCACCAGCACCTTCACCACCAGCAGCAGGAGCAGAGGCAGTGGCAGCGGCGGCAGAGGCGGCGATGGCAGCCGCAGTAGCAGCAGCAATAGTGGCGGACCCAGCTGCTGCAGACGACCCGTCAGTATCAGGTGGGAGTGTGGGGGTCCTAGGTAGGGAAGGCACGGAGAGCAGCCTGAGAGGGCGGGGCGTGTGGCTGTGGGGAGAGGGGAGGTGGGGGTCCACCTGAAGTGGGTCTTGGGTAGGAGGGACGCTTTCTATCTGCTCACCTCCCTGCATGATACTCCCCTGAAAGCGATCAATGGAGCGAGTGAGAGGGAGTGAGTGTGAAAGGAGGAGCGACTGTGGGGAAGGGAGGGAGTGGGGCTGAGGACGCAGGTCTGGTCTGTGCTGGAGGAAACCAAAGGAGGACGTAGGTGGAGGTGGGAACTGGGGTAGGACGTCCTGTGTTACGCTGGACATAGTAGGGAGAGCAGAGAGAGGGGCTCGCGAAGGGGTGATAGGGACGGTCACAGCAGGTGCGATGCAGGGGGTGATGGGGACAGCAGAGAGCGGGACAGGGTGCGTGGAGAGGGCGAGGACGGGCGCAGGAGTGGTGGGGGCGGCGAGGATGGATGGGCTGGCGACGGTGGGAGGCGCGGCGAGCACTGCTGGTGGCGCTTTTTGCTCCTTCAGCATCTGGTCAAACAAGCGGTTGCACAGATAAGACAACGAAAGAAAACAGGGTCAGATGAGTTGAATTGTGCATATCATGAAATGAATAGTGCCAGTAAAAAAAAAAAAGGTAGGTGGAGGGGAGAAGGAGAGCAGAAGTTGATGGGCTGATGATCACACTACCAATGTTGAAAGAAGGCCAATCTCACCAGATGGCCGAATTCGGAGCGGAGAAAACTAATGGTATCTCCTGCTGTAAGGCCGTATTTGCGAATATAGTCTCCTGCATATTGTAACAGCAGATACGGTAGTAAGAGTTGTTAATGCTGCCTGTCGAACACCTTCCACACATGTAAGCGACAACAACTAAAAGTCATCCTATCTCACCTGCGTGCTCCAGCACATACATCCTGCTCCGATTGTTGGGCCAAAACCTGCAGTGACAGCCGCACAGAGGAAGCGAGGCACAGAGTCAGTCAGGCCCATAAATCAGACCTGTAGCACCAGTTCCCACCACAACCTCATCCGTGCTCTCCAGACGCGAGAAGAACCAAGGAGGCATCTCAGTACCGTGAAGAGCACACACACCTGTAGCGAAAGCACCATTGGCCACCAATGGAGTCTTCAACAATGATGAGAATGCCCTCCTTGCTCTCCACGTGCGGCAGGAATCAATGCGACTTCTACCACGAACACCACATACCAGTACCACAAGCACCAACACTATCGAAGGAGCATACCTGTAGCGAAAGCACCACTGGCCGCCGATGGAGTCTTCAACAATGATGAGAATGCCCTCCTTGCTCTCCACGTGTGGCAGGAAGCGCTCTGCCGGCACCTTGGGCAGCACCACCCGCCCCAGGTGGCTTGTGTCGCTGGCTGTCAGCAGCTTCTCAAACAAGACGCCTATTGCCTTGCTCTGAGGGTGGGGCGATGGGGATAAGATGGCAGTAGGGAGGGAAGTGGGGAGGATAATGGGAGGGGAAGGAAGAGGAGTGTCAGGAAGCGCTCTGCCGGCACCTTGGGCAGCACGATCCTGCCCAGGTGGCTCGTGTCACTGGCCGTCAGCAGCTTCTCAAACAACACGCCTATTGACTTGCTCTGAGGTGGGCGATGGGGAAAAGGAAGGAAAAGGCGTCTGAAGGAGAGTCCAGCAGCATGCGCAACATATTTATCTAACCCAGTTGAACCTGGCATTATAAAACAGTGAGCAACATTTGTCAACTTACGTAAGTGGAAATGCATACAATAAGATAGCCCCCATTACCTTGGAGCCATAGCCACGGAAGCCAGTGCCTGTGGATGGAGACAAATCTTGGTTGGACACGCCTTGCAGCTGCTTTGGCGTGCTGCCAGCAGACCCGCCCGACTTGGAGTCCACGTCAGCACCACCATCCACGTCAGCAGGCCCTGCAACGTCACCGGTGACCTCCATGCTGGCGATCCTACGTGGCATTGCCAGTGCCGTGCCCCTGCTGCCGCCACTGCCTCCGCTTCCCTCCCCTTCCGACCGGGTGAGAGACCCCCTGCGGGTTAGCGGCTCCAGACACAAGGCCCTGACTTCCCTGCATGTTAGGAAGCAAAGGCAGCCCGCAGCAAAATCATACCACAAACACAACACAAAAACGCCCACCAGACATGGTGTCAGTCAGACTCATCACTTCCAGGGGCACTGCCTCCCATCCATGCACGTGGCAAGGCAAGGGGTTCCGGAACAGGCAACGGTAAAGAAGAAACGGCTTTAGACTTGCCGCGCAGCCATACCTGCCTTCGGACTCGGTCAGTGAAGCCTGTGGTCGCAGCCTGCTGCCACCGATAACTCCCCCGCCACTGCTGCTGCCACTCACATTCCCATGCACCATCACCTGCCCCGGACTCATCTGCTGCGCTGCCACACCCGCCGCTCCCTGCTCGTACCCCGTCCCACCCATCCCTTCTCCACCCACATTCAAACCCCCAGACGTCCCCTGCACCCTCATCCTCTGCTGCCCCATTCGTCCGCTCCCTCTTGGGGACCCCAGGGATCCCCCAAGACCTCCGCCTCTTCCCCCTGTGTGCCGCCCTCTACCAGGGATATGCGCCCCTGAGTGGTGGGCGCGAAGGGCCAGCCTCCTCTTGCTGCGGTTGCTTGCAGCTACACTGGGGGAGATTTTGGCCACAGAAGGGGTGTTGGGGCTGGCGGAAGGAAAGGCACCAGAGAGGGGGGAATGCGTGGGGAAGGGGAAGGAGCCAGGGATTCTGGAAGAGGGGGAGGGTGCGCCCATGGGTGTGTACGCCCCTAAGGGGGAGTGTGCGCCGAAAGGGGGAGGGCTGGGTGGGATGGAGATGGAGAGGCGTTGGAATTCGGCCAGGCGAGGGGAGGGGAGGTGGGAGAAGCAAGGGGAGGAGAATGGAGAAGGCTGGCCGGGGGAGAAGAGGGGAGATGGCAGGTGTGGGGAAGAGAGCGGGGAGGAGAATTGGGAGGAGAGATGGGGAGAGGAGGCGAGTCGAGGGGAGGACACACGGAAAGGGTCGCCCCCGAGGGCCCTTCCTGACTGCTCCAGCTGTTTCCTCGCCCAGGGAGGCAGCCGTGACGACCGCTGCAAACCCCCATCTCCTCCCTCCCCCTCTGATGCTCCTCCGCTCCCCTTCCCCTCACCGCCCTCCAATCCACCCTGTGTTGCCCCACCAACCCCCCCTGCATCATCCCCCTGTGCCCCATCCGCACCAGCGTCCAGTGCCCCACTCTCTGCCTCAATAGTTTTCCCATCACCGCCCGCACCTCCCACTCCCGGCTCACCCTGACGCTGCTTCTGCTCCAGACCCCCCTCGTGCTGCTGCTGTGCCTGAACCCCAGCAGCCGTAGCTCCACCAGAACCCATTCTAGCAGCTCCTCCCAGCCTGCCTGCTTCTTGGAGATCCCTGTGGAGACTAGCGGACCACAGCATGGCGTCAGTCATGCCCGCACTGGACGCACCACCGCCACCGCCACCACCACCACCGCCAAAAGATGGGCCGGCATCGAAGCCTAGCGCCCTGTCAGGCCAGCCGGGTAGACCTCTCTCCTCCGGAGCAGTGAGGAGGCTCTGGAACGAGGTGCTGGCCGGCTGCTGCAGGTACGCTCTGTCCGACATGCTGACGTGGCCGGATGGCATGATGACTTGGCCTGATGGTGTGCGGGGAAGCGGCGACGGATCCAGGCTATGGTGGTGGTACTGCAAGAATCCTGCCAAGCCAGTGCCGCTTCCAATCCCTTCCATGCCAGCCTCCGCTTGACCCATGAGCATCCTTCCTTCATCCATAGCTAGCCTATGAGACAGCCCCCCAGATGATGCTCCCACCATACCGGGAAAGTCATCAGCCCCTGTTATCCCCTGCCCCTGTGCCCTTCCGGAAAGCTGTTGGTAGTTGAGAGATTCCAATCCTTGCATCATTGTAGCTCCAGTTCCTCCTGACCCCAAACCCATCCCCATTGCGGACAGGCGAGATGAGTAATCAAGTGCTGATGCCCCATATCCCCCAGCTCTGTGCCCCAAGGAGGACCATGGAAACTGATTGGAATCGCCAAGGGAAGGCCGAGGGTCTTCTCCCATTGCAGCCTGCATCGCTTGCATCATGCTGCCGCCTTGCTGCTTCCCCCCTGCTGCAGCCACCTCTGCATCAAATTCACTCAGCGCACTGAACCCCCTCCCTCCAGGATCCAATGCTGACGGCCCGCCTTCCAGCATCCCTGTGTAGGTCAATCCTGATGAAACCCCTGATGTTACTCCTGGTGCCAATCCATGGGAGTAGCCAGGCATATGTGCTGCTGCACTGCCGCTCTCTGAACGGAAAGGACCCAGTGCTGGGAGAGGTTGTGAGGAGTGCAGAGCGGTGAAGCGGTCGTTAAATCCCGCTGCAGGGGGTGTTGTGTGCCGTCGGATGTCCCACAGGTGCCTCCCATGTTGAGCAGGGTTGATGTCCTGAGGAGAAAAGTAACATAAAATCAGAGATTAAGTTTCTAGAATCTATCAACCACCACCTTCCGTTGCAACAAAAAGGGCCAAGAAGATTGACCAATGTAGCCTCTATAACACGAGATATGGGTACAACACACCAAAGGAGGAACATATCGCCCTAGAACAATATGTAGAACGCATTCGATATATTCTCAAGCTAAACTTACTGTTTTTGGCCTGTTGGTAATAAGCCACTTCTTGAGAAACCGCATGTCGGATCCCAAATCCAAGCACAATTCATGCGCTGATCCCGACGTCTCTATGCCTTCCATCCGCCACTGAATGGCTTCTCCGAACGCTCTCAAACGTTCCTGGACGAACAAAACGACACAGAAAAAAGGGTGGTGAGGCAGTGAGAGGTGAATCACTGGGATGAGATGCATGAGGAGATGCATTGGAGACATGGAGAACATGGAACAGATTAAGGATGGAATACATGATGTGAGCAGTTGCATACCTCTTCGCTGGGTAACAACCTCTTCCTTCTCCCGGCCTGCCGCCTTGTAGCCTCCGCTGGTCCTCCTTCTGCTCCTACTCCTCCACCGCCTGCACCATCACCATGGAAAACAACAAGAGTGCTGCTTCTGTCAGCTATGTGCCATTTTTTGAAGAAAAACAAAATGCAAAAAAATGTCACTTATACTATACTAAGCATGATACAGTCAATCAGCCGTGCTTCATGTAGCCAATCAGTCACGCATAACCAAGCCATCACTTCATGCATACTAATCTACAGAATAGTCACGCATCATTCAGTCGACGTATCTCCTCCTCAGATGTAAGTCAGCCATGCATTTATCACATAGCAAACATTCATGCATTATCCACATAAATTATTACCTGAGGGTGGAGAAAGCACACGGTGGCGTGGACCTCTAGGAGGGCTGTCGAGGGGGTCAACGAACAGCCTTCTCCGCACGTTCAAATTATCTGCTCCCGATATTGTCACCTCTTGCAGCCCCGATAAATCCACACCCCTCAGGCTTTCCGAGGCTGCAGGAGCGGATCCATCAGTAAGACCCCTACTGCCATCAGCAGGGGGTGTCACAGTGTGCTGTGCAACAGGTTCCGTTCCTAGCCCTTGAGTGTCCGCGCCATCTCCGTTATTCTGAGAAGGCGGATTCTGTACATCTGCTGCCTGGATAAGCGCCAAGAACGAGGATGGTTCCGGGTTGGCATTGGTTTGTCCTGTGGATCCAGATCTGTCATCCGTTGCAAATAATGGCACATTTCGCAGACAGGGAGAGCTGGGATTTCGTGGAATGTCACTTCTAGCGCAACTGAATGGCATCTCAAGTTTATGCATCTCAGGAGTGGTAAAGCCAAGCGCTTTAACGCCATGGTCAGCATCATCAGTACGAGGAGATGGAAGAGTACATATAACCGTGTCATTGTTAACACGAGCAGCCTGCAAGCAAACGCAAAGCCAGTATTAGTATGCATGATTTGATCCCATATGTTAGACCCCTGACGAATGCAAAATATTGATAGAACTACCTCGTTCACGCTATCCTTGGAACCTCCAGAAGAATCTGGCATGTATTCCCTCAGAGGGCCACCAGAATTAGCATCGGTTGCCATCCTGCAAACAACCACACGCAAAATATTAGTCGATACTAAAAACAATAATCCCATGAGGTAAAATAACTACTCTTAATCTGCATTTCAATCTGGAAACCCGTAATCAACGGCGAACGTGCGGTTCTGCTGGTAAGAACGGTCATGGATCTAAACATTCATGCAATCTAGAATAAGACAACATGGACAAGCCGAAGAAAAGAGCGAATGACTAAATATAATCTTAAATGCATCGCTCCCATGATCGGTGCTAGCTTTAGTTTGTGTTAGCTCAGATACCTGCCATGCACGTTCTCCTGAAGCCAGCTTTAGCTCCGAACGATGTTCAAAGACGTGGCTGGGAGAACAAACGCGAAGCTGACTCGAAAGGCGTGCATGGACACACGAGCTGCTGCAAGGAACCCACAATGCAAGGGTTTCTAGGCGATTGCAGGACGAAGAATTTGGAGATGAGAGATAAGAGGAGCATGAGGGAAGCTTGTAAGCTCAGAAATTGGATTTCCTGCTGGCCTTTTGAGAGGCAGAGAGTTGGATTGCTACCTGAAGCAGGAGGTGGCGTGCATTGAGCAGATGAGGTTTCCAACCTTGGCATGCTCGCACTCCTCAAACCGCGAGGAAATCCTGACCGTTCACGGCTCAAAGCAATGCGCGATGGTGAATGTACATGGATTTTGGACGACGCGATATACGGTTGAGTATTCCACACTCGTGCCCCTCAGCATCCAACATACTTATGCACTTCACCAGCATACGACGAGATGTCTGATTAACTAAATGGAACTAGAAGTATACTTGCAAGAAAAAATGTATGGCTGGAAGGAAGATCTCGAACGTCAGTAGCTGCACTGATGTTATGCAAGGACTAGCAGCAGCGGTTTTCATTTATTATATGCATATAGCATTCAAAATTATAAGATCCCAAAACGGATATGGTAGTAAGAATTTAAACCTTCTGCATCGTAGCAGTAGTTCACTGCCACAGTAAACAGTGGAGGCTATTAGATATGACAGAATGGAGCTAGCATTGAAGCTCCAGAACCGTAACAGACAAATCGTCATGCAATTGTCGGCGGTAATCGCCTGCTCGTATTTGAAGGAGTTGTTCAATCGTCATACCTGCAAAAACACAACACATTATACAGTCAGACAGGCGGCGCAAAACAACCACCACCACAACCCAACATGATCATGCACATCCGCAACAAAGCATGGACAATATCCAAGTACCCACCTGCTCTTCTCGCAGCTCGATCAAGCGCCTCTTGCACCAGCGCATGCGAAAGATTCGGCCCACAAGCGCCCTTACACGGGCTCCCACAACCACCCTCAGCACTGGTGCTACCAGCGCCAGAAGCCTTATCCACAGCAGCCAGTGCGCGGGACACAGAGGCAGCAGCGTCGGCAGGAGTCATGTGTTGATAAAGGCCGTCGGAGGAGAGGACGAGGTAGCGGTGGGAGGGGGAGAGAGTGAGGTGGTGCAGGTGTGGCGAGGAGGAGAGGTAGGGCTGAGACCCCACGTACTGCACTCGCAGCATGCCGAGAAGCATGGCGTTGACTCGCGGCTGGCGGAAGGAAGAGAGGGAAGGCGAGAGGAGATGTGAGCGGAAACAGACACAGATGTCAAGAAAAGCTGGTCAGGTTGATGCACTTGCATGTGTGCAGTAGGCAATGGGGCAGCACAAGGCGAGAAGGGAGAGAGCAGGGGGTGGACTACGGACTAATGCAAAGATTAAGCGTACATTCTTGAGGTAGGCGGCACCAAACGCCCTGGTGGTCTTGAGCTTGCCCTTGACTCGCATCTTTGTGATGGCGTCGGGATCGTCCGCCCTCTCCCTCCTCAACCTCTCCACCTCCTGGAACCAACACCAGTGGCAGGCAACACGCACAACAGTGGAATAGACGAAATGTCAGTACGAGATGCAGATAGGAGGCAGAACCGCAACGGAAAAATAATAATCTAGATTAACTAGATAGTCCGGATGAACAAGTGCCAGCATTGCTCTCACCTTCTCGTTGCTCGTGTTGTGGTCCTCCGTCAGCTGAGTCGCCCGCAACTCCGCCAGCTTCTTCCGCCCCTCCGCCTCCGCCTCCTCTCCCGTCTCTCCCTCTTCCCCCGCCTGCCCAGCCTGCCCCGCCTGCCCGTCCTCCGCCACAACCACGGCGCGGCAGTCCCCGAGGTTCATAACGTAAAGCTCACGCCCGGCCACCACGGCAACCACGAGGCACGCGCCCGCCACCGCCAGCTCTAACTGCTCCGCCATTCGCTCCTCTAACGACTCAAAGTACGCCGCTTCGGTTTCGCTCAGCGCCGCCGCTAGTGCTTGCAGGACCATCTCGTGTCGCCGCGATGTGTCTTTCGCCTCCGCTTCTTTCTGCGCAGCTCCTTCCGCCGGGACCGACGAGGCATTCGAGTTTGCCTCTCCGAAATCCAACCCGCGGGCAACTAATTGCTGGGCGAAGCGCGAGTGCAGATTAGCGACAAGAAAATCGGCTGCTGACGTATCGGTGAATCCGTCATACACGGCAGAAAACACGTAGCCATTACCTGAGGCCACCACCTGCATGCGGTCCTCCCCCGCCACCCCTTCTGCCCACTCCGCTCCCTCCGCCGATGCGCACGTCGCTCCGCCGTTCCCCCGCGCCGCAGCGTCGTTATTTAAAGACCAGGAGACGACTATCCCTTCCTCCGCCTCTAGTCCTAACAGCTCCTGCTCTCCACCCTCGCAGTCCGCTGCCTCCCCCTCGCGCGCCCCTTCCACGACCGCCGCTTCCGCCGCGCCTCCGGCCGGCCTTTGCGGATTTTCCGGAGCAGAAGGACCACAGGATTGGCCAAGGCTCATGGTAATAAAATCCTCCCCTCCCGCGGGACCCAAGGGCCCTGTGAGGCTTATCGAATTCATCGACCCTGGAGAGTTTCTCAGAAAATTCCTCCGACTCGACGGCAGTAGCCGACTCGACGACAGCGATGACAGGCGAATCTTGTCACCAATCGTCGCCCAGCCTGTTCGCGAGTGATGCTCCCGATGGCTGCGACTGCTTCGCGTGATCCGCCACTTTCCTCGCGATGACTCGCCTGGCGACCTCGCTGCAGTCTCCTCGTCTTCAATCACAACCGCGGTGCCAGTCCACGACACCTCTCGCACCGGTTCCTTGTGGCTTCGGCTCAGCGTGATCGCCGTTTGCCCCGCATCTACATTCTGCACGGCAGTTTGCACGGCGTTCTGAACCGCGTTTCGCTCCGCACTTTGCGCCACGCTTTGCGGCACTTCGAAAATAGCCGACAAGTCACTCCCCTCGTCCGGCCCGTGTGCGGAACCTCCGGCGCCTTCGTCGAACCGCCTGTCTTTATTCCTCAACCACCCGTTCAAATTCGGCATCGACATGCTAAAATTGATCCGTTTCAGCAAGTTCTCCGACCCCCCGTGATGTCGCTTGACGGAAAGCGACTGCGAACCGCGTTCCGTTCCGCCACAGGGGGAGGAGGCCCCGGACGATCCCGAGGAGGAGCATGAGCCAAGCGCAGAAAGGGGGAGGTTGGGAGGAAAACTGCGGAAGGATTGCGTGCTAAGGAACAGCTTGTGCGTTATTCCGCCACTAAGCGTGGAATGCGGGCTTAGCGCATTCGCCTCGATCCCCGCGCCAGTTACCGCCACTACCGCCGTCCCGCGAAGAGCGGAGGGAATGGCGATCGGTAAACTGACGTCAACCGGCGATTGGAGGCAAGGGCTTGGTTGGAGAAAATGCTGCTGATTGGCCAGGTTTGCCGAGCCTGTAGCCGTTGCTGCAGCGTTAATCTCTGACATGACTATGGAAGGCCGAGCGGCTTGAGGAGTTAAGAACGAATTGCGTGAGGGTAGCGATAGATCGAACGGCCTAACGGACTGAAGCTGCTCTCCTTCCTCTCTAAACGGCTCTGAGGGAGGGGTTGCTGTACTGTGAAGAGAGGACGCTGCAAACGCGGACGCACCGGGATCAGCGGGGACAGGCGAGGAACGCGCCATAGAGAGGAGAGGGTAGAGACAGTGGGAGCTTTCCACGTCAGCAGTCATATCCGATGAATGAGCCTGTGGTAAAAAACAACAGACTAGTTATGCAAGTTGATGAAACGGGGAAGATCTTAACTAGGCGTCTAGTTTAAGACCTCAATAACCCATCACAGTTTCACCACCACGGAAGCTCTTCAGACTGATCCTTCGCATGCTAACACGGATTCACCCTGCGCCAACAGAAATATCGTCGTCCCGCGCGAGCAACACATACGTTCAGCGCAAGGAAAGCTGCTCAGAGCACTGGATAATGGATGGACAAACACCACAGAACCACTTGACTACTCTTCCCCTTCAGCTGCTCCTTCCTGCTCGATCGATGGCAGTACTGTAACAGCAGCTGTGTGATCTGTATCTGTACATTAAACCTGATCAAGGGGAGACCGTACCACTCCCCCCCCCATCCCCCACACAATGCTGCTATCAAATCATAACTTTGGGACAGAGCGGAACGGGACGGGAGAGGGAACCTTGGGAACATGGTTCGGGGAAGGCTTTTTGCTCCAGTTGATTTGAAAGTGTGAATCCGCCCGCCAGGTTTACAGTGCGCATGTGCCTGCGGGGGCGGGAAAGGGAACCAGGCGGAGAAGAGAAGGGACGGGAGCCACGCTCTGAGCTGTCCCGGGAACACGCGGCGAGTGGCCTGCTGCGAGTCTTGGATAAATCAGGGCTCGGTGGATTGGTTGAGAAGTTCGGGAAGTGGGGATCACACGTGACAGGGGGACAGCAATGTGCGCCTGGTTCGGCTCTGAGCGGTGCAAGCAGGCCTCCTTGGCGGAAAGCAGTCCGCTCCGCCCGCGATCACGATTCACGTCAGGAAGTCGAGCAGAGAGGATGCGGCCTGGTTGGCGAGGCGATGCGAACAAACTCCTACGCGAGGGCGGCAGGGATATTCACCTTGGAAGCTTCCAGCCAATATGAAATCTCGAGACACATTGTTCGGGCAGAACGACCGAACAATCTGAACAAATTGGCTCGGAATTTCATGTCGACCTCTGTGTCTTGACGCTTGAAATTGTGGGAGTGGTGGTGATGAAGGCCACTACTGTTCGCAGACAGCAATGTTACTGTGTACAAGAGAAAAATAATTTGTTCAGCGAAGCAGAGCAACGGCAAAGTTGTTCAAATTGCTGTCCAGCCCTTCCATCACCACAAGTATCTGATTTGCATGCCACAGCTTACAACCACCACCCCGCCGCAGAAAAGTTGCAGCCAATAGTTTTCATGCTGACGACTTCAACCACCTCCCTTTTACAGACACATGGGGCGCTAGCCCTTTCCAAGTTGCAAGTTATTGGCCACAAAACCATTGAAGCCAACCAATAACGGAAGTCCGGCTGGCATGGTTTCCAGCTAGGGTTGCAAGCCACAGTCTCCCTGACACTGTAGTTCCCAGGGGAAGCAATATATCGGTACAATGCAACTCTATTTACCGTACGAGTTACACCTGTACATTGACTCTCTGTTAGGAAATACTTCAGGGGGTTGTTCTCAAGACCACCATTGGCTTGGTTGAGGTTATATAAGCAGTGTCTAGAGAAACAGACTACATGCTACCTCTTTTGCTTTTAGAATAAAGGCATATAAGAAACCTCGCTGTTTCCAAACCCACAAGTCATGTTTTCAACTTGGCGCATTGTTTTGCACCCCATACAAGCGCATGGGCCTATCGGAGGCCTGCGTTTTATATACAGGGTACTACATTACATTCATTCTAAGGGCGTGTTCCTATGGCCTCATATCATGAAACCTCGTATCAAGAATGTACCTTGTGCTTGGTAAAACTAGCGAGAGGTTTTGGGCTTAGGAAATTTTTAGTGTGAGCCTGATACGAGGTTCACTTGATACGAGGTGTAGGAACATGCTCTAAGAGGTAGATTCAATCTGAACAGTGAGGTCCCTGACACCAATGTCATTGAAAATGGAATGGACGTGCTCTAGAACCTTTTGCTCATCCACGCCTTCTCTAACCTGCAAAACAACAACCAACATGTAGAATTTATTAATATGCAAATTGTCTTTGCCTGCTGAAGGCTTATTGAAACATGACATCCCTAACCCAGCAGCTCGAAACAACAAAATGTGTGGCATGTGGAACGTAAAGAGCTGTGTACTTACCCGAACAGTAAGTGTTCCCACCACATGTCCAGGGACCACTGCCCAAAAGCGATGCTCTATGCATTCTTCTACCCCCTCATATGCCGCCACCTGCCAGGCGCACGCACAGACACACAAACCGCAAAACACATGGAACCATACAACAGGCACACATGGTACAGCTTGCATGTTCAGTGTGAGGACCAAAAAGCCATCCATGCATGCATCTAATGACAGACGTGCACTCATTGACAGACCTGACATGCGAATTACAAATCAAACATAACATACAGTATGGGAGAATCACAGGGACCAACAGACTGAATGCAGATGAAAACAATGGAGATGAAAGACCCACATGGCGAATGCATTTGTGCAGCGCGGGTTCGGAGATGCCTGCAGGGGCCATCTGCAGCAGGAGATTGCCGGACGATTGCACCAATGGCAGCGCGAGCACCAGCACTGTGAGGGAGACGAGGCCCAGACAGATGGCCTCTGCACAGTACACCCTGGGAATGGAGGCAGGCATGATTGGATAGGGATGGGGGAGATTAACGAGGCAAGGAGGGAGTGAAATTCGAGGACTTCCTGTAATATATGGCATGTGCAATGTAAATCAGTGTGCAGCAGTGAATAGAGATACTAGTGAAGAACTTGATCAGGCTGGAAGAGATCCATGTGAAGAATCGCAGTATTGCCGTACCGTACATTGCTGCTTACCCAATGGCAATGAACCACGAGGCGAGCACAACTCCACCACTGCGACAGGCAAGCGGCGATGGGAATATGAATGGAACATAAGGCTGGGTTTGGACTCTTTGACGCATGCAAATCCATCCCTGATAATTTCATGCATGTAAGTAGATGACCTGATGGCACCTGAAGAGTGAAATTAGATGCCCTGTTTGGTCCAGGTAGATGACCTGATGGGTCGAAATAGATAATCTGATGGGACCACCATTACACCTTAGTCACATGCAGCGGTCAATACCTTTGGATGGAGTCACAGAGAGCATGCGCAGCAGCAGACTACCGAGCTGATTTAAAAAAGAGCATGTGTTACCTAGTGCTCACACACAGTGTTTCTATACAATTATCAGAAAACACATGCAGAAATAGAGACTTCCTAAACCCTAAACCCTAACCCTAAGTCACGTAGTGTTCACGCGTGATCAGTACCTTCGGATGGAGTCACAGAGAAGGTGAAGCAGGATGGCATGATGGTTCATGTCCCTTGGTCTCTGGTATGCTGCAACACACAGGGGAGAAAGAGAAGGAGAAGGGAGAAGAATACGGCGCAGGAAAGATGGAGGAGAGAAGCCGGTTAGTTGACGGTTCATGTCCCTTAGTCCCTTTAAGTAATCATGCACCCCTGCACAAACACCACTGCTGACGCACATGAGTACCCATAGAGTCACTCATCGTGCGAAGGCAAAACCCTTTAAGAAGAACACTCCGAGGAGGTTGATGGCGCGATGGTTCATGCCCCTTCAACCCGCTTCACCCACTTCACTCCCTTCACCCTGTTCACACACCCCTGCACTCTCTCACAGACACCCCGAGACTCACTTATTGTGCGGCGGGCAAAGCTTTTAAAGAAGAAGACTCCGAGGAGGTTGATGAGCAGATGAACCACTGCAGAGAGCACCAGGTAGTGCCTGGGGAGGAGGCAGGGGGAGCAGTTGCCGGCAACCACAGAGAGTGAAGTGAAAGAGAGGACATTCAAGTTGAGTCACAAGTCAGGTCTTGAAGAAGAAGACTCCGAGCAGGTTGATGAGCAGATGAACCACTGCAGAGAGCACCAGGTAGTGCCTGGGGAGAGGGAGAGTGGTTGCGGGCGATAAGAGAGAGTGAAAGAGGTGACGTTTGAGTCGACTCAATGGCCAGCGCTTGAAGCACAGGTTGAAGAGCCCGAGGAGGGAGCTGAAGTGCGCATCAACAGATAGTGCCTGGGCAGGAGGGAGTGGTTGATTACAACAAGAGAGCATGACGAGGGAAGTGTGGGACTGTTGACAGACTGGAAAGTGGGTAGAGAGTGAAGTGAAGGCAAAAAGGTGATGAGCAGGCATTGGATCGGGCAAGAATCAGGGATTGAGTCAGACAGGCAGTGAATGAGCAGAGCAGGCACAAAGGCAATGAACGGAAGTGAGGCCTCTGCAGCCCACCTGTCCGCTACTGACAAAGCTGTACAAGTGAAGTGACAAATAGGCAGGCATTGATGGGGGGGATCAAAGAGCTTACTTGTGCTCTGCTTCATCCTCGATATAAGCATGCAGGCACTCCACTGCTAGCGAGAAGGAGAGGAAGAGAAGGAAGAGCTGCAGGGCGGGGTGGAGAGAGGGGAGGTGTGAGGGAGGGAGGTGCAGGGGGGGAAGCGGAGAGCGACGCTGCTCATGCCCAATGCTTCTCACACAGCTAAAGGCATGAGGAACAGCGATGCAACGGGTTTTGAACTCGCACGTAAAAGGCAATACAGCACGTCACTAGAGCACACGTGGTGGGTTCTTTGAGACGTCTCAAAAACACCCTCTCTACATGTGGTGGGTTCTTGCACTCCCGTCACACTCGTCTCGCACTCACCCCCTTGGTGAATGCTGCTAACACCTCCAGCCTCTCATATCTGTAGGAACAGCAGTGCAAATGGGTTGTTGCACTCGAAAGGCGCGATACGTGAATCGGCACGTGTCTAGGGCGCATGCAGTGGGTTCAGGCACTCACCCCGTTGGTGAAGGCTGATAACACCTCCAGCCTCTCATAGCTGAAGGCAGGAGCAACAGCGATGCACTTGGATTCGCACTGAAGGGAAAAACACGACATCTTTATAGCATGCATGTCGGGTTGTTTCACTCATCCTGGACTCACCCCGTTGGTGAAGGCTGCTAGGACCTCCAGCCTCTCATAGCTGGGAGAGGGGGTCAGTCAGAGAGGAGCGCAGGGACAACGGGGGGAGGGTGCAGAGGGGAGCGGGAATACAGGGAGTGCAGCAGACGGCAGGGAGAATTGAAGTGCAAGGAAAAGAGTGATGTTTAGATGGACACATTTACACATCTGGCGAAGGTGGACCTTGGGAAAGGTGATACCTGGGGAAGGTGTTACCTGGGGAAGGTGTTACCTGGGGAAGGTGTCACCTGGGGAAGGTGTCACCTGGGGAAGGTGTTACCTGGGGAAGGTGTCACCTGGGGAAGGTGTTACGTGGGAAAAGGTGTCACCTGGGGACGGTGTTACGTGGGAAAGGTGATACCTGAGGAAGGTGTTACCTGGGGAAGGTGTTACCTGGGGAAGGTGTCACCTGGAAAAGGTTTCTGCAGTGCAAAGGTGCAAGGTGGCATCTGCAGGGCGTTTCCCCATGAGCATGGTGGCAGGTGAGAGCAGAGGATGCACTTGGGGGAGGTGAAACCTGGGGAAGGTGGCACCTGGGGAGAGTATACAAAGGTGCAAGCAACGACCTACCTGTAGGCGAAGGTGGCATCTGCAGGCCTACCCGTAGGTGAAGGTGGCATCTGCAGGCCTACCCGTAGGTGAAGGTGGCATCTGCAGGCCTACCCGTAGGTGAAGGTGGCATCTGCAGGCCTACCCGTAGGTGAAGGTGGCATCTGCAGGGCGTTTCCCCACGAGCATGGCGGCGAGGGAGAGCAGCAGGATGCAGCAGCCGAAGGAGAGATGGAAGGAGTCAGACACGAGCTCTGGGAGGGGAGGGTGGGAGGGGTGGAAGGGCAGAGGAGAAGACGTGAAGAGCGGGGGAGCAGCAGGATGCAGCAGCCGAAGGAGAGATGGAAGGAGTCGGACACGAGCTCTGGGAGGGGAGGGTGGGAGGGGAGGAGGAGGGGAAGGGGAGATGGAGTGAGAGCGGAAAGGGGTCGAACACGAGCTCTGGGAGGGGAGAAGTAGAAGTGCAGGGTGTGCAAGACAGTGAGCAAATCTCAACGCTTAGAAGCAACACTCAGCTGTCAACCACCCACCTATTCGGCCAATGAAAAGCCCCACGATGAACTGTGCAGTGGAATACGCGGAGTTGAGCGCAATCAGAGCGCCAACCGCCTCAGAAGGCAAGCTAAGGAGTCAAAGTCACTGGTCAACGGTCAACCACCCACCTATTCGCCCTATGAGCAGCCCCACTATGAGCTCCGCAGTGGAATACGCGGAGTTGAGCGCAATCAGCAGCGCCAGCCGCCTCATTCCCCCCGCTGACCGCTGCTGCAGCGCCCCCACCACCGCCCTCCCCCACCACACCCCCCCCGCCACTGCCCCCCCCTTCCCCCTGCCCCTGGCGGACGTTTGGGGGAAGGGAGACCAGGGGGAGGGGGTGGGGGGGAATTGGCGGGCAGGGGAGGGGGAGGGGGCAGGGGAAGCGGCGCTCCAGGGCGTGTGGGGAGTGCGGAGGGAAGGAGAGGCGGAGGGGGAGGGGGAAGGGACCCAGGGGGACGCTGGGGCGGGGGAAGGCCAAGAAGAGAGGGAGGGGGAATCACCATTCCTTTGAATCGAATTACTCTTGCTACCGCCCCTGCTAACATCCTTAGCACTGCCTGAACCCTCCCTTCTCTCTCTTCCTCCTGTCGTTACCACTGCTGCACCTGCTGCTGCTCCTATAGGCGTCTTTCCCCCCTTTCCCCGCTCCGCCCCTGCAGCTTCCGCGCCCATGTGCTGCCTGCGCGCTGAAAACTCCGCCACAGCAGCTGCAGCCGCCGCCGCTGCGCCCTTGCCTAGCTCCGAGCCTGCGGAGGAGGTTCGGCTGGGAGGCGGGACGGCAGGCTTGGCAGAGGAGGGCGTGGACTGGCTCGGACAGTTGTTGTCACTGGCGCTGCGCTTTACACGGCCGTGATGTGAGTGGGCCGCGGAAGGGGGAGCGGAAGGGGGGGAGGACGGGGTAGCGAAATCGATAACGGAAGGAGTGGCGGAAGGGGTGGCGGAACGAGTGGCGGAAGGAGTGGCGGAAGGGGTGGCGGAAGGAGTGGCGGAAGGGGTGGCGGAAGGGGTGGCGGACGGGGTAGCGGAGGGCGTGGCGGACGGGGAGGGGAGGGAGGCAGGGGAAGGGGAGCCCGTCTCGTGAGGGGGCAGCGGGGCGGAAGCAGGAGAGGCGGAAGGAGAAACCTGTCTCTCCAGTGCCGATGGTAGCGGCGTGATGGAAACAGTACAAGGAGCAAGAGAGCCTGTCACTCTGTTTCTCTCCTCTCTGTGTGACGCCACACAGGCCGGTTGCGGATCGGACGGCTGGGAACGGCCTCCTGGCAATCCATTTTGTCTGCTATGATCTTGTAGATCTGAACCGTCCGTTTGATTCTTCTCCGTTTTCTGAAGAGCCGCACCTCCTGCGCCTCTCGCTGGACCTACATCACCCGAACCAGCTGCAGCAGCTGCCGAACCTGTCCACCCCGAGTCTGCTGCAGCCATTGGATTCACCCCTGCCGAGCCAGAAATCCGATCCGCTGGCTCGGCTTTCGTCCCCTTCTGTGTCTTACCCTTAACCGGACCAGTACCCTTGGCTCCTACTCGTTCGCAAATACCCGCATGACTACCCGCCCCTCCATTACCGAACCTCTCCCGAACCTGTTCCTCGGCTTCGGCTCGTCGGATGCTGCTAGGGGCCGAAGACGCAGCAGCTTTATACGGCGTAGCAGCAGCATCGGCTGCTGACACGAGCGCGTTCGTCTTGGCGTTGCTGCGTTCGGCGATAGGAGAGGCCGAGGGAGAGAAGCCGTACCAAGCGGCGGGAGAGGAGGAAGGTGCTGCGAAGGCGGGAGGACTGGCCGATTGCGCTGCTGCTGAAGGCTGCGAAACCACCGGCTGCGACCGAATCGGGTTACCACCCCGGCTAGGGTTTCGCGGGCTGGATTTGGGTCCAGAGGGAGTGGAGGGGAGTGCGTGAAGCGGAGGGCCGAATCTCGATGTAGCACGGCTGATGGCTTGAGGAGTGGCGTAGCTGGGATCTGGGCGGTCGCCTGGCGATGTCACAGGAGCGGCGATCGGAGGGGAAGCGAATGCGGGGCGGGCGGAAGTGGGGGTAGCGAATGCGGGGGACGCGGAAGTGGGCGAAGCGAAAGCGGGAGGCGGAGTGCGGAACGCGGCTGAAGGGGAAGGGGAGGAGGATGATGGAGACATGAAAGGATTTGCGAGGAAGGGATTTGTGGAGGCACTTGGCGCTGTGTGGGGAGGCCGTGCGTCCTGCTGTGGGTTGGCCATGGCAATGAACTGCGAGTACAATCGCGGTTAGTACTAGAATGCAAATGTGTTAGCTGATATCGATCAGCAGCGAAAAAGGATCGAATTTTCTCCGCGAGGCCTTCTAGGTAGTTCATATGACCAACATGCAGGCGAGCATATAGATCGGGCTCGCCTCGCCCCCTTCTACTTTTTTATCTTCACGATGCCCTCCATGTGTGATGAGCAATACGTGTTTATGGAGCACTTCTCAATATTAAGTCGTGGTGTAGATTGTGGAAACTGTATTATGCAAACGCACTACCCTTTCTAGGTTCTACCAACGGCACAAATCTGGGTGTGTGCTAGGCTGGGAACCACGTGGCGTAGTTGAATAGGTGCGGTGTCCTAGCTGAGACCTACCTGTGACGTTGGCCGGCCCAAAAAATATATTGCGACGCGAGCCGAGCCTCCCAAGCCAGTCAGAGTTTTTTTGGATATGACTTTGTAATAGTCATCAATTATCGCCATCATATTTGAAACTTTACGTGTTTAGAGGTTTTTTTTTTGCAATTCATTTATGTACCAGCCCATGCTGACCTGCATTTGTTCTCGGGGGCAAGCGAAAATTCGCACCGTAGCGCCAACTTTTGGCCGCCAAGTCTGCTCGCGAAATCAGGCGCCCCCGATGTTTACCGCATTGCCGAGGCTGACTTCGGCCCAGACCGCTTTCGTGTGCGGCCTGTTTACAGTACACCCTGTTTCGCGCTAGCAGAGCATCTGGTTGCAGAACATGCACTGGTTGTAGAACGTCACCACGTTTGAAATGGTCTTATCACCGACGGTACAAGCACATTCACAAGAAAGCGGTTAGCTAGGATGCTGCATGGTAAAGAACATTAACCAAGCGTTTCAAAGCGGTTGAAAAGGGTATACAGCGATAAAGAAAAATTTTGCCCCCAGTACCACTCCGTCAGCTGGTGCGGCTTTGCCCGCAGGTTTCAGCCATACGGTTTATGGCACCTGACCGCACTGTAGCAGCGAATCGCGCAAGGTGAGAGGGTCGAGAAACAGGGTGTACAAGCTTGTCGGGCAAGAAATACTGTACACTGTAGAACAACGACCGTCCATTGCTCTGCCGAGCTGCTGCAGATCTCTAGGGCGCCTGGACCTCGGTTTTTTCAAAACGTCCCGGAGCACCTCCCCTGCCTCGGAAACCCGGCCTGGTGACATGTTGACAACCCGGCCAGAGGCCATCCTCAAACCAGCCCAGGCATTTCCTCCCTCTCACCTCACCTCCCTCCCATCCCCCCTCCCTCCTCCCCCGTCCCACCCGTCCATCCCCCGCGTTCTTCCTGGACCATCTCTGTTAGTTCGATCATTCGGAGTTCTCTCGCGCTGTGTTTGATTCACACAACTCCACCGATTTTCAACTCTGGATTAGCTAGAGCGGCTCACCGTTTTGATTGCTTTGCAGGTCTGGACGGCGTATCTTCGGTCGCTCCTAAGCCGTAGATTCGGCAGGCTGTGGCGTAGAGGTGGATGATGCCGAGAGTAACGTGAACGTTCTAGTGTTGAAGCTTTAGAGAAGGACTGTTACAGCGTTTTCTTAGCTGCCAGTATTAATACTGAGATCCGATGGCAAAAAGCGTTTCCGGAAGAAGATTAGACGCGACTCTCCGAGCGAGTATGAGTAAGCATCTTGCTTGGTCATTCAACGCCCGGAGTCATTGTAGTGACTTGGTCTGTAGCGACAAGGGTGCATTTTCATCAATGTGTTCCAAGAATTCCACGTGGCGACGCATGTCAAAACTCATCGCAGTCCTCACCGTCATCAGTCTCGTTGCGCTAACTCGCGAAGCACTAATGACGGCCACCAGCGACGGCCGGAGATTCCTCGTCTTCTCTAATCCTCGGCCGGTTTTTGCGGGACGAGCAGCAGAAGACGGGGCGAATGAGGAAGGCAGAAGCCTGAACCGTATTGTCCCTCATCCAGACGTCGTTATATGGGCTGAGGTAACCTTTTCTTTATTAGAGGCCTGCCAGTTTGAATCGAACGGCTCAGGATGGTAGGCAGGCGGCACTTCCTTGATAAACAGTTCATTTTCTTACGACTGTCGCTGAAGGATTAACATATCAGGCACCGTCAAGTGGATTCGTTTTATGCATAGAAACTGTTCCTCAAGGTCCGCATTTTGTTTCCAGTTTCTCGTCTTCACCTTCCTCATTCCACTGTCATCCGCAATCTCACACAAACAGGGACCGCTTCACAAGCGGCTGGAGGCGGTATGCGCAGGGTACGCGCTGCACCACCTCCTGTCCTCCAAGCTGCCTGCCGGCGTTCCGAATACCAGCGCCGCGTATTCCCAGCAGCAAACCCAGCAGCGGCCGTTGCGCCTGGCTGTGTTATGGCTGCCGGATCGAGCCATGCCGCACGCCACGCTCAACCACGTGCTGGGCCCTCTGCCTCCCCCAAGTGCGCTCGGCGCCGCGCAAAGCGGCAGCCAGCAGGGCGAGCATGCGCAGGAGTCGCCGTCGTTCCCGCCGGATGTGTCGGACGAAGCCCTCGTGCTGCAGCACCACCCAAGCTGGCTCAACTCGCCGCTCTATACCTACGGGGTAGGTTCTTTTGCGAATGTGAAGCGCGCCACGGTTCTGCGTTAACAAATTTCGTCCACTCCTTCGCGACGATGTCTTATTCGCCTGTCCGTTTTTCGCGAGCGTGCACTCAGTCGTCGGCGTTTCGTTCGCTGTCTCAGATTTCATTTTTAGGATTCCTGGTCATACCCTCCTCGTCTCTCCCCCTCCCCCGCTTGTTCGCCTTCCGAACAGACTCTTGACTCGAGAATCCCTCAGCCGATATCTCAAGAGCAGCTGCAGCAGCAACAGCAAAAACTTTTTGGCACGTTCTCCCCTTCCTCCTCCCACCCGCTTCCCTCCGCGCATCGGCCTCGCCGCCTGCGCGTCGGCTTTTTCCTCTCCGCCTCCCTTCCCCCAATGGCCGCCACTCTTGCTGACGTGGAGGATTCCCAGCTCTACACTTCCCTCCAGCGCTGCTACAGCCTGCTACAGCCGTCCACAGCCGTGCAGGAGCTGATAGCCAAGGAGAACATGACACGTGTCCAACAGAGCACAGCGGTTTATATGGAGCCTGTAGCGCTCTCCCCTAAATCCCCCCTTTGCACCGGGTGCGACCCTAAATTTACGGTCAACTGCACGGCTCGCCGCCTCATGTGGTTTTTTCTCGGGCAGCCCGACGGCGACGTTACGGTGGCAGGTTTCTGGCCGTCGCAGGCGCTGGCTGTGGCGCACACCTTCCACCCATCCCGCCAACCGCACCTTCTCCGCGCAACCCTGCGCCGCTCCGCCCTCTGCCGCCCCAACCCCGCGTGGGGGGAACCGCTCCCTCCGCCGATCGTCCCCGCGGAACCAACTCCGCGGGAGATCGCTGAGCGGGGATGGTTGGGAAAGCTAGGCTGGTTTGACAGGCGGCTGGAAATTAGCGGAGGGGGAGGCGGAACCAGTGGGGCACGAGGCGCCGGGGGGATAGGGTTTGGTAGCGGCGGGAGTGAGAGTGCGGAGCAAGGAGCGCGGGGAGTGGGCGCATGGATAGAGTGCGCGCAACTAGAAGCGGCGGAGCTGTTTGCGCTGTCTGCTGCGCGGGGGCTCATTCACCTGCAGCACTCCCCCCAAGCGGACCTCATCCGCGCGCAGGCCTCCGCCAAAGGCAGAACCCCCCTTGTGCATGACGTGCTGGTCGCCCCGGAGAGCTTTCCGCGGAGAGCGGGGGGCGCGCCAACGGCAGCGGAGGGGAGCAGCGGGGAGGAGGGCGGGGAGGGGAGCGGGGAGGGGGGCTCAAGCGCGGAGCGCGGAGTGTTTGAGGTGGAGCGCGGGCTGTGCCATGCGCCGCCTATGGTGCCTATCAACAAGCACCGCATTGGGAAGCAGCTGATCGTGGATGGTGAGTGACTGGGGACAGGTGTTGTGTCGCCTTAAAGATGGGGCTGTGCCATGCGCCGCCCATGGTGCCTATCAACAAGCACCGCATTGGGAAGCAGCTGATCGTGGATGGAGTCATGATAATGGTTCAGACACGGTGGGCATGGTGTACTGTGCAGTGCAGCAGGTGAGATGTACCAGCTGAAAGTTGTTGCTCCCCTGGCCGCTCCCCCGGGGCTCTTGCATCACTTTGTGCCACATCCTCACTCCATTTTTCATCTTCCCCCTCCCCTCCCACCCCACCATGCCCCGCCATCCCCCATCAGACACAGTGGGCATGGTGTACTGTGCAGTGCAGTAACAGAAAGGTCCGGCTCCCCTCTGGGATCTCGCATCACCTAGTGACACACCCTCGCTTCTCTTTCCCTCTTCCCCATGCCCCCCACCCCACTCTGTTATGTCACCCCCATCAGACACGGTGGGCATGGTCTACTGTGCAGTGCAGAAGGTGGGTTGCACCAGCTGGAAGGTGTGGATTCGCCAGCAGCACCACCACCCCAACCCCAACCAGCTACTAGACACCCACCTACCAGCCACCAGCAACGTCACCGAGGTTTGGTACTCGCTCTCCGAACCTGATGCCATCCGAGACGTCACCCGAACCGACTACACCAGGTTCGTGTTCGTCCGGCAGCCCTTCACCAGAATCGTATCTGCGTATCTCAACAAGCACGTGGCGGGCGGCGGGCCGGACGGGTTCGGGCGGCAGTTCTGGACGAGAAAGTTTTTCGGGCAGCTGTGGGCGCTGCGGGCGTTGGACGGGCTCAGATTCCGGGCAAACGAAGGAAATTCGTCTGCTGGAGGGGCGGAAGGGGGCGAAGGGGTAGCAGCAGCAGGAGCAGCGGCAGCAGCAGCAGAAGTGGGGGTTGGGACGAAGAGCGGCAGCTGGTGGGGAGTGTGGAAGGACAAGATAGAGATGGAGATGGGGCGTCTGCTGTCGTTTGAGGAGTTTGTGCGACTGCTGGGGGATGCCTGGGACGAGGACAGGCGCTGGTTCCTGGATGAGCACATTGCCCCTCAGGTACGTTCCGTGCACTCTGTCCCTCAGGTACCATCCTGACACTCACGTACTTGTTCCTTGCACCCTCCTTGGGACGAGGACAGGCGCTGGTTCCTCGATGAGCACATCGCCCCTCAGGTACCGTGCTTGCTCCCTGTTGCTCATTGCACCCTTCCTCTTGGGTTCTTGTTGTTCCTTGCACCCTGCCTGGGACGAGGACAGGCGCTGGTTCCTTGACGAGCATATTGCCCCCCAGGTACCGCGCTTGCTCCCTTCTCCCTTGCCCCTGAGGTGCTTAATGCTTGCACCTTTTCCCTCGGGTATTTATTCTTTGCAGGTTGCCCCTCGGGAAGCAGGCATTGATGTTCCATACCCGAACCCCCTTCTCTGTGCTCCACCCCCCTCCTCCCCTCCCCACCGCCTCCTCCCCTCACACACCCCTTCACCCCTCCCAGATCAGAACCCCCTTCCCAATGCTCCACCTCCCTCTGTCCCTCTGCTTCCCTCTCTAACTCCTCCCCCCGCAACCCACAGAACATCCTGTGTGGGCTGGACCGCATACGCTACGACTACGTGGGGCGCTTTGAGAGCATGGACGCGGACGTGAAGGCCCTCATGCACCGCTTTGGGAGGGACCCGGGCGACGCCTTTGACTTTGGCAAGAAGATCCACCCCACCAAGTCCAGAGACCAGCTGCAGCAGATGTTCAGTAATAAGGTGAGGGGCTCAGTGCTCCCTGAGATAAGTGATGTGTGTGTGGGATATCAGGCCTGTTGTTTTGTGTGGGATCCCTGCGGGACCCGGGATGTCTTTGACTTGGGCTAGAAGATCCACCCCACCAAGTCCTGGCAGAAGCCTGCTGCAGATGTTTACGAGCAAGGTGAGCAGCGCAGTCTCCGCTGAAAGAGCAATTTGAGAATCATGAAGGCCGTTGCTGTGCTGGAATCTGATTCATCCAGACTAAAGCCGTGCCTGGAAGGAAGTGAGACCACAGAAGCAAGCGCTGAAAAGCGCTTCTTTAGTCCATCCGCTGAAAAGCAGAGATATTGTATTCTTTGACCCATCCATGCCAGGAAGCAAGTGAGACCACCCGCAACCCCTGCATCCTGCATGCCTGCCGGCTCACACGCGTGCATGTTTTGTTTTCCGCCCTCTGTGCAATCCTCTTGCCAGGAGACGTACGACATTATGAGGCGAGTGTATGGCATGGACATGCATGCGCCCTCCTGTGTGCACTGCTGGAAACAACCCTGTCGCCCCATGCTTGTGTGCAATTTTCTGTGCAGGAGACGTACGACATTGTGAGGGGCGAGTGTACGGCATGGACACGCACGGTCCCTGATGCATGTGCTGCCTTTCCCTCCTTGCTTGGGTGCCGTCCCGTGCTTGTGTGCTGTCCCCTGCTTGCATGTGTGCCATGTGCAGGAGACGTACGACATTGTGAGGCGAGTGTACGGCATGGACATGCACGCACCCTTGAACAACATCTCCTACGACCCTCCTGAGGAGCTCAGCAGAATCTACGAAGTGGGGGCTGCTGGGCAGGCGGGCAGCGGAGGCCTCCTGGACTCTAAGAGTGCGGGCAGGTGAAGGAATCTCTGTTGCACCGCTGTACCATGTGGTTGCAGCTTGCAGGGGTTAAAATCTCAGAGGTCTATCCGCTGCTTTGTTTAAGCGGCTCCACTGACGAGTGAGGTGTGGGCTGTAGGGCGGCTGAGGGCGGTGAGATGTGGGTTCTGCACTGCCTGTGCATGAGAGGGATGGGGGGGGGAGCTGCGACAGTGTCGGGGGCAAAGGAGGGATGGAGGGAGAGAGAACAGAAAGAGCGAGAGCGAGAAAATCAGGGAGTAAGACACTGGGAGGAGAGGGAGGAGAGAGGTGACGTGTGCTTTATAACAAGACACCATTGGTTGGAGGGAGCTGCCTTGAAGAGTGTTGCCGTGCTGCTCGTCGTGTGTGCTAGCAAGACTCTCGTGTGAGTGAGGCTCTCCTGAGGCACCTCAACAACATGCTCGTCTACGTGCCACGCTGGTACCCTGCTGCTGCTAGAGAAACAGCCACTACTGCTGCTGCTGCTGCTGCTGCTGCTGCTGCTGCTGCTGCTGCTGCTGCTGCTGCTGCTGCTGCTGCTGGAAGGTGTATGGATGTGCGGCAGAGCGTGGTGCTGCTGAATAGCAGCAAGAGCTGTTCTTGAGTCGCCTCAAGCAAGAGCGGATGGTTGTTAGACCAACATGCGTCTTTGTATTTGCTCTTGAAACTCGTGCGTTCCAGACAAATGGAACAGGGCTGGGGGGACAAGGTAGCTTTGATGAAAATAACTGTAGATTACCTGAGGCATCAGGACCTGCGTGGTGGGGAAAGGGTACAGTAGTCTTGAAATAACTGTAGACTATGTGAGGCACCAGGGCCTGCGTGGTGGTGTAACTACTGTTTCCAATTCTTTTTTTTTTTTTTTGGTTCCATGGAAGTGTGCCGCATTCACCAGCACAGAGCACCCCAGAAATCAAGACTGGGGTGCTTACACATCCCAGCAGTCCCCGATCATTCTAGTAGTAACCATCCTTGCTCTAAAAAGGATGATACTGTCACATGCTTTGGGCAAGGGAATCATCAAAGCTTTTTTTCTCCAATATGACAACATGGCACAGCAACGGATAAATCTCTTTACAATCACATGGTACGGCGCGACCGTACATTCCTTCACTTGCCAGCACTCTTGAGTCCAGGACTTGGCTGCCCGGTCATCTGCCCGCCCCCTCTTCGAAGATTCTCCGGAGCTCCTCGGGGGGAGCGTAGGAGATGTTGTTCAAAGGCGCGTGCATGTCCATGCCGTACACTCGCCTCACAATGTCGTACGTCTCCTGCGGACAAGGGGGGGGGGGGGGGGGCACAAGCATGTGGTTCTCTTGAATGCGGGTAACGGAGGGTCTGTGCATGTCCATGCCGTACACTCGCCTCACAATGTCGTATGTCTCCTGCAGATGGGGCGCACATCAGCAGGGATGACACGCAAGCAAAGAGTGGAGGGCAGCACGCGCACAAGAGTGAGCGAGCGAGCGTGTCCATGCCGTACACTCGCCTCACAATGTTGTCTGTTTCCTGGAGCCGACAACCAGGCATGTGAATGGGAGGACTATGTTCAAAATGCACGCAGGAGAGGGCCTGTGCCATGTCTATGCTGTCAACATGTGCCACAATCTCATACGCCTCCTGCAGATGCCACACAAGCAGCCTGAGGGAAGGCAGCGTGAGCACACGAGTGCGCAGGCAGGCATGTGGGATTCCAGTGCACGCAGGAGGGTGCGTACTTGTCATTGCTGGCACTCGCCTCACAATCTCTTACCGGTACAACTCCTGCAGTTGACACACAAGCAGCCTGACGGGAAGGCATCTGTGCATGAGAGTGAGCAGGCAGACATGTGGGATTCCAGTGTATGCAGGAGGGTGCATACATGTCCGCGCCATACACTCGCCTCACAATCTCATACATCTCCTGCAGTTGCCACACAAGCGGCCTGAGGGGAAGGCATCCATGCACGAAGGTGAGCGAGCGGGCATGTGATAGCACCCTGCAATGCTGCATGCCCCTCACCTTGCTGGTGAACATCTGCAGCATCTGCATCTGCAGCTGCAGCTGGTCTCTGGACTTGGTGGGGTGGATCTTTTTGCCAAAGTCAAAGGCGTCGCCCGGGTCCCTCCAAAAGGATGTAGCACAGCAATAAGCCTGATATCCACTGTACGTACGAACTTCCCTTCTCTCAGGGAAAGTGAGGCCCTCACCTTATTGAACAACTTTAGAAGCTGGTCTCTGGACTTGGTGGGGTGGATCTTCTTGCCAAAGTCAAAGGCGTCGCCCGGGTCCCTCCCAAAGCGGTGCATGAGGGCCTTCACGTCCGCGTCCATGCTCTCAAAGCGCCCCACGTAGTCGTAGCGTATGCGGTCCAGCCCACACAGGATGTTCTGTGGGTTGCGGGGGGAGGCGTTAGAGAGGGAAGCAGAGGGACGGAGGGAGGTGGAGCATTGGGAAGGGGGTTCTGATGTGGGAGGGGTGAAGGGGTGTGTGAGGGGAGGAGGCGGTGGGGAGGGGAGGAGGGGGGTGGAGCACAGAGAAGGGGATTCGGGTATGGAACAACAATGCCTGCTTCCTGAGGGGCAACGTGCAAAGAATAAACACCCGAGGGAAAAGGTGCAAGCATTAAGCACCTCAGGAGCAAGGGAGAAGGGTGCAAGCGGAGTACCTGGGGGGCGATGTGCTCATCCAGGAACCAGCGCCTGTCCTCGTCCCAGGCATCCCCCAGCAGTCGCACGAACTCCTCAAACGACAGCAGTCGCCCCATCTCCATCTCTATCTTGTCTTTCCACACCCCCCACCAACTGCTGCTGCGTTTCCGCCAACCCCCTCCTTCTGCTGCCTCTGCTGATTCTGCCACTGCACCTTCTTCCTCCCCTGCTGCCCCTCCAGCGAAAATATCTCCCTCGTTTCCCCGATATCTGAGCCGGTCCCTGGCTCGTAGCATCCAAAGCTGCCCGAAAAATCTTCTCGCCCAGAACCGCCGCCCGTAATCCTTGGGGCCGCCGCCCATCACGTACTTGTTGAGATACGCAGATACGATTCTGGTGAATGGCTGGCGGACGAACACGAACCTGGTGTAGTCGGTTCGGGTGATGGCTCGGATGGCGTCAGGTTCGGAGAGCGAATACCAGACCTCGGTGATGTTGCTGGTGGCTGGGAGTTGTGCTTCTGGGAACTGGTTGGGGTGGGGGTGGTGGTGCTGCTGCCGAATCCAAAACTTCCAACTGGTGGATCCGACCTTTTGCAGCTCGCAATATACAAGTCCCACTGTGTCTGATGGGGGTGGGGCGTGGCATGGTGGGAGGCAAGAGACAGGGAGAGGAGTTGAGTCATCTCACATATTGCTGCTGCCGAATCCAGAACTTCCAACTGGTTGATCCCACCTTGTGTACCTCGCAGTATACCAGACCCACTGTGTCTGATGGCGGGTGGGGCGGGGCATGACAATGAACCAAGTTGACTGTTGAGTCAACTCAAAAGTCAACCCAGCTCGTGGGTCGACCTTCTGTACCTCGCATTATACCAGACTCACTGTGTCTGATAGGGAGGGGGCGTGCATGGTGGGAGGAGAGAGACAGCGAGAGGCAGGGGGAGACAGGAGGAACAGGAGGAACAGGGGCGACAGAGGGACGGGTGGGTGTGGAGGGAGGGGAGGGAGGGGAGGGGAAGAGTGGGATGTCGTACGAACAGCCAGTCCGACAGCCAGTCCGACAGCCAGACTGACAGCCAGACTGACAGCCAGACTGACGGCCAGACTGACAGCCAGACTGACGGCCAGACTGACGGCCAGACTGACGGCCAGACTGACGGCCAGACTGACGGCCAGACTGTGGGCCAGACGGACAAACCCCTTCCATGATGATCATGGTGATGCATCCAGGCGTGATTGACATGCTACCACTCACCATCCGCTATTAGTTGCCTCCCCGTGCGGATTTGAAGGGCTCTTAGAAAGCCTCCTCTCATTGTAAAGAGGATGATCAAGGAGGCCACTCACCATCCACGTTCAGTTGCCTGCCCATGCGGTGTTTGTGAATCGGCACGATGAACGGCGCATGGCACAACCCACGCTCCTCCTCAAACACTCCACCACTCGCTCTCCCCTCCCCACTCCCCTTTGCTGCCCCCTCTCCCTCATTGTCCCCCCCCACAGCCACCGGCACGGGCGCCACACCCCGAGGAACCGTCTCCGGGGCGACCAGCACGTCGCGCATGCAGGGGGATCTGCCCCTGGCGGAGGCCTGCGCGCGGATGAGGTCCGCCTGGGGGGAGTGCTGCAGGTGAATGAGCCCCTGGGCGGATGCGAGAGTGAATAGCTCCGCTGCTTCCAGCTGCGCGCATTCTACCCATGCGCCCACCCCTCGCTCCCCCTGCTCCATCCCTTCACTCTCAGCACTCCCGCCACTCCTGCCACTCCCGTCACTTCCGCCCCTCCCGCCTCCCTCCCTGCCTCCCTCCCTGCCTCCCTCCCTGCCTCTCCCCACCCACCAGCCAAACCACCCAGAACTCCTCCTCAGCGCCTCCCGCTCTGCAATCTCCTTCAAAGTGGGTTCCGCAGGGGGCATGGGCGGGGGGAGCGCGTCCCCCCACGCGGGGTTGGGGCGGCAGAGGGCGGAGCGGCGCAGGGTGGCGCGGAGAAGGTGCGGCTGGCGGTAGGGGTGGAAGGTGTGCGCCACAGCCAGCGCCTGCGACGGCCAGAAACCCGCCACTGTAGCGTCGCCTTCGGGCTGCCCGAGAAAAAACCACATGAGGCGGCGGGTGGTGCAGTTGACTGTGTGGTGAGGGTGGCAGCTTGTGCAGAGGGGGTTGAGAGGGTAGAGGGATACAGGTTCTACGTAGACAGCTGTGCTGTGCTGGACACGTGTCAGGTTCTCGTTGGCTATCAGCTCCTGTACGGCTGTGGACGGCTGTAGCAGGCTGTAGCAGCGCTGGATGGAGGTGTGAAGCTGGGAGGAATCGTCCACGTCAGCAAGGGTGCTGATAGATGCATCCATAGGCGGGAGGGAGGAGGAGAGGAAGAATTCGACTTGCAAGGTGCGAGAGGGATGGGCGGCGGGAAGGGGTTGGGAGGAGGAGGGGTTGAACGTGCCAGCCTGCTTTTCCCGTTGCTGCTGCAGCTGCTCTTGAGATATCGGCTGGGGGACTTCCGAATTGAGGGCCTGTTGGGATGCGCCGTCAAGGTGACAACGTGAGGGGGAAGCGGGAGGGGGAATGGGGAAACACGATCAGGAATGGGGAAACACGATCAGGAATGGGGAAACGCGATCAGGAATGGGGAAACACGATCAGGAATGGGGAAACACGATCAGGAATGGGGAAACACGATCAGGAATGGGGAAACACGATCAGGAATGGGGAAACGCGATCAGGAATGGGGAAACACGATCAGGAATGGGGAAACACGATCAGGAATGGGGAAACACGATCAGGAATGGGGAAACACGATCAGGAATGGGGAAACACGATCAGGAATGGGGAAAGAAGCAGCGTCTGGCGAATGGTGAGCTGACGGACAACCATGAAGCACTGAAAGAAGAGCTGACAAATGAAGAGCTGACAAAAGAAGAGCTGACGAAAAAACCCATGCGCGAATAGAAACTCATCCGATGACGCATACTAATCATCTCTTCTTTGAAAGTACCTACCGCAAAGGTATAAAGCGGCGAGTTGAGCCAACTCGGCCGGTGCTGCAGCACGATCGGCTCGTCAGAGGCAGCATCAGAATCATCCGCATCCGCCGGGAACAATGGTGGCGACTCCTGCGCCTGAAACTCGCCCTGCTGGCTGCCGCTTTGCGCGGCGCCGAGCGCGCTCGGGGGAGGCAGAGGGCCCAGCACGTGGCTGAGCGTGGCGTGCGGCATGGCTCGATCCGGCAGCCATAACACGGCCAGCCGCAACGGCCGCTGCTGCTGCGCCGGTGGCTGTGGTTGCCGCTGCTGGGAAGACGCAGCGTTGGTATAGTCCCAGAGAGTATCTGGGACTCTGGCCGGAGTCAGCTTGGACGACAGCAGGTGGTGCAGCGCGTACCCTGCGCACACTGCCTCCAGCCGCTTGTGAAGCGGACCCTGGATTTGCGGGATTGCGGATGAGACGGAAAGAGGCGGAAATGCCGAATCGGCATGAAAATCACCTCGGAGATTGGATGGTTTTTTGGGAATGGAGCGAGAAAAATGCTTGTGAAGTGGCACGTCATTACCAAGGTTGGAAGGATTTTAGGGAATGGAGAGAGGGAACATAACTGCAGACTTGAGGAAAAAAACACCCGGAATTCGGGGTTGTGAATGTGAAACGTTTAATTTAACGGCTTAGAGAAATACCATCTGGATCATTATTGTGATCCGTCATCTTAATACATTTGAATCCTCTATAGATATTCACTTTAAGACTTGCCTTGGCCCATAAGACGACGTCCGGGTGGGAGACGTTGAGGCTTAGGCTTCTAGCTTCCTCAGTCGCCGCGTCTTCTGCTGCCAGTTCCGCAAAAACCGGCGAAGGATTAGAGAAGATGAGGAATTGCTGGCCGTCGCCAGAGGCTGTCAGGAATGCTTCGCGCGTTAGGGCTATTGCTACAAAACTGACGACAGTGAGCACTGCAAGGAGTTTCGACACGTGTCGCCACGTCGCATTCTTGGAAAACGAAGCTGCCAGTGAAAATGCACACTTTTCGTTACATAATCGCCGGTCAAGACGGACTCTTAAGGCACAGGCTAGATCCTTTTTCATAATCGCCCATGGACATGGGAATCTATTAGTATGTAATATCATCAGCTTAGCGTACAATGCAACAGTTTCTTTCCTACTAAAGCTTCCAAATCACGTCTGTGCAATGACTTCGTTCGCAATGGCCAACTCCTAACCTCCAACGGAACTTCCTCTGAGGTGCCATTGAACATCCCCTCTCTTCCAAAAATTGCAGATCAAACAACAAGAAGATCCGCCAAGCGAGATGTTCTTGAAGTGAGGTCAGAGCATGCAGCTTGAAAGTCGGTGGGCGATTGTGTTGTGTTTTGTGCCCGCCTGTAAGGAATTTTCTCAGGCATTCCTTACGGAGCCGACTACATCGCGTACAGCAACAGCCGACTGTTCGCCCGTTACTGCTAACGGAACTTCGCCGACTTCGCGCGCACTGTTTTGCCAAACCTCGCACTGCTGGCATGGCCGTATCGGCCTACGCTTCGGGACTAGCCCGAGCCTCGCTCCAGCGTAGCACTAGCAAGTTCGCACGCACCGCGTTACCGTTTTGCATGTTTCGCGTATAAATGCTCGCTCATGCCTTCGCTCACATTTTGTACTCGTTTGACACCTTAGTGCAATTCTCGCTACCTCGATTCATTGCACCCGTAACACTTGGTATCAGAGCCCCTTTCTTTCGGACCGCGCATCTCCGCACACCAGGAAATCAACTTTTGATTTTTCACTCGAAGGGACTCACGCACCTTAGCCCCTAGGAGCCGCTGTCCTCGCGTTCTCTTGTAAACGCGTGCAGCCACGACTGCGCCTAGACTAAGACGAGCCGACGCCCTTCGTCATGGCCGAAAACATCGACGTCACCACTCTCACGCAGGAGCGTTTGAACGATCTGCTGCGACAACTGCACGAAAGCTCCGAGGAAATCGCGGCATTGACGGCAGAACGCTCATCACTGCAAAATGACCTCATGAGAGCACAATCCCAAGCACCTGGCACTCCGATTCAACCTGCACCCTCAACATCACAACACGGGAGTGTGGGGCAACCCGCGAGCGCGGCCAGTGATGGCGTCGTCCGCCCCGACGGAGACGACGACCACGGCACGACACACCCCAGAGCGACGCCTGCGGCCCCAAGTCAGCCTCGCGTCACGATTTCGGCACCAACCCACGATTCGGGACTGCCGTCACCGATGCCGCTGAAACCGCAGCGCCCGCCATGCTTTGACCCGAGTCAACGGGGTGGTCCTACCGTTCAGGCGTGGTTATTCACAATGAATGTTTTCTTCGACGCCAACTACGTCTCGCAGGACTCGGCGAAGATTCGATACGCCGTGTCGTTGCTGCGAGGACCCGCCATGGACTGGTGGCGCGTCATCGTCACGAAGCCGACCGACTACGCGACACTACCGACACGGGAAGGACAAACCGGACCCTGGGCGCCGTCGTATTTCGTGGAGGTGCCCCAGTATCGCACGTGGGACGCGTGGTGCGCAGGTCTGCGCGCTCGATTTGAGCCAATCGCGGCCTCGATCTCGGCGCGACAGAAGCTCCGCACTTGGCGCCAACTCGGTTCCGTCCAGGATTACACGAGCGGATTTCTGGCGCTATGCGAGCAGGTGGGCTACATGCATGAGAGCGAACGCATCGACCGCTACATCGGCGGCCTGAAGCAGGACATCGCTCAGGAAATCCAGCTTCGCGGCGTCACTGAGTTTCAGGAAATTCTCGCTATGGCGGAGAAGCTCGACTTCTTTCGCCGACCGAGACCGGGGTCCTACGGAAACAACACCTGGGGACATCGGCCTCGTGGGACGAACGAGAGCGCCACGATACGCGCCGTCGCCGCAAATGCCGCTGCCGCACCGTTCAAAGGGCGCTGCTTTGTGTGCAATCGGCCGGGACATCGCAAGAGCGAATGCCCGGAAAACGCTAAGGGAAAGGGGGAAGCTGAGCAGCAGACACAGACCAAGCAGCAGGGAAACGCTGGAAGTCAGTAGCAGACGGGCCCTCTACTGACAGGTCACGCCGCTCGCCCGACCCAACCGACCCTCACCGAGTGATTGTGCCGGTTCACGCAATCGACCACACCCGGCCGAATAAGGAGGGTACCACGGTAGATAGCCCTATACTGCTCAGTGGGAAAATTGGGACGGACTTAGTTAAAATCTTCGTAGATGGGGGAGCCAGCCACAGCCTCATTAACACTGCTACAGCACGAAAACTGCGACTGCCACTGGACCGATGCTTACCTGAGATCGACGCACGACTGGTAGACGGCACGCCGCTGGCAATACGGGAACGCGTAGACCGAGTTCGGATTCGATGCGGGGGTAACTTCACGTTTAGTCAGGAAATGCTCGCAACGACCCTCGACGGAACCGACATTTTACTCGGGCGTGATTGGCTGCGACGACACAACCCGCGAATTGACTGGACGACGGGTGACTGCACCGTGCGAGTGAACGGTAACAGCATCGCCTTACCTCGCTGGGGCTCGCCTGAGTCTTCGTCGGTGCGTGTCAACGCGATCACGATGAAACGCGCTGTTGCGGCCGGAGCCGACGTGTACGCGGTTGACATTCGGGAAGCCGAGGCAGCAGACAAGGGAGGCGATTTACAGAAACTGCTGACCGACGTACCGAGTGACCTGGCGGCACTGTTACAACAGTACAGTGACATTTTCCCGGATGACCTGCCGACGGGACTGCCACCTCAGCGACCGCACGATCACAGGATAGAACTGGAACCGGGGGCACAGCCAACAGTACAGCGACAGTTCCGACTGACCCAACCCGAACTAGACGAACTAAGGAAGCAGCTCGATTACCTGCTAGAAAAGAAATTCATTCGCCCTAGTTCGTCGCCTTTCGCCGCACCAATACTGTTCACACCGAAAAAGGACGGGGGTTTTCGCATGTGCATCGACTACAGGGCACTGAACAGGGTTACCATCAAATCCCGTTACCCCATCCCACGAGCCGACGAACTGATCGACCAACTGCGCACAGCCCGGGTTTTCTCGAAAATCGACCTCCGAGGAGGCTACCACCAAATCCGCGTCAACCCACCCGACTGCCCTAAAACCGCATTCCGAACACGCTACGGATCCTTCGAATACACCGTCATGCCATTCGGACTGACCAACGCCCCCGCCACTTTCCAAATGACCATGAACAAAGCATTCCGCCCGCTTTTAGATAAGTGCGTCATCGTTTATCTGGACGACATACTGATTTACAGCCCTGACAGAGCACAGCACTTACAAGACATCGAAGCAGTTTTTAAAATCCTGAGTGAGAACCGCCTACTGACCAAAGCATCTAAGTGTGAGTTTTTACAAGACCGCCTGGAGTTTTTGGGACATGTTATTTCAGCTGCAGGAGTGGAAATAGACCCGAAGAAAATTGCGACGATTCAGGCTTGGCACGCGCCGACCAACTTGACCGAGTTGCAGAGTTTCCTGGGGTTCGTCAACTACGTGCGCCGGTTCGTCCCCGACATGGCGAAACTGACTGCCCCGTTGACTGACCTGCTGAGGAAGGGGGTTGAGTACACGTGGGGGGAGAAAGAGCAAGCTGCCTTCTCGGCCCTCAAAAATATTTTGTGCTCCCCGCCCGTCCTTCACATTGCAGATCCCCACCGTCCGTTCGAGCTCGTCACCGACGCAAGTGACATCGCTGTGGGAGCAGTACTGTTGCAGGATTTCGGGAATGGCCTCCAGCCAATCGCGTACGAGTCCCGCAAGTTACACCCGCCCGAACGTAACTACCCGATACACGACCGCGAGATGCTAGCGATCGTGCACGCGTTCAAAGTTTGGCGATGTTACCTGACTGGTGCCGACGTGACAGTACGGACAGACCACCGCTCGCTACAGTACCTTCGCGCCCAACCGAATCTCAACCCACGACAGATTCGCTGGTTGGACTATCTCGAGTCCAATTTTCACTACACCGTCACGTACAAAAAAGGAGCATCCAACATCGCCGACGCTCTCACCCGCCCCACCGCCCAACTCCACGCCATCCTACTCGCCCAGACCAACCCGCTTTTAACTGGCCTATTCACCCACGGATACCGCACCGACCCATTTTTCACGACCGGAAATTCACAGCAACTGGCAGAAGCAAAAGGAGTTTATTACGTAAAAACAGGCACCAACCGCATTTGGGTACCCGCGTACTCACTACTGAGGGAGCTGCTGCTGCAGGAGGCACACGACGGGATTACCTCGGGACATTTCGGGGTAGAAAAAACACGACAGCAACTGCAGCGGTACTATTACTGGCCGGAGCTGTTGACCGACGTACAGCAGCACGTGGGCTCGTGCCCGACGTGTCAGGTGATGAAGAGTTCAAGGAAGCGGAAGGCGGGTCAATTGCAGCCGATCCCACCGCCCGAACACGCCTGGCAGCAAGTAACCATGGACTTCGTCACAGGGTTACCTTCGAACCCTGGGGGAAACGACGCGGTGATGGTCGTCGTGGATAGGTTGACGAAGATGGCACACTTCGCTGCGTGCAAAAAGTCGATCTCAGCCGAGGAGACCGCTCGCCTGTTCATCGCAGCCGTTGTTCGCCTGCACGGGATACCAGCAGCAATTATCAGCGACAGGGACACGAAGTTTACCAGCAACTTCTGGAAGAACCTCTGGGAGCAGTTCGGGACCAGGCTACAGTTCAGTTCGTCGTACCACCCCGAGACCGACGGCCAAACGGAGCGGACGAATCAGACGATGGAGCAGTTGATTCGTGCCACGTGCGACGACCCCACGACCTGGGAGCAGCAGCTGCCGCTGATCGAGTTCGCGTACAACAACGCCACATCAGCCACGACGCAGCAGTCCCCGTTCTACCTGAACTATGGGCAGAACCCCACAGTGCCCATGACGCCGAGTCCGGACAACCCAACGCCACGCGCACAACAATTCGCCGAAATCCTGCAAGCTGCCCGCGCCAGAGCCGCCGAAGCAATAAAAAAGGCCAACGTCATCGCTAAGCGCAACGCTGATCGCCACCGCCGCCCCGTCACGTATCAATCTGGAGATTACGTGCTACTCGACACGCAAAATCTGCGACTGCCCGACGTACCAAAATTACGACCGCGCTACTGTGGACCATTCCAAATCAGTCACATGATCACACCCGTCACCGCGCACCTACTGTTGCCAATTGACTGGTACATCAGCCCTTCGTTCCACGTCAGCCTACTTCGCCCATACATCCCGACCACGAGTCAACTGCCGCGTCACCGGCCACAATCAATGACTCGCCCTGCATCAGAGCCGATCATCGAGCCCGAAAAACTTTTGAGCCATCGGATCCGCCACCCCACGGGAATCAGGAGGATTGAATTCCTCGTTCGCTGGAAAGACCGCACGCCAACTGAAGATAGCTGGGTACCCCTGAGCAACATCGAAAATCACCCTGCCCTGCAAGTGTACTTGAGAAGCCGGGGATTCCGCGATATACACGCACTCGCGTAGCGGAGGGGGCTTCTTAAGGGGGGGGGGGTAGTGTAAGGAATTTTCTCAGGCATTCCTTACGGAGCCGACTACATCGCGTACAGCAACAGCCGACTGTTCGCCCGTTACTGCTAACGGAACTTCGCCGACTTCGCGCGCACTGTTTTGCCAAACCTCGCACTGCTGGCATGGCCGTATCGGCCTACGCTTCGGGACTAGCCCGAGCCTCGCTCCAGCGTAGCACTAGCAAGTTCGCACGCACCGCGTTACCGTTTTGCATGTTTCGCGTATAAATGCTCGCTCATGCCTTCGCTCACATTTTGTACTCGTTTGACACCTTAGTGCAATTCTCGCTACCTCGATTCATTGCACCCGTAACACCGCCCATGAATGTAGCAATCACGATAACTGTTGAAGTAGTTGGGTACAATGTTGTGCATTCTGAAGCGGTTTCCTCGTTTCACCGTTTGGAACCGTTTACAACCAGCCTGAACTTTTTTGCATGCATCAGTGTGGGATGTGGATGGGGCGGGAGAGGGGCGGGTCCCCATGGCTTCGGCTCGAGAATCGCGACTCGAGATTCAAGGAAAACCTTGACATTTTAGAAACGGATCAGCCAGCGAATCAACAGTGTTCCGATGCAAGGCTGTCATACTGATATTCAGATTACATATTAAAGAATACAGATAGTATCTCAATAACGAAATACACCATCATAAGCACTAGGCTGAAAATCATAAAAATACACTGAAGACCTTTTTAAAGGGTGGAAAAAAAATGTTTCACACATTGGCAGCCACCACTGCAAGCGATGCTTTCAATTGATCGTTGGAAAGAGGCTTGGTCATAAATCCATTCATCCCAATTTCCCGGCACCTCTCAGGAGCTCCCGCCACAAGATCGGCCGTGATGGCAAATATCGGAACTCGATGCCGACCCACCTGCTCCTCCAGCCGTCGGATTTCGATGGTTGCATCATAGCCGTCCATCACCGGCATCTGCAGAGCAACGAGAATGGTTGTGGAGAGACGAGGGATGGAGGACACAGAAGCTGGGATTTGCTCAAATGAAACACCTAAAAAGCAGTGTTAGTTGGTGGGAGGTGGGAAGTGGAAGTGGGAAGTGGGAGTGGGAATTTTGAAGTGCTAAGGGGAAGTGGGTGTAGGTGGGTGTAGATGGGTAGAAAGCCAGGAGCACACACCTGAAGGTCCATAAAGACGCACACAAACCCGTCCCCTCCACCTCCTTCACCCCCTCCACCTCCCTCACTCCCCCCACCACCCCCACCCCCTACACCCGCGTCTCCGCCTTCCTTCATCCCCTCTAAAAACTTCTCCACTGCAACACAGCCATTCTCTGCCTGCACGCCCACCATGCCGTACGGCCGTAGCTTCGCCAGCACCACCTTGCGGTTCACCGCGTTGTCATCCACCACAAGTACCCGTCGCCCTTTCAACCGTGCCGTGAGGGTCCTTGGGGAGAGTGGCGGGGCGGGAGCTTGGCTCGGCTCGTCCACCTGCCCTGCTTGGCTCAGCTCGTCCACCTGCCCTGCTTGATTTGAATCCGCGGAGGAGGCCTGCGGTGTTTCGGAGGAGGTTTCGCGCGTGGTTTCGGGGGAGATTTGGCCGCCCTGGTGGTGGTTCCCTGTTTCAGACCCTGGTGTTTTGAGGTCCAGGAGCCCTGGACCCCCCCGCGTCTCCTCCCTTATTGTCCTCTCTCCCCCCGCGCTGCTACCTCTGTCTTCAGCGGCTCTCCCTGCTTCCTCTCCCACTCGTTGACCCTCCTGCTCCCTCCTCTCCTCCTCCCTCTCATCACACTCTTCTGCTTCATCATAAATGTCATCAACAGCTATTGCAGCTGTAGCAGCAGCAGTAGCAGCAGCAGCAAACTCCTCCTGTACCAGGTCAGTCAAGGACGGTGCCGCTGGCAACGGTACAGCCCGTGTTGCTACAGCCCCAGCCACTGGAACCTTAACTGCTTCGTGTCCAGCTGAGAAATCCGCTGCAGGCACAGCAGTAGCAGCTGCTGCTAGCTCCCTATAGCTCACCGTGGGAGCAGTGATGTGAGCAGGGGGAGAGGCGGCAGGCGAGAAAGAGGAGGCGGCCAAGGATGCAGGGAGGGCAGGGCAATGCGTGCATTCAGGTGAAAGAGCAGGTAGAAGATTCTCATCAGGTGCTGTAGGTGCAACATCAGTAGCTGTGAGAGTGGAAGGTGGAACGCACGCAGAGGAGAAGGGCAAGGAGGAGGGAGAAGAGGACGGGGAAGCGGAAGGAGCAGCAGCAGCAGCAGCAGCAGCAGCAGTGGGGAGAGCAGGGCCCCAGCTATCAGAAGGGGATGGGAACCGGTGCGACTGGGCCTGACTCCTGCTGCTGGCTGTGCTGCCTGGACTGCTCAAGTACCCATCTGAACCCCTCGTGTACCCATCCGTACCCTTCAAGTTGCTTGAACCTGGAAAGGGCTCCATGCCCCCTTGCTCCTCAACCACCACCATATCTGGAAACCGCGCTCTGCTTCCCAACCTCTGCTCCCTCACCCTTCCTTCCCCCTCCTCCCCTGACCGCCCCTCCTCGTCTGCTTCTGCGAACGTCACTCCTCTCGTCCCGCCTCGTCGCCCCGACCAGTCGGCTTCCAGAGTCTTGGCTCGTCTAATCTCCACCTCCTCCCCCCTTTCTGCATCCTCTCCCTCCCCCTCTCCCTCTTCCCCTCTCGCCTTTTCGCTCCCATCCTTCACGAATTCCCTTCCTCCTTCATTCCCCTCCCCTCTTAACGCAATTCCTCCACTCCCCTCTCCTCTCCCACCATCCCCTCCCCACCGTCCACCAATCAGAAGATCCATCTCAGAGGACCAGGAGGAGGGGGTAGCAGCCAACCCACTCCCAGACACCACCTCCCCTCCACCCCACAAGTCTTCCCCAGCTTTACCCTCCCCAGTTGTACCTCCCCCTACACAAACCTCCCTGCTGCTACCAGCAGCACCAGGCATGCCCAGGTGAGAAGCAGAAGGGTACCCTTCCCTCTCCTTTCTCCTCCTCTCCTTCCAACTCTGCAACCCTTTACTGACTGTCCTGCTACCGTTACTATCACCTGTGGCAGCCCTCGTTATACTCACAGTCCTGCTACCGCTGCTCTCATCCGTAGCAGCCCTAGTCAAACCGATACCGCTACTGCCACTTATAGGAGCTTTCGTTTTTATCACAGTCCTGCTACCGCTACTGCCAGATGTAGCCGCTCTTGACATACTGAAACTGCTATCACCCGTTTTACTCACAATCCTGCTAACGTTACTATTATCTGTAGCAGCTCTAGTCACACTCACACCGCCGAAACCACTGCTGCTATCGCCTGCAGCAACCCTTGCTCCGCTACTATCACCCACAACCACCTTCGCTTTACTGACAATGCTGCAGGCAAGGCTGCTGGTGCTGTGACTGCTGCCAATCCGGTACTTGCCCATTCTGCTAAACTTACCACCCCCAGAACGCTGGCTGCTGCTGGTGTTGCTTGTGCTGCTGGTGTTGCTTGTGCTGGTGCTTCCACCCACCACACCGCTCCCTTGAGCCAACCCCCTGCCACCAGTGGAACTACTGCTGGTGTAGCCGCTGTCACCGCTCACATACCCAGCGTCACCGCTGACATAACCACCAGCACCACTGGCGTAACCGCTATCACCGCTCACGTACCCCACATCCTCTCTTGTTTCAGCAGCAGCAACAGCAGCAGCAACAGCAGCAGTAGCCAGTAGATTGGAACCAGCAGTCCTGTCAGGAGAAACAAGGCCCTGACCATGGGCACTAGAACGTGCACCAGGCCCCTCTCCCTCACTTACACACCCCACAGCCCCAAGAGCCTGGTTACCAGACTGGTTACCAGGTTGGTTAGCAGGCTGGTTACCAGGCTGGTTACCAGCACCACTGTACCACGCCAGGTTTTGCGGAGACTGGTTACCAGGCTGGTTACCAACATCATCACTATCAGCCACATGTTGCCCTGCTGGTTCCTCTGCCTGTGCTGCTGCTGCTGATGCAGAGGCAGCAAAAAATCTGGTACCAGCAGCAGGAGGAGCATCCCCAGCATTACCACTAACACCAGCATCACCGCCAGCACCAGAGTTGGCAGCAATAGCAGAATAGTCCCCAGCACCACTGGTCTTATCAGTGGTGATACCAGTAGGAGACCCAGCCACAACTGCTGCTGCTGCTGCAGCAGAGGCTCTCTTGCCCGACTCCCCCCACCGAGCAGGAGTCAAGGATCGGAACACCGCCCGAACCTGCTGCTCCACCCTCTGCCGAACCGGGGACGGAAGCCTCGGGAGTACAGACGCTCCTGCCGAACCTGATGCTGCTGCTGCCGCTGCTTCTGCTGCTCCTGCCGCACCTGATGCTTCAGACGCTGCAGTTGCTTCTGATAAGGCTGCCACGGCTGTTGCCGAAGAAGTTGCTGCTGAAGCTGCCACCTCCAGACCTCCCAGGCCGATTCCAAACCTAGCTTCTGGGGTCCGAGCCTCTCCTCTGGCTCCTTGCCTCTGGTCTAGCCTCGGACTGACCAAAGGTCTGATAAACGGCCGTGAGAGGCTTGGAATCGCGCCCACCGAGCCTGAGAACTGGCTCGGAAGGACCTGCTCCCTCATCCCCCGCAGATTCGCTTGCTCCTGCTGCCTCTCCCCCTCCTGCTGCCTCTCCCCCTCCTGCTGCCTCTCCCCCTCCTGCTGCCTCTCCCCCTCCTGCTGCCTCTCCCCCTCCTGCTGCCTCTCCCCCTCCTGCTGCCTCTCCCCCTCCTGCTGCCTCTCCCCCTCCTGCTGCCTCTCCCCCTCCTGTTGTCTCCCTCCCTCCTGCTGCCTCCCTCCCTCCTCCTGCATCTGTCCCTCCTGTGCCGGCCAAGCCTCCTCAGAGCTCTCAGAGCTGCTCCTAGCAGCGCCAACCAGCAACTTGGTTGCCCCCTCCTCCCCAATCCTCCCTCTCCTCTCTATTTCTGGTCTCAGCACTCCCGCCTCCCCTCCTCTCACTGCGACAACGGGAGGATCATTCGCCCTTGCTCCTGCTGCTACCGCAGCAATGGTCGCTGCTGCAGCAGAGGGGCTAGCCGAAGGAGGGATGGAAACGAGGCGTGGGGACGAGAGCGCGAGGGAGGATGAGGAGGAGGAGGTGGAAAGAGAACCGGGAGTGAGAGAGGAGGGGAGAGGGGAGGCAGGGATGGGATGGGGGAGGAGGGAATAGGTGGAAGGAGTGAGAGGAGTGGTGGGAAGGTGGGTGGGAGGGAAGGAGGGGACTGGCAGTGGGAGCTTGTGTGATGCCAGAGGAGAAGAAGGGGGTATTGTGACGGTCGTGAAGCTTCCAGGAAACGATGGGACGAGGAGGGTGGGGTTCTGTGAAGGACGGGAAGGGGCGAGTGAGGAGGTGGAGAGGGAAAGCGAGGAAGGGGTGGAGGCAGAGGAGGAGGTTCCCAGAGGGCTTAGGTCATTCTGGTTCCTGTCCAGATTCACTGCACCTGAACCGTTTGCCTGCTGGTTGTCCACATTCACCTGCTGGGCGTCAGTCACAGCAAGGGGCGGCACAGGGTCAAGAGCAGTGGCAGCTGAGCAGGCCCCATCAGCAGCAGCGCCAGAAGACCAATCAGCAGCCACAGCTCCATCGATTATCCCTGCGGCTGCTGCTGGTGCTGCTGCTGATGGTGCTGCCGCTGCTGCTGCTTGTGCTGCTGCTGCTGCTGCTGGTGCTGCTGCTTGTGCTGCTGCTGCTGCTGCTGCCGCCACCGCTGCTGCTTCAGCAGCCTTGTCCGCTCTTGCCCCTGCAGGTCTCTGGTAGCTTTTCCTTCTAGACCATACCCTAGACATTCTCCTCTGCTTCCCACTCACACCCTCCCTCTCTCCTTCCTTCAGTACTTCTCCCCCTTTCTCCTTCTCCCCTTCCTTCTCCCTCTCTCTCTCTTTCCCTCCCTCAGCAAGCCTCCCTTTCTCTCTCTCCACCGCTCTCCGCCCCAGATCCTCTCGTCTGCCCGAAAACGTCCGGCTGATCCTGCCCGAAACCCTCACAGCCGCAGGGAACAAGAGGAAACTTTTGCCGCCACTGCCCGAGCGAGAAACAGGAACACCACCCTTGCTGGCGTCACCACCAGGACTGCTGACGTGGGCCTGAGTCACACCAGCGCGATTGCCATTCAGAGTGTTACTGTTCCTCCTCCCACTGTTACCGTTACCGCCGACGTTACGGTTACTGATACTGTAGCTGTTACTGTTACCAGTCGCACCGCTGTTACCGCTCAGGTGGGAACTGCTCCCAGCAGTGGAGAGCGCGGTAGATATACCTACCTCAGAATAGACAAACTTTGCCAGCCAGTCAGTGAGCGTCCAGCAGGAGAGCAGCGCAGTGTCGATTGCGTCTCTCTGATCCTGATCCAGCTCGCACTCTTCGACTAATAGCTGCAGCATGCCTGATGAAGGGAAGGAACACGGGGAAGGGGGACAGGGAAAGAGCAGAAGGTGGGTGCCAGAGAAAGGAAAGGGAGAGCAGCGCAGAGTCGATCGCATCCCTCTGATCCTGGTCTAGCTAGCTCACACTCTTCGACTAACGGTTGCAACATGCCTGTTGGGGGCCGAGAACGAGTAGGGCGACATAAGGGGGTGAGCAAGGGAAGAGCAGCGTAGCGTCGATCGCATCCCTCTGATCCTGGTCTAGCTAGCTCACACTCCTCCACCAACAGTTGCAGCATGCCTGTTCGAGGGAAGGGGGACAGGGAAAAGAAATGGAGAGCAGCGCAGGTTGGTGTGGGTGGGAGGGAAGGAAATGGAGAGCAGCACAGTGTTGATTGCGTCTCTCTGGTCCTAATCCAGGTCGCACTCCTCCACCAACATTTGCAGCATGCCTGTTGGGGAAGAAACATGCAAGGGGACAAGGGGGAGCAAGAGGTTGATGTGGGTGGGAAGGAAAAGGGAGTGGCGCCTGTACTAGTGTTGATTGTGTCTCTGTGATCCTGCTCGCACTCTTCCACCAGCAGATGCAGCATGCCTGATCTGGGGGGAGGGGGATGGGGGGAAGAGCAGGAGGTTGGTGTGGAAGGAAGGAAGGGAGAGCAGCGGACTCACCCCTACTCCCACACATGCTGCGCACTCACCTATAATCCTGTTGATTGGGGTGCGAATCTTGTGAAAAATGCACCCTCTCTCGGCTCCTCTGTACTCCTTGGCGCGGCTTGTCCCCTCTCTCTACTCCCACACACGCTGCGCACTCACCTATAATCCCGTTGATTGGGGTGCGAATCTCATGCGAGATGCATCCGAGAAATTCCTTCTTGGCCCGGACTGCCCCCTCCTGCGTGGCCCTGGCAGCAGCCAGCTCCGTGAGGTGCTTCTCCGTCTGACCTTCCATTCGCTCCGCCACCTCCCACATGGCCCACAGGCAGCACGTCACCAGGGCGATTGCGAATAGCAGGCCGCCACACACCACAGACACCTGCAAAAGAGAGAATCAGAGAGTTAAAATATGAGACCAACAATCACTTTCACTTCCATGCGCTCTGCCACCTCCCACATGGCCCACAGGCAGCACGTCACGAGGGTGATTGCGAACAATAGCCCCCCCGCACACGACGGAGACCTGCAAGCAGAGTATAAGACAAACCAAACATGCGATCATCAGACATTTCTAGCAGGTAGCAGTGTAGGAGGAGACGGTTTAGCATGTGAAAAAAACAGTGAAAGAGCGCTAGGTAAGGATGAAGGGTGATTCTAAATAGCAAGTCCCCCCCCCTCAGACCACGTTTACCTGCAAGCCAAACCCAAACTGCACTCGCTGTTGCTGCCGTTGCTGCTGTTGGTACTGCTGCTGCTGGTACTGGTGGTGCTGCTGGTGGTGCTGATAAGAATACAGCGGCTGCAGCAGCGGGTGACTCTCCTGCGCCCAGAACTCCAGAGCACCTCCATCTCCCACTCCAGCCGCCATTCCCCCTGCGCCTCCCCCTGCGCCTCCCCCTGCCGCCGCCCCTGCCTCCGCCCCCGCCTCCGGACCCCCTCCCATGGCGAGAATTCCGATGAGAAGCACAATGGCAATGAGAGCAAGTCCAGCCAGCAGGCACCACAGGCAGATCACCAACTGTCGCCAGTGGGAGAGCGGCGGCGGGGTGGACGGCGGGTAGGCGTCCTTGTGACCGTTACTGCTGGTGCTGGTGGTGAGGGCGCTGCTGCTGTTGCTGTCATTATGCTTTGCCCTGTGCTTCCTGCTGTGCTGCTGGCTCGCGTGCTGAAGGGAATGACGCTGGCTGTGCTGCTGGCTGTGCTGCTGGCTGTGCTGCTTGCTTAACCGCTGAGTGTACCTTGGCCCACTGACTGCACCATGCTCCAATACCTGACTGTCCACCCCTTTCTCCATCGCACCTCCCCTCCCACTCCGCTGCCCCTCATAGACCAGTGACACACCCCCTGCTGCTGCATCCTCCCACTCCCCATTCCACTCCGCCACCTCTTTTCTTAACCGGTCTGCCCTGCTGCTTGTCCTCTTTACAGGCGCACCCAGCTCGGTATAGTCACCTGAGACTGTATGCGGAAATGGATGAGCAGGTTCGGCAACTCTGGCTGCTGCGGCTGAAGCTGCCTCGTTGACAGGTTCTGGAGAATCTTTCAAAGGTTCGTTCGGTGCAGCAGCAGCGGTGGTGGTGGTGGCACCAGCAGCAGCAGCGAGAATGGGTAAGGCAGAAGAAAGTGCCACGTCAGCAGGAGAAGGGGCCCCACCAACAGCTTCTCCTGCCAGTGCACCGCCCAAAGTCGCCAGGTGGCCAATACTGCCGACAAACACCGACTCATCGAGCGCTGACCTGTCACTCGGCGTCAGCGATCCCATGCGTGAGTCAGCACGTGCCAGGCCCAGGCTGGCACGACTCAGCGTTGTTGCCCCTTGCCCTCCTAGCCCTCCTTGCGCACTCCCAAACCCGAGACGAAAGGCAAGACCTTCTGCCTCCCACACCCCTCTTTCCTCCTCTCCTCCTCCCTCCTCATCCCTGTTCATCCCCTGGCCCGTCCACCGCTCTCCACCGCTCTGCACCGAGCTGCTAAGCTGCCGCTGCACATGCTGCTGGTACTGGTGGTGCTGCCTCGGGTCTAGTAGATGGCTCCTCAGCCCCCCGCCTCCTCCTCCGCCTCCCGCCCCACCTCCTGCTCCCCCTGCCGCCCACACCATGCTGCACCTTCGTCTGGGTCGCACACTGAACCCCTCACATGGCCGCCCGGAAATAGACGGCCGCCCGGAAATGGATTGCCGCCCGGAGATGGATGGCCGCCCGGAAATGGATGGCCGCCCGGAAATAGACGGCCGCCCGGAAATGGATGGCCGCCCGGAAATAGATGGCCGCCCGGAAATAGATGGTCTTCCTGTCACGTTGCTGCGACCGGTGATCACACGCCCAGTGGTGGTGGTAACCAGGTTACCACTACGGCTAAACACAGGGTTGCCAGCGTGGGTTGTAACAGGGTTACCAGCTGGAGCAGTGACACTGGGTGGACTTGTGACAGGGGGCTGATTACCACCTGAACTACCACCTGAATTTTCACCTGCAATTTCACCTGAGTTACCACCTGTGTTACCAGCATGAGGTGTAACCACAGGGGTTCCTCTCCCAGTGCTCTCCCGACTAAGAGGACTTGCCCTAATTGTGCTGCTTCTGTTACCACTGCCAGTAAGGGGTTGGGTCAAGCCCCTGCTAGTACCGGGTCGACCCAAGCTGTTGCTAGATCGGCCCGTTATGCTCACCCTCCCCGTAACGCCAACCCTCCTCCCGGGATGGCTCATTCGCATGCTCATTCGCCCCGGACCAGCGCCTTTGGTTACCGCATTCAACCGCCCAGTTACCCCATCTGTAACACCTGCTCGAGGAGTCTGGATGCTAGTCAATTCACTGGGCAAATGCTTGCTGCTGCTGTCGGTGGTGGTGGTAGTGGTGGGGTTGAAAGGGGTGGGGATGGATAACAATGCCTTCTCAAAGGTGCTTGGATCGTACGGGCTGCTGCTGTCGCTTATTGTGAGCTCATCTTGGACCAGGTCTATAAGGGGTACAGGGTGTAGCAAGTCGTCCTCGCCTGTTGCTGCTGCTGTTGCTGTTGCTGCTGCTGCCTTCAAGTGGTCCACACTTGAAACTGAAATGTATCTCACAGCAGAAGCACAAGCGGCACCCCCAGCTCCAGCAGCAGCAGCATAAAGGGAAGATGATGCAGCAACAGCATCAGTGCCACCCGAGCATGCCATGTCATCCGCTGACGTGGCTTCCACACCAGCAGCTACACGTAATGACTCATTGCCCTCAGCACCAGCAGCATCACCAGCACCAGCAGCACAATCCAACCGAATCTCAGGCTGAGCCTCTGATTGGTGCAGCAGCAGGGGAGGCATCGGAGCATCCCATTGGCCGGACGAAATCTGGTCGGCAAGGAACGTCACAGCTCTGGACGCCAGGCCGGTAGCTATAGCCTCTGAGAGCGCGTCTAGATACGCCTCGGAGCGACACACAAAGGCGCTGCTGTCTCTGCGGTGGCTTCTGCGCCCCGTGATTGCAATCGCGCCCACGTCGCTGAAGCTCGAGTATTTCTCCACGCTGGTTAACAGAGCGCCATCGCCCCTCTCATAACTGCCAACAGCGGATCTGGTGCTGTCACCACCACAAGCAGTAACGCCAGCAGCAGCAGCAGAATCATCATCATCACCAGCAGCAGCAGCAGCAGCAGCAGCCGCAGCAGCAGCAGCAGGGTCACACAGGCCATGTGGAGCGCTTGCAAGGTCTTGAGCCGCGCCCCACATGCGGAAGGTGGTTACCACCCCATGGTTACATCCACTGTGATTCCCATGCCCGAACATGCCGGTTTCCACTCGAGCCATGGCTTCTCCCGCTAACCTCCACTCCTCGTCCCTTTCCTCCCCCTTTCCCTTCGCCTTTCCCTCCCTCGCGCGCCTCCCTCTTCCCCTCCGCCTCCTGCCACTGCTCCTCCTCCTGCTGCTGCTGCTGCTGCTATTCCCTCCCTTCCTGCTGCTGCTGTCGCTGCTCTCTTGTAATTCTTTGCTGCCCGTTTTCCCGCTTCCCGCTGCCACGTCATCACACCACGCGCTCGCTGTCGAAGCCACCTGGCACCTTCCTCCAAAAGTGGCGCGCCTTACAAGGGCTCTCCCTTGCGATGCGGCGTCCGCTCCCCCCGCCTTCCCCGCTGCCCGCGCATCTCTTGCCTTGTGAACGCGCGTGCGCATCCATTGCCCCACGCTCTTGTAATCTTCCGCTTCCGCGCCTGACTTACCCTCGCCTTTCCCGCTGCCTGCGCGCGCGACCCCCCTGCTTTCCTTGCAGCTCCCCCCCCTGCTCTCCCCCGCGTCCTTCCCCGTCCCCCAACCAACCGTCCGTCTTGCCCACCCGGGGCTGGGCGGCCGGCGGACATCGCGCTCCTGCTCGCGTTCCGCGTGAGCCTTCGTTGCCCCCCTATCGCCGCGCGCCTCCCCGCGTAAGATCCCGCTACCTAATCTCATGACGTCTCCTAATTTCTTGCTATCGTACACTCCGCCGACGGCGGACGTCGTTAAGCTTCGCTGCCTCGGCCCCCGCGGCGTCGCGGCTGCTGAGTCCGAGTCCGCAACCCCCGCCGTGAAAACCGCCAAATTCTCCGAGCTACTGCTCCCAGTCGTCGACCGCCCCATTAGATTCGCGGTCGCCGCCGCCGCTTGTCGAAGCGCGCGCTGCTCCTTCCTCTGGCGCCGCCGCTCCCGCACTTGATGCAAATCCACGCTTTCAAGAGTTACCTCCCCCACGCTCTCGAGACCCCTAGTGGCTCGCGCTACGCCCCCTAATTCCCGCCAATTGGACGTCGAGGGCGGCTCGTTGGGCGAATCAGCAGCCGCGCGTGACCTCGGAACGGGATTGCCGGACGCATCGACGCGAGAGGGCGTGCATGACGCAAGGCTTGATTCAAAGAGACCTACGCCGTTGAATCCGCTACTCATGGTGCTGCAATCAACGGCTGTCTCGCCCCGTCTATCGCGTGAGTTGCTATAGTCAAGGTGCTGCTGCTCCTGTTGCTGCTGCTTCTGCCATAGCTGCTGTTTCTGCTGCTGTTGCTGCTGCCGTTGGCCATCCGTGGAAACAATCGCAGTGGTAGCGAATGACACATGGTGTCCCTCCCGTCTCTCGCGTGCTTCCGCCTCCCGCCCCTCACGTGCTCCGCCCTCCCGCCCCTCCGCAGAAGAAGAGTCGCGATTGAGGGCCTTGCGGGGAGACAGGCGCGGAGCCACCAACTTCCATAGCCACCTCGCAGGCATGGCGCTTAGGGAATGGCGCCTCGGATGGGGCTTAGGGAATGGCGTAGGAAAGGCCCTCTCGCTTAAGGACTGCCTGCCCGAATCACGTGAGACGGACAGAACGAGACAAACAGAAAGACAGACAGGTCCAAAACGAGAGAGTGGCTAACGGCAGTCAGGCTTCTAGTCCTTGCCGTGCTGCTGGCTGCTTCTAGTGCCTGCCTGCTGCTTCGAGCAGCTTCCCGCTCTTCGACTCCCGCCTGCCGCTTTCTGCAGGGAGCAACCAGTTGGACGCCCGTTTGTTAAAGGCTGTACAGCTGGCACGGGGCGTGCAAACAAGAGAATTGAGGACCGTTAAAAAGCGTGTGCGTCACGGAACTAGAGAACAGGAAGGCGTGTTCGAGAAGCAACTTCTGGGCTGGACTGCAGGGCCGAGGCGGGAAACTTCCGCCTTGAAATGGTGGCTGTTATTGCGTCAATTAATGGACGGGCGGGAGGGGAAGAATTAAATGTGACGTGTCAAGCATGCGGAAAGAAGGACGCTTCGGAAAAAGAAAGGACGTAGCGCGGAGTCAGATTCTTGACGACGCAGTTGATGCGGAAGAGCCGGACGAGTGGCCGGTATGTGTGGCCCTTGATATAGGGAGGAGCTAGCTGCGGTCGCTGAGATTCGAGCACACAATCAGACTGACGTGGAGTCTAAGCCTGCCCCGCTGTCCTTCACATGCAGCTGCAGAGCGACCGAGCATGCCGCTGACTACAGCACAGTGAGATCGCACGGAGTCAGATTCGGGGGATCTGAGGGACAAAAGGCGGAGGGCATGAGCTACGCTTCCGAATACGCTCGCTTCGATACTCGCTTTAGGGCCGGACCTGGTACCGTACGAAGTCTCGCCATGCCTACGAATCGCAGTCATTACAATCGCCGCAAGAAATGTGAACAATTGTGGTGGAACTCTCCTTCGGTAACTTCTGCCTTGAAGACCTTGTTCATCCCATAACTCCCCCTTGGTTCTGTCTTACAATCCGTTTATCGTTTATCCGTTTATCAAGAGGGGAATCTTGAGGCTGAAGGGAAGCCTCGAGATGAGACGAGACGAATGGAGGTGTGACTGGGAGACAGGAGCTTCCACTTCAGCAGCCGCGTTCTCCCTTCTTGGCCTCGCTGGGGTTACTCCGTGTAATTTTAAATCTGTGAAGTAATTCGCAGACCACATACCGACGCCAATTACATTCGCCAAGGTTGTCTACCAGTCGCAGACCAGGCAAGGATGAGGGGCTGCTTTCGCAAAAAACAGTTGTCGCTGCTGACCACAAGAATGTTACTGGGAAGGAGGCAAACACGATGCCTGACCGACCAAATGACACGCATGGTGCGGCAAGACATTTTTTGGCATTGACAGCTGACCAGTCATGAACGCCGCCTTGCACAGTGCATGTATGTACGAATGGATGTCGTCGCGTTGCGAACATACGCCATGACAGAAGGCAGCGCTAATGTAAGTTAGAACCCCATGTGCAATCAAAATCAGGGTTTCGATATTGAATTGGAATGAAGCACAGAGAAAGGTTTGGTGAAGGATTAAAATATACAGTTCATACAGTAAATATATGACTACAATTATTTGTGAGCTTCCATTCACAATGAATGCTGGCATTTCCAGTTCCAACCTGAAATATCTGTTCTGCCAGAAACTTCACCGGATGGTGTGAAATAACATATGCAATAGTGCAATAAGCACTTAATCTGTAAGAGGAAGAATTGTAGGAGGAAGTGTACTGGCCGCGACAGCAAAAAAGTCGCTCGTCAGATCACTTCCGGCCCGTCAACCTCCCGCGGAATGAGCGGGTGGGACGTTCATCGAGACGGCCAGCACGCCTTGCGGCACACTTGACAATCAGTATTCGCGCTCTGGGCTGGAAGTCCACGCTCATCATCCGAGTGGATGACTAGGGCCGTTGTACAGAGGTACAACGAATTGTACGAACTATAGAACAGATCCTGTTCAAGTATAGTCGTGCTGTTCGGAGCAGAAATTCCAAAATATAATCTGTCGTGCTAACCATTTAAGTGAGAAGTGAGCATTTTTGGCGACGTGGCCGCTTCAAAGTGTGCCACGCCTCTCCAGAAACACTTTTCTGAAGGTGCGTGAACGTGCTTCCCTGCACCCATCACCTTGACTGGGCCGACCGACGCACCATAGAAATCCAACTGTCGCCATTGTGAAAGTGAATGTGCGCATTGCTAGTGCGCTCCACAATTTCGATACACCAGGAACTAACTCTTGCTGTTTATCTTCCTGTTGAGCCAGCCATGGCGTCCCTAGGCGGCGCGTGTACTCAGCTTAGACTTCCTGTTCCCGTGTCGCGTGGGCTCACAGACTATCGACCAGTGGTCTACTCGTCTGCAGCACCTTCACTGTCTACTTCGAGCGGCGAATTCTCCCGCAATGGGTCCATATTCTCTCAATTGCACTCGTCTCTCACTGTAAACCGCCTTAATGCAAGGCGTTTCTCGCTCAAACCCAGACGGATAGATCTTAGGCCAGTGAATTACCGGCAGGCCGTCAAAGTGACGGCTACGGGGTTATCCGGTGAGAACGGCAACGCGAACGGCTCGTTACCGACGGACGCGGAGGGAGCAGCGACGTTGTCGGAATCGCGGAACGAATTGGGCGGCTCGGGAGAAGGCGGCTCGGGAGAAGGCGGCTCGAAGGCGTCCGTGAATCCGTTGCCAGGAGTGAGCGCGGAAAGCGGCGGCAGTGACGGCAGGAAGGTGGTGGTGATCGGCGCGGGGTGGGCTGGCCTCGGCGCCGCGCACCACCTCACGAAGCAGGTGCGCCGCTCTGTCAAATTAGTTGCCGAATTTCACGAAACAACGCCCCGAGTGGAGACTTTGGGATGTGAATCGAAGACGGTATTCCGTAGCTTCAAGCATATTCGTCATTGTCGCCACGGTCACTCGTGAGTAGGATTGAAGTAAACTTAGCTATCAGCGCAATTTGCGGCGTGAATTCTGTCCCCCGTGCTGACGAGGCACGGCGATGACCTGGCAGGGGTACGACGTGACGTTGCTGGAGGCGGGGCGGCAGCCGGGCGGGCTGGTGGCGGGTTGGCGGAGCGACAAGGGGAAGCCCGTGGAGGTGGGCATTCACGGTGCGTGTGGTGAAGTGCGGTGAAGTGCGCTGAGGGGTGATATACATGGTTGGGGATGGGTGCAGACGGGTGGAGAGGGGTGGAGACGGATCAGGGGACAATGCTTGGTGGGGTGTGTGACTCATGCAGTGATAGCGGTTCATGAGGGAATGGGATCCGGTGAAGGTGGGAATTCACGGTGGGTGATGGGGAGAAGGGATGTATGGGGATGGACGAGGAGACGAACTGGTGTGGTGTGGTGTGGTGTGTCTTTGATAAACTGGTTGCAGTTCATGGCAGAAAGGGCAGCCGGTGGAGGCTGGGGAGTCATGGTGCGGGCACTCTGTCAACTCTTCCCCCTGCCCCCCACCAGGCTTCTGGTACCCCTATAAAAACATCTTGGCTACAACGGACGAGCTGGGGCTGAAGCCCTTCACTGATACTTGCAAAGTACCATACAATCA